CACTCCGCACAGAAGGCCTAAAGGAGATGCTCTCCGCCAGGAAAAGCTACCAGTATCCCCGAATAGAGTGGGGTTGACACTAAAGGGTAACGCAGAGAGACCTGGAAACAGACCTGGAACTCCAGCTTCGGGCACGCCACCTCGCGTGGTTACCACATTAGGTCAAGTCTCCATACGTCCTACCTGGCCTCAGGGAACGTCAAGCGCATGGCTAAAGATATCTACCGCTGAATCCTCTACGAAACCCACTCCAAACACCCCACATGCCGTGACTGAGAAACAACCAGTGGAATTACTCAAACACATTGGGAAGTCTGGCGTGCCACCCACGACGAACCCAGGTCACAGGAGGGCTAACTCGATCACCTTGCTCGACATCCACATGTCGACAGGTTCATTGTTGATCGAGAGAGAACGGTTTGACAGCCGGATGTAGATCGACTACTGCCAGATGCTGGGACTCCTTCCCCCTCTGCAACTTTGTGTCACCTTTCTCGAGGAAGCCGTGCACCCTGAAATAAGCCAACCCCTTTACATGTGTCCTTGAACACTGCCAGAGAGGCCGAAGACACCCTCCTTCCCTAGCGACAACGGGACGTTGTTAATACCTGCAGAATTCGGGCCACGCCTGACAAGCCATGGCCAACAAGAGAGGAGGTCCATCTGGCGCATTCAAACAAGTCTATTGCTCCTGGATGATGGAGTTGGAGAAGTGAAGTCATTTGGCTTTCAGTCATAGTGTTCACCAAGATTATGAATCTTTGTTGTGGAACGGTATCAACATGGATGAATTATGCAGTCCTGGAATCGTCAATGAAGTACAATATGTAAACAATTCATAAACTTTTCATCATCATCTCAAGCAAAAAGTACAAGCTGTTACAATGGAAGCATTAGCTTCGAGCTTTATTTTTCTCCAGGTAATACCTGTATTGTCTAGATACAAACCTGGTTTTTTTGTTAATGCGAAGACAGTACTTCCACTTGTCCAACTTGTAAATTTTCTGCACGCTTATTCCGCTGGGATGTTCCATTAAATGAACATGTAGCACTTATATCTTATAGTGACAACGGGTAGGGATTTAGACTACCTTCCATGAAGATGAATGTAATTTGTATATAAACTTATTCATACCTGTAAAAATGGTGTGTGCCCGTATATTCGGGAAAAAATATTATTATTAAAATCAGTGGTTGGAAATCCAGACAGAAACAACACTACAGTTGTACGTGGGATTCCAGAATTGCCAAGTGACCGCTTGGCCATAGATCGGTACTTTCACGACGTCCAACAGTGGCAGTGGCCCTCAACTAAAGTTGGTCTCACTAGTATTCCGGCCAACAGCGTCAGTAGACCGCCAAGGCCAGCGCGTCTGAAGTCCGTTCCCACTCTCAGACTGCTCGCCATCCAATTCGACTTATATGCCTCCCTCACAGACATTCTACACGCATGGTATAATGCGAAAGACCTCATGGGTGGCCTGGTACGTATGTGTGAAAGCAATCCTAGACTCACGAGGCAAGAGGAGAGACGGCAACCGCCAAGACCTCTGGAGTCAGTGGTTGTCACACAGGCCAGCAGGTCAGATACATCGAGTAAAGAAGCTCCCGCCGCAACAGCCCCCACCCAAGTTAACAACAAAACACGAAAAAACGAACAATGCCATTCCTATGAGGACTGGCGACGCTAGACCCAACCACGTAAGCGCCCATCCCGGGCCTCCCCTCTCACCAGGCACACCCTAATATGTATGCACAGCAACGTTGGGGGGCTAAGAGGGAAAGCAGCAGAAATGAGGACGCTGCGTGCACATCAGCACTCCGACATCATATTCATCACCGAATCCTGGTTCTCGTCGGACATCTCCGACGAAGAGATGCACGTTACTGGCATGGAACTCTTCCGCAGGGATAGGGAACATAGAGCAGGAGGGGGGTGGCTCTCTACGTAAACTCCCGTTTAAAGGCAAGGGTGGTTAGCGATACGGCCTTAACCCAGCTCCCAGAATCTCTATGGTGCTACTTCACCCTCCACCGTACCAAATGCCTGCTTGGAGTCATATCGGTCCCCCATCAGCCCCCCTACACATAAGGAAATGGTCATCAAGGCAATCTTAACGGCTTCCTCTGCGAATTGCGATTCCATAGTCATTGCCGGCGACTTCAACACCCCGTCCATCCTCTTCAAGACGGAAGAGAGACACATCAGACCCTTCGACCAGAAGCTGAAGAATTCAGTTAAGACTGCAGGCCTCTCAAAGAAAGTGGGTGATACTACACGCTGGGGACCTAACGGAAATGCATCGCGCCTTGACTACGTTCTGATGAACGATGGACTCCTCATTGAGGATGTATGCATCCAACCTCCCCTTGGCCCCAGTGACCACGCGGTAATAACCTCCATGATTATTAAGGAGGCCCTGCAACCGGAGACGCCCAACACCTTCCCTTGCTACGCCAAGGCCAACCATGAGACCGTGAGGGACTATCTCATGAATGCATCATGGCCGATAGACTGGACCCATCTCACAGTAGATGAACACTGGTTACAAGTGGAGAAAATAATCGCTGGGGCCACCAGTCACAGCGTATCAGAGGTAACATATAGACTGTCAGCGAGAAGCTCATGGTTAAAGCGTGGGACAAACAGGCTTATCCAGAGCAAGAAGCAGTCTTGGTTCAGGTAGCGTTCATCGCGCAGGGAGTCTGACGTTTTGAACTACAAAAGGATTCGCAACCGCTGTAACATTAGAGTGCGTAGCGACAGATCTTCCTATCAAACAAACTTGGCGGAGAGGTTACAAAGCAATCCCAATGACTTGTGCCGCTTCGTGTTGAGAAGGAAGTCGGCCAGCAAGGGAATGAATCTTATCACAGGTCATGATGGGAGTGTACTAAGCAGTCTATGGGTTGCCGAGCTTCTGAGCTCACACTTCCAAGCCCAACTTGGTACCGACACTAAGTCCACAGCGACTCGTTACGACACCGGCGAAGTCACAAATAACGAATACCCCTGCCACATCTCAATCACAAGGAAAAAAAGTTAGAGAAAACATCTATGTCCAGACAAGTCCCCTGGCTGCGATAACCTAAAACCGGCCATCTTAAAAACCCGCGCCGAGGTGCCTTCAAAACCGCTCTGCAACCCCTTTAAGCACTCCTTAAAGAATGGAAGAGAGCCATCTTATCGCTCATCTTCAAGGGAGGAGATAGAAAAAGCTCCGGCAGCTACAGGCCAATTGCTCTACTCCCTATTGTGTCAAAAGTGTTCGAAAGCCTGGTAGCTGACACTATCTGGGAATTTCTCAATGAGGAAAACACAGTGCATTCTACTCAGCATGGATTTCGGAGCAATCGCATATGTACCACGAACTTACTAACCGCCTGGAATGACTGGCCACTAAGCTGGGACAACAGAGAACCAGTGCATACTGTCTTTCGGCCTAGCCAAAGCATTTGACGGTGTCCCACCCACAGTACTGCTTCACAAGATCATGTCAGCTAGTATAAGTGAACCTCTACCCTCTTGGTTCAGGGAGTACCTGGAAGGGAGGTAGTTCTGCACCAAAGTAAACAGAATAAGGTCGGAATGGAAACCATCAACGTCAAGAGTATCCCAAGGAGCAATCCCAGGACCGATTCGGTTTCTCTTGTTTTTCAACTATCTGCCAGAGGCAAGTATGACCGACTTCCAGTACATGTTGAGCAACCGTGCTATCACCAGAGTGTCCATGGTGAAAGATTTGGGGCTCAACTTCTCCGACACCTTGAACACCAGCTCCAACTACAGAGGTATGACAACCGGAGCGAACGCGATTAGGCAGTTTCTGCATAGACAGCTTGGCGCCCTCACTCCCGAACTCTTCCTCACCATTTTCAAATCCTACGTGCGGCCGCACCTAGAGGTCTTCAATACGGTGGCTCTTCCAACACTCAGGAGAGACTCTAATCTCCTTGAAAGAATACAAAGAACCGCAACAAAATCTGTTGTGGGGCTAGGGGGAAAGACACCCTGAAAGACTTAAACACCCAGACCTATTTACCTTGGGTTATCACATGAAAAGGGCTGGTCTTATCAAGGCCTACAAGATCATCCATCAGGCAAACCACGTAAACAAATCAATTTTGCCTGCAACTCAGCGGCCTTCACGAAGAAACCCCATTAAGATAGCACACCAGAGGGCCAACACCATACTCAGGTCCAATTTTTTCTTCCTGAGCGTATGTGCTTTATGGAACGCCTTACCGCGACATATCGTTATGGCTCCCTCAGTCGACTCTTTCAAGAGACGATTAGACAGTTATGTCACATCGCGCGGTCTACCATGGACGTACTCAGGTAGTCACCAACCTCACTAGCCCACCCTCACCTCCCTCCTACCTACCACTCACTATCTCTCTTCTTAATGCACCCACATTACCTACTAATTCTTCTGTAGGAACCAAACCCAAGCTATCGTTCGGATAATTCCTACATACTCTTCTCTCCTTTTTGTTTCTCCTCTTCACCCCCTTTTCTTCCCCTTTTTCCTTCTTTCTCTTCCCTTGTTTTCCTTTTTCTTCTTCACTCTTTTACCGCTACCTAACCATCCTTTTTTAGGACAGGAGTCACGTCAGTTCCCTAAACTTCTCAGCAACCCGTAGTTCCCCAATCACTCCACAAATTACAACTTACTAACCCACAAAACATCCACCTCACCGAAGCTAAAAGCAAGAAAGCGGAGAGGATTTCCTCGTTCACTGAAGGAGCGAACCGAACAACTCTAGCCAAGCCCTAAGAACTAGACGTGAGAGATCAAAACTATCTGTTTTCTACCATCGCAATTTCAATATTGGATACATTGGATATTGGAATGTGTGTTTATTTCTTGTTTCTGAAAAGCTAAAGCAAATAACTGTAAGCCAACTTTGCTGCGAAAGTACAGTAGCTATCATTTCCTATGATTTGTATCACTAAGTTTAGGTGTTGTTTGTCTTATGGTATGTTACACTTTGACGAATCATATTGTGACATTTCGAGGAGGTTGGTATGAAACTTGTGTTACATTTGCTACCGTTGTTAGCGTTGTTTTTGTGTTTGGTTTTGGTTTTCTGTGGGTCTGTTATACGTCAAATATCAATAATTTACTGTTGAAATATAGGAGGGACTTTTATTCCATTTTAAATGTTCCCCGTACCGCTAGTAAAAGTGAAATTAAGAAAGCGTACAGGTTACTAGCTGCGAAGCTACATCCCGATAAAAATCGTGAAGATCCAGACGCTGATAAGAAAATCCAGGACTTGAATGAGGCATATGAGGTAATTTTGGTGTGGATAGATGTTCATATGATCTTTGCGTGAAAATATATTAAAGCTGTTTCTTATAAGACATCAATTTTCATCTGAATAATTTTGTATATTCACTCTGTGCTAATTAGTCCTCCTTACATGTTGTCAGAAGTTTTAACATGTGGAGTATCCGACCTTAATCCATGCTTTATCTGAAAGTTTGTTAGCAAGGTTTCTTTGTAGTCGTATATCTGGATGTGAATGAAGTTTAATCTATTTTAAACTGATGCTTATGAGAATTTTGCGTTCCTCAAACTTTCTCCCGCATAAATGTCTAACTGCTGTTGTTACAAATTCTCATTCACACATTTAGATTTGGCTTTAAAACGACTAGTTCCCCTACTTTGAAAAATCACTATGTTATTTCATAATTGTGACGCGCAACTTTCAAGGATGAATGACACAAAGCTGAAGTTACTTACCTGTAAATTCTTCCAATGTAATCCTGATGTAAGGTAGGACGATAACTGCGTTAAAGTTGAGTCTGAATTTTGATCAAGGTTATATAGAAACATGCCCAACTACCATCTTCAATACACTGTCTAAAGTTAAAGCAGGATAAAACAGGATTAAAACGTGAACATGTTTTAACTGATTATCGACCTAAACTGTCCATTAAAGTGCATATTTTTTCTTGAGGTGTTGGTAATCATGAATCAAAAAATCATGGTAATGTGAAGTCTAAGCACTTCTGCGGACTCAAATAGATTATTTTTTTCAATCCATTGCACACGTATTTAGTTCCTGTTAACCAATTTTTTTCTGACTTTTTAAGGAACCCAGATTATACTTTTGTATGGTATACGTCTATAAATTCCACGTTCGACATCTATGATTACTAGATGGCAGAAGGCAATCACTCCCAAAATTACTGGTTATTGGGATAATTAACTATAACCGATCAAAAATATGTGATATGTATGACACTAAAGCGAGTATTCATACAGTAGTTTAGTAATGAATCTATTTATTCGGCAAGTTGACTTTCCCGCGATAAAACTATACTACTTATCGTTTGCTGGATTTCGTGGAAAACGGTTGTATTTCTTAGGAAATTCTATTCTCTCAAAATTTTGTAATCGTGTGTAACATGTCAGACTAGTCTACTTTTTGTAAGATGAAAACTAAAGAAATGTTTTTCATGAATGTCAGTAGCTGAGTGATTTGAATTTGACAAAGAAAAGAAAGCGTACGTGTTTGGGAAAGAAATATCGTTGTTCGTTTCACTACTAGCTTCATCATTTAACATGATAGTTCCAATAGTCCCGTTTTCCCAGTTCCTTTTCTTGGCCTTAGAAATCGTATTCTCAAAAAGTCAATTCTATGTAAGTAGAGTGCAGTTTGAGTACTTGACGAGGTAAGTGAAAGTTGAGTGCCTGAATCACTGGAGAACAGTCATACATGGTAGATAACTGAAGTGGACTTCCATTATTCCACATAGATATTGAAATTAATATCACAATTATATAAATACCTACATAGGATACCAAATGGTTTATGAACTCGATAAGTAAAGGCTGATATCGCAATGCAATCTGTAAAAATGGTTTATCATCGTATGTAACTGTTCTACTCAGGGCAACAGTCTATTGAGAAGGTTCATATTTCTCCCCCGTGTGTATCAGTCCCTGACCCTCAGTGTTGGATCCAGTGTAATAGTGCATCATTTAATGTCTGACCATAGTAAGATAACAATAGGGGCAATGTACCGAAATAAATCAAAATGGGGAAATAATGTTTCACAAATGGATTTTGAGTGTTGAAGTATTTAGCTATGAAAGTTTCATTAACAATGAATGGATTCAATTTCTTTCAAAAATAGCGAACCACTGCATGTTTCAGCTGTTTCACCTAGGTCTACTGTTTTCAATGTGACCAATCACGGTTAAATTATGGATATTAATTATTTATTTAATTACGACGCGGCCTCTTCTAATCTATTCTTTCATGAACAAGAAATCTCCATATTAGGTCATCGAACAAAAAATGAACGATAAGAACGAAAGTCCAGTTTGTGAACTTTATCAACCAGATGTTCTGTTTGATGCTGGTAAACAAAAGACACTCTTCTACCAATACTGGATATAACCAGCTATTCATATCACCCGTTGGCTAAATGGTCGGTAAATATCGTCATTTTGGTAAGGCACCGTATGACAAAATATGGCCTCAAGGAAACCTTTGATTTCATCAAATCGGGGAAAAGTACCAAAGTGTTGAAAAAACAAACGTAATCTGGCTTTTACTTCTCTCTCTAAAAACATTTCCCTAATCGGGACTATCTTCATAAACGACTAAATTCAGTCCAACAAAATCGCCACATGTCCCAGCTACTTGAAAAAACTGCTGTTCAGATACACCTTCAACATCTAGTACACATTTCACGAACTGTATGCGCAGAAAGTGTAAGAATGTGGTCTCCTCTTGGTCCACTTGTAACTGATATTTTCCTGGTCTTCCTTGAAAATAGTGCCCTTAATCCATTAATCGGCTGACTACGCTTTTACGAAAGGTATGTCAATGACACTCTTTTATCATATGATGAAGAATATCACTTGAAAAACCTAAACATTTTTAGTGCTGCTCATTAGTTTGTAAAATTCACGATGGAGTGTGAAAAAGATTTAGTGTTCCTTTCGAAATTGCAACCTGCTGGTTGTAAATCAGCTGCATAGACAAACTAACCACAAATTCACAAAGTCTGAAGCGTTTTCGAGAACCCTGGAGTCACAACTTTTATCTCCTCCATAAAGTCCAGACTGAAAGAGACTTAGTTGACTTGTTTGACTACCCTTAACTTCCTTCCAAATTAGCTTTATTTCGGGTAACATGGCTCGTCAAGGTAAGCTGTTTCTCTATGAACGTAACACATTTCCAAATGGCCCCAGTTGCTGAATATGCACAATATCGGTTGAAGTGCTTCGTTAGTCTCTTTTACTTATGATAATCTAGGTGATATCTGATTCTTCTAGTGGACTCATAAGTTTTTGTGTACGCCTGTTTGAGTTAGTTGATGACCAGAGATATTGTGTTGTGAAGTACAGCAGCTTAGTCATATTTACTGTAAAACATTGAATGCTTGTCATTTTGTACTTCCAACGAGCAACCTATCATTACATTAGGATGTCTGATCCCATCTTACATCTAAGACGACATGTATCCCTGAACCTTACACGCGTTAGTCTGAGCTGTGTTGGGAGATGTAGACTTAACCTTTTGGTTCCGGAAGACCATCGAATAGATTGTTTAAGACTCCAGGTGTTTGCGATAGTGTGAATGCATCCACGTAATGTAGTGTAACGTCATGTACCATTATTCACCTTATTTCTTTTTCGTTTTGCGATACGGCGTTTCGCAACTACTAGTATCATATTTTTAATCTTTCGTGTTGTTGAATTCTTAGAATATTGAACCAGATCTTACACTGTTTATATCAGTCTGTTAAGGTCTACTGCACATCATAATTAAATCTAAAAATGACACTTAGAGCTTAAAAAATTTTTGACTTTTATTGTTAACTATCCTTGTTCCATTAGTTTGTGTGATTATGCCTTGAAATCAAATTTAAGATAAAAAAGTTTGGTGTAACTCAAAACATTGTACATATCTATGCACTAGGCTACGGGCTACATCTGTTGTGTAAAGTCTATAACACTAACGTAGATCTGATTGGAAGTAATTTTAGACATACCTGGGGAGAAGTACGATTTTTATTTCCTTAAGAATACGGGTCAGAAGAGCAATCAGCGAACAGTTGTGCCACCACTAATGACAATATAAGTTAGGTCAAGAGTGATGTCTGGTGACGTCATCAGATGTCATTGTACGTGCTGTTGAACTCTGCATCAGTTCATGAATGCCTTATGCATTGTTTCTCTTTTGATGAACTGCAGTTATGTACTGCTGTCAACTAATAAAACTCTCTAGTTTTTGGTTCATTACAATTTCAATTTCAGTTATACTGTCTACGAAGCACCTGTTACTTATAGTTTTGAAATCGATTTTAAATGCTCTGCTTTTTCAAGATCAAAATTTCATAATTGTTTTTTGGACATAAATTCCATACTGATGGGCCATTTTCTTTATTTAGGTCCTCAGTAAGGACGACAAACGCAAGACTTACGATCGATACGGTGAGGAGGGTTTAAAAAACCAAGGAGAACATGAATTCAATCCGTTTGGTTTTGCACAACCTCCAACTGAAGAACCGCGTGGTGGCGATGTTGTAATGGACTTATGGGTTACTCTTGAAGAACTTTACATGGGAAGTTCTTTTGAGGTGACCAGACGTAAACTAGTCAAAACTCCTGCACCCGGAACTCGTAAATGCAACTGTCGTATGGAGTTACGTACTACCGTCTTGGGTCCCGGTCGTTTTCAAATGCATCAAGAACAAGTCTGCAGTGACTGTCCAAACATTCAGTAAGATTCTCTGGGGCATCATTTTGCTTGAAGTGAATTCATTTTAATGAAACATACTGTATGATATATTTCACATGTTAAAGCTTTAGGTGTCTTTTCCTTTATATTAATCTCACCATACATCAAATTTTACGCATGAACATATTACCTAACCCTTTTAGGATGTCTTAATTAATAGTGTATGTAAATAAGCTGCCTTACGGGTGGGATGTGCAGTTACCTGCCGTCGTATTTTACTAGAGATTAAGGGTCTTATTTATTCTTTTAACACACATCTGTACCCTTATTATCCTTTAACATGAAGTGCTATTGTAAATCAGGCACAGTAAAGTTTTTTGTTTCATGCATGATGCATTTATTTTTTCATTAGGTTTACCTCTGAAGATCGAAGTCTTGATGTGGAAATCGAACCTGGAATGAGAGATGGTTATATCTATCCATTTTTAGGTGAGGGTGAACCCCATCCAGACGGTGATTATGGTGATTTAAAATTTCGTATTCAACAACAAAAGTATGAAAGTGTTTTTTAATTAATTTTGGGTATTATAACTTGTACATATATGTTAATAGCTTGTTTAGCAGAGAACTTTTTCATTTTCATATTAAAGTGTTTTCGTCAGATGGGTAATAGCTGTCAGCAGCGAAAACCGAAATATTTTTTCGTTTATCGGAATATTTGGCATTTGGTCGACATAACTTGAGAAAAATCTATGTCGATATAACTGTCCAAATTTCGCTTCATGTGGTTATTTCTGTGATTATACTAAGAAGCAAATCTTATTTTGTTGAACCATGAGTTTAAATAATCATTGGATCTATTTTGTAGGATCTACTTCTTTGCTTTCACGGTTTCAGTGCACTTCAGACATACTTTTTTCAAATTACTGATTGAATAAGTATTTCTGCTAAAGTTTCACCAACTTTTATAACTGAGTTAGTGTTAAAAATATGCAAACAGACAGACAAAATCAGTGTAGAACTTTGCAAAGAAGTGCACCGGTTCAAGTCTTCAAACATCACAGCAGCATGCAAGGAATGAGTGGATAGATGCTGTGTATTAGTCTCACCGCCCGTAACCTTTTTCCAACCTCAACCTAATTCAGCCAATATTGTACGACGAAGCACATTGGGACACACTTGTCCCAGGCATCTCAACCAATAAAGATTCACAATCTCAACTGTCGACTGCCTTTTCTTTCCAAAGACTACATCCGACTTCCGCGTTACTGACGTAGTGACACAACGACACACGGACTTTGCTACGAAGGCATTGGTGGTCAAACATCAAAAGCCTTCTTATATCCTCCACCTTTAATGGCCATGTTTCACATCAATACAGTAAACCATAGCAAACTATAGGGGGTACACTAGCCCCTTAGTCGACAATTGGATATTTCAGTGGTACCACAGATAGCGTAAGTTGGCGAAATCCAGTCGAGCCTTTTGTATTCGTGCAGAGATTTCGTCAGCCATTGGCCCACCGTGGCTGATCCGACTTCCCAGGTAAGTGAAGTGTTCAACGCACTCAAACACTTCACTCTCTATTGTTGGCCAGAGCACCGTTGAAGACCAGTTCTAGAGCAACAGTTTGCATTTGGGTTGCGAGGACCGCATCCCAAACATTCTAAAAGTTGCCACTCAATGCATCTTAAAAACTTTACATCCTGTCAACATTCTCAACCTAATAGGACTATGCCATCTTTATGTTCTAAATCTTCCAAGGATTCTCCTGTGACTAGATCAATTTCTTTGAATTCAGATAACGATAGGGAGACCTCTATAAGAACGTCTACGACAAAAGTGAGTGGGAATGGAGATTGGGCATCCTCGACGGACACCACTCGAGATACACAGCTCACCTGACAACTCGCCATTGGCTCTAACACGCCCATGGGTGTTCGAGTACGGAGCCCTCAACAGTGATGCATTTATTCCTCTTAGTGAGAGATACAGTCATAAGACCTCTCCATCAATGGAGTCGAATGCCGCATTCAGGCTGAGAAATACAGCCAGTGTCGTTCATCGGTATGTGTACCTGTGTTCCAGAACTTTGCAGAGTGTTAATATCTGGTTGATACATCCACAACGATATCTGAAAACTTCCTGGTTTTCTCGAGATCCACTCAACCATATGTTAATTTAATTATGGAACCTAGAATCTCAGACTATGTTCGCCATTCTGATTCCTCTGTGATTGTCACAAGAGAACTTCTCGCCTTTCTTGAAGACTGAGTCAATGAGTGATTGAGACCAGTCAGGTGTGATCATATCTGACCCACAAACACTAGTGACCACACTTCAGTTAACTTGATCATCAATTCCCTACCACCTTAAAATACCTCCAGTACAAGTCCATCTGACTCTGCTGTCCTTCCTCGCTGTTCCAGATTATTTACAGCTTTTTCGATTTCTGTCAATGTTAGGAGTCACATTTCAATATTCCATTCAAGATCCGACCGGATAGCGAGCAACGCAATAGTAGCTGGAGACCAGTTGAACTGTTCCTTGGGTACTCCACTCATCGTTCTAATCATCTCACCTGAAAGTCAATCAGACTCATCCTTCTCCACCACAGTATCACTAAACATTGACACTTCTGTCCCAGTTCCTTTGACAAGTCTAAAGAGCTGTCTACTGCTGCCTGTTCACACCGTCTTTTCCATCTTGACCATCACTTCCCACCACTGTTCGCGGTCATTGCGTAGACTTTTTGTCAGTCTACACTTGAGTTTCTTCAGCTCCTCAACGTGCTCTGAACCTGAAGTGATACCTTCGCGTGCATTCATTAGTTAAGAAGAAGCTGGTGAAGTCCACTGACCCTTCTAACCACTCTATGAGAGTCGGCTACGCTTTTTCTACATCAGACTGGAGATGGCTTCTTTCCAGTTTCTCACTGGAGGCAGACATAGTGCTCTCATTGTTGAGCTGCACTCGCAACGGTCTCGTTGATTCAGTTTTTCTATGTCCATTTTGGCACAGACAAACATGTGCTCGAAGCGACACATAGTTGCTGTCCAAACACGTGCTCCAGGGGGAGCAGCAGTCTTCCACCGACCCGTTGGCTGACGACAATGTGGTCTATCGATGTCCACCGCTGAGTTGAGCTATTTGGATGTCATGTCAGACAATGTCTCTCTTCGTGTTGACCAGAAATGAATGGTTGTCTAAACAAACAGTTTTGGAAGGTGATCACCATTATCGGTTCGTTCAGCTGTGATCCTGAAAGTGTCACCCAAGTGCCTTTCTGTCTGACTCACCCTACCCACTTGTGCATTGAAATCATCTGCTACAACCACCACGTGTGAACACTTCACTTTCAGTAGGAGGCTAGACAGTTTTCGATAGAACTCATCCTTTACTTCACTTGAACTGCAGTCAGTGTGTGTGTGTGTGTGTGTGTGTGTGTGTGTGTGTGTGTGTAAGTGGAGATTGCAAAGAGACAACAGCGAGTTTCACTATTCTTTTTAGTCCTCACTGTGCCGTTCAGTCGAACAGCGCATAGGTGACTGGAATCCAGTCGAGTAGAAAACCTTGTGCTCAATGTCGTGCCAACACCTGCAAGATTGAGAGAACTGTTCATCGAATCTGCAGAAACTTAAAGGGTGAATTTGTCGATTCACCATATTGACCGTGTGAGGGTAAGTGAATAACTGCATTTAGGTCCTCTATATGTGTTTCAGAAACACAGGACACACCCATAGTTCGCATTGCTGGAATATTTTTGCCAACGAAGCTTGTCCGCCGGTTTGATGTAGAGTGCAAACATTGAAAGCTCCAATGTGTAGTTTGGTGAGTGGTATCAGGAGGCCATAGATGCTATGAGTTCAGGTCGTTATCAAGAGCTGGAAAGCTCGAAGAAATAAATATGATGTAGGATTTATGATTGAGAACCATGAGATAAAATTAGAAAGTAAGGGTGTGGAAAGTGGATAGTGATGTGAGGGAACTTGAGTAGCGACATAGTTGTGAGTGTAGTTGACATTTCTCGGGGAGGGCTAGTTCTGCTTAAGGTGTGTGAAAGAGAAGAGCTAGTGCGTGACCATAGAGCTTAAGGGATATCTGCTTGAGGCCACTGAAATGGCGTTTTTGGAAGTTTGAGATTTTGGCTTGTTAGTTTTGAATTCAACTATTAACTCAGATAGCCGGCATTGGCATCTCGCGGGGAAGTGGGTAATGTTCTATCTTTAGGGTTGACCTTTATAAGCCTCCTTCCTAAAGGGAAGGCAGTATCAGTATGTCATTGCTGGTCATCTTAAGGAAACAACTTACTGCTGTCACAGCTCCTCGAGCCAGTAGTGCAATTTCGCTGTCAGATACGATAACGGATACTATACTATAACAGTAATTGCTTTTTGTTTAATCACCATTCAATAGATGTTCCTTGTATGGTAGGACCTCAAGGAAGCAGGCTTTTCACTACCATAGCTCTTTGGATCATTGTAACATGCAAGTCCGACAACCATTTCAAGATAGTAGCTATCAACCGGGAGGAGCTCAACTACAGAATAATATGATAAAGATTTCACGAGAAATTTATCTCAAATAAAATAACCTACTAGGTTTTTCAATTATGTATAGTAATGATGGGCACTGGCTAACAGTGGAAGAGAAAGCAGTATCAGTATATCATTGCTGGTTATCTTAAGGAAACAGCTTACTGCTGTTACAGCTCCTCCAGCCAGTAGTACGACTTCGCCGTCGGATAGCGTAGAAATGTGCACTATAACGACAATTGCTTTTTGTTTAACCATTATCCAACAGATCTTACTGGTATAGTGACAAATTTTCCACTAGAATAGCTCTTTGGGTCATGTGATATTCAAACTCATCACCACGTCAGAATATCACCTATCTTTCGGAAAACGTGTAACTTGCTTAAAATCGAATGCCTAGACCAACAAGTCTATTACATCAATGTGCGCGTAGATATTCATTTGCCTAGCTTTCAAGTGTCAGTAAGTCAATTTTGTTACTGTCTAGAATTCATCTTGGATTAAGTATACCAGAAAATGCCTTGTCGAAAGTGGATTCTATGCAACTGACTCCAAAATATATCAGTGAGATTTCAATGAGATACATTGGATTATGGAAGCTATTCATCTTGTCTGTATGAAAAAAGTTTTCCCAACTATTTTTGGAATCAGTTTTGTCAAAATGTAAGCAGGAATGTCTTTAAAGTATGCATTTATTAATGAGAAAGTGTCTTTAATGGTGGAAACTACTGATTTCATGCTGATCTTCATTGTTTCCCTAACTAGATTCTCAGGATATCCAACTTGTATATACTTTATTATGAGCTTAATCGGATTCCTCGAAGCATATATTCTTCATTATATCATCACTCCTAAAGACAGGTTCTTCTGTACCGTTAAAAGAAAACAAATTCAAATTTTGTAAATAGACCTCCCTTACGATATGTTTCGATTTATATTTTAGGCGGTTCATGCATTTCTAAGGATGTTTAAGAAAGTCTTTTTAAAATTATAGTTCGTCAGTACTTTCTGAAAGTAAAATCTTTAGAGTAGAATTTGGCGAATATCCGCACTTCTGTGCTTATTGGTGTTTTTTTTGAAAGGAGGATATGTATATTACATAACATATCATTGCGGTAGTTTACTTGGTAGTGGCTAACAGAAGAATCCAGGACGCACGTTTTGTCCCACTTGGGACTCGTCAGCTTGATGTACCTGAACCTCAGTGAGGAGTGATGTTGTTCCGACTGAGACTCGAACCTCGTACTCATCGCTTCAAACGCCAAGGCGTTATCCACTTGGCCAATGAGGCATCGTGCCACCTCTTGTACTACGAGTATTAGTATTGAAACGGAGAATTACAAGTACACCAACACTAATATCCGTAGCACAAGAGGTGGCTGTCGTGCCTCAGTGGCCTAGTGGATAACACCCTGGCGTTTGGAGTAATGCGTACGAGGGTCGAGTCTCAGTGGTAACAACATCACTTCTCACTGAGGTGTAGATACATCCAGTTGACGAGTCCTGAATAGTACGAAACGCGCGTCTTGGATTCTCTTGCCTAGCCAAGACCAAGTAGATATATCATTGCTATTATTTCTACATGTATCATCCATAAGATGATGACAGATGTCTATTCATCATCACATTAGTTTCGATTACCATCTTATAACTCATCTATAATAAAAAATGATTAGGAGAGTCTCAGTCTGTCTACTGGTACAAATAATTTGTGGAGATAAATTGAAGATTAGGCGGGGATCCTGATTCAACTATACCGACTCATTGACAATTTAAGTCTAATGCTTTATTCCACTAAAAAGTCCTACTAATCAGTGAAATATACTACTGGACAACTTAAGTTTCTAGTAACCACTCAAGTTGTTCTGTAGGGAGTACATTTCGCTGGTTCATGATACTTTTGTTTCAGAGATCGCACCCTGTGATAATCTTGGCTGACTAGTAGTTTCCAACGGAGAAACTGTTGACTCTACAGTGGAAAAACTACTTAGCAGTGATAAATGTGAACGTGGACCGTACAGTTTTTAAGTTATTTACAAGTTGATCATCCTGCTTAGGAATCAATTTTTGGATAATTATAAATGAAATAGTTGGAAATGGATGTCATTAATACAAATTTTATTTTTTTCATCTTCATACATTCACTCCCTTTGATGAAGTTGGACAACGCAAGAAAAAGAACATTTGGAGAATAAGATGACGACATCATCTAACACTTCATATAATTACTTTTTTCCTAACTTCATACAACCTGAATAAATAAGTGAATAGTCACTGTAACCTATATTAACATAATTGATATGAGAAGGGTCTTAAGATGCTAGTTAGTGTTTTTAAGATCGAAGTGAACATTTCAATTCACAGTAAACGGAAGTTAAATGAAGGAGACTCAGTTAATGTAGATCCCCGTTATATGAGGGAAGGCGAGGAATGCTTTCGAATGAGTGAAATAATGTTAGATGTGATTCGAACCGATTACGCAGTCATATGGAAAAGCTGTCTATCTACCCATCTATCAAACGTCCTGTTCAAGTACATAGTCATAAATAGACCAGTTTCCAACTCTTTAGTTGGAACGGCATTTATTAACTTACGTGTATTTGCGGCAGGAAGTACATAAAATAAACAAAGAGATGGTTATTTACCACGATTGTCGAACATGTACGCTAGAGTTTGCGACTACGAGGTTCTACTTCACTTAGCAATGCTGTAGCGCATCATCTAGGTGATTACATGCCACCAAGTCGACACATCGAAATCCTTCATGGTATTTAGCAGGCAAAATGACTTTAGGCCTATTTAGAATTGTTAAAGTCGTTGACAGTGGATGAGTTCGGTTCGAATTATGTTTTAAAACGACAGAAATTGCTACTCTGGTAATTAGTGATCCTTAATCCTTTTCTACAATTTTCATACCCTTATTTTATGATCACTCACATTATCTATGGTTTCATTATTCCTACATTTGCTCTTACTATGCTAATTTATCTCACCCGTTTATCACTTTTATCTAGTGTAGTCAGTTCTAATTAAATCTACATCGGATTTAACTCATTCAAAAACATTCCTCACCTTCCCTCGTATAACGAGTATCTAGTTTGACTAAGTCCTGACTGGGTAGCCAGTGTGAGCACAATCAAGCAGTAGTAACGCGTCACGAATTCATATGGTAGTTGGGTAAAACCCGTGGTGACTGAAGTGAAATAAAAATCTGGTCAGCAGTCGGGCTTCCTAGCTCAGTTGGTAGAGTACCGGGCCGGAAACCCGGTGGTTACTGGTAAGAATCCCACCGCGGTCCAAATTCTCATTTCGTCTTCAATCATCACTCAGTATCAAGTCTCATTTGTTCAACTTTTATGTATCAGAAATTGAAATGTTTATTATGGTGACGTCATTGTCTTGTCTTGAAAATGTTCTCCTTATTGCATTTTTCATCTTCATTTACTTATTTTATCCTCTCTAATGTGCTTGTTTTATTTTTTTTGAATGTCTTAATGTTTCTGTTCATTTTTATTCTTTGTTCTATTATGAAGTACGACATCTCACTCCATTACACCTTTGTTAAGAGTTCTAAGATGATATCCCAGCGTACAATAATAACAAACACTACTTAAATGTAATACACTGATTCACTTTCATTGTCATTTAAACATCGTGTACTGTCTTATTAATTTTTAGGCATAAAACATTTCATCGACGAGGTGATGACTTATACACCAATATCACTTTAACTTTGGTTGAAGCCTTAAATGGATATCATATAACATTTCCACATTTAGATGGCCATCAAGTAAGTAGTTTGTCAGTTTATATATATATATATATATATATATATATATATATATATATATATATATATATATATAGGTAAATGTCTCATCTTTTTTGATGAACGAATAAGTCAGAAAATATTATTTTCGTTTATTTTCTACTAATTTTTATTGAACGAGTTACTTTTAAAGTTATCTTGATACTCTGACTCTATCAATTTTCGAAGGTAATAATTTTATTTCATTGGTTAGGATATTTTATATCCAACTTGTGAATCTCCATTATCAGTCATGATCTGCTTATAGGGAGGTGTTTGAGTGGCCAGTTAATATCATTAGCTTTCATGCAATTGACTTAAAACCTGCTAAATAAACAGTCGCATCATTACTGGGTTACATTTAAAAAAAAAACTCTGATAAAAATATCTCAATATGAAGTTGTTCAATCACTTAACCTTACTGACATGATCTACTGTTGTTGATCGATCTACATTATAACGAAAAATGCGTGTTTGCCAGAGTGTTTTTGATGATTGATTCTTAGCATTGACATCCATTTATCGAGTGGGCAAATCATTTGATAAAATTATGAGGCATTATTGACTGAGTTGGCTTGCAGGTGTGTTGAGCACACCAAACCGCTGCCTGTTCAAGCGTGCGTGATAACCACAAGGCAGTCAGTATGACCAGTATATTGCCTGAGATTCTAGTTCCTATAATTGTAAGACGTCCAAGTGAAATTTGGGAACAGCAAACCTGAGAAAACCACACAGGTTATTGACCTGATTGTCAGTGTTTCGATCAGATACTCACCCTCAACTAGGTTCTGGGCTACAGGCACGACTACTAACCCTGGCGCTAGCTATTTCAACCTGAAAGTGATATTTTTCTCCGTCGATCGACGGGTCTTACGACAATGTCTCTCACTAAGAAGGAGTTACAGTACTCCGACTAACAATAGACAGTGAAGTGGTTGAGCGCGATAACCACTTACCTGGGAAGTTGGATCAGCCGTAGTAGATCAGTGATCAACGAAATCTCTGCGTTGATAAAAGAAGGGTTGATTGACTTTTGCCAACTTACGCCATTTATGTCGCCGCCATGATATTCCGTTTCCTGTTGAGGGTCTAGTGTATACTGCGCTGCATTTCACTCTATTGTAGTATATGGTTGTGAAACTTTAGGTGAGAGAGAGAGAGAATTTCACAAACCACCATACGTGAAAGCGTATATGTCCATAGCCTTTGTTCATGTTCATTGGAATAGTAAGTAGCATTCGGGACGGGGATTGTCAGTTAGATTGTAGAAGAAAAATTTCCTATTTTGAGAGGCATTCTAATATTGGTTCTATCAACTATATTTCCTATTAGCTCAATTTATATATTAGATATATCGATCACATATTCCTGTTATGCAAATACTCTGACAGAATACGGGATCTTCTGAGAGATTTGAGTATTTTCGAAACACGTTTTATGCTTGTAAAATGTAAGATGTTAGTGCTAGTGTATGTCAAACCTGGTTGAAGGATGGAGTGAAATAGTGGGTTACTCCACTTATTTGACAGGTTACATCAACCGTAGCAAAATCTCATGAAAGAAAAAGCTTATTGCTTACACACTATGAAACCACAGAGTGACTGTGGTCAAAAAGTTTAGTGATTGTTAACCATCAGTCAACTTCACATCAGAATTTGAAGAGAACTCAGAATTTCATTTTCTCGATGTTTTACTGAGACAGTGTGCAGATGGTTCCTTCCCGAGATCGATTTACAGGAAGTTACCATGGAATGGACAATAAGTGAATTTCTATAACTGGACACCGCTTAGCAGAAAAAGAAATCTGATTCATTTTGTGTCATCAAGAATAAGAAGAATTTGCACGAGTGATACTATCGACATTGAATTAGACAAACTCCGGAATATTCTCATACAAAATGGATACCCATTCCAGATTCTTTGAAAACAAATTGAAAGTAACACAATACGGAGCAAGTATTCACAACTCCAAAGAAGATATTTTTTCATGAACGTTGGTTTCAAAGGAGAGATCCTGAAGAATCAATTGGTTGCCCAAGTCTCTACAAAAGGCATTCTTTTCTGCAAAGCTACAGATCAGCTTCCTTAGTCGATAAATGGCTGCGGGATGCGTTAAGGACAAGTTGCCGCTTTTGACCACTTCAATATGTATCTAAAAATTTACTTGCTCATGTAGAGCTAGTCATATAAGCCACACAAAGCGCCCACTTTCCAAATGTATCTCTGAACTTTATTGTTACCGAGGGGATAATGTAAATCCATTAACAGTTCAATTCTTGAACATTTGGTCAACTCTGGACATATAGCTCCACCAGAGTCCTCCTTCAGTGTCATTTACAGAGTCAAAGGAAATAACTCAAATAGAGTACGGTTTCGACAGTTGTGCACAGCAGAAGCACTGGCAATTCACTGATTCAGGCCTTAGCACTTTTACAATTTCTTGGTTTCATCATAATTAATTAGTTTATAATTTTCACCTTCATTATAACCCTTATAATTCTTGTTTCTTAACCTTTTTTATATCTATCAAATGAACACTCAATCTTCACATTTCACATCTACCAACAATTTTCACCTTCCAAACTACTTGCTTTTCTTACTCTTTACATTATCGAAAGGATTATTACTCAACTCTTTTCCAGTCATAACACTGGCCTAATGATCTAACTATGCTGTATTCAGTCGAATCGAATCGAAATACACTCAGCAGTCTTGTGCACATTTGTGCTGTAAGCAATGGGCCACAGGTAGTGTGTAAGGGCTAAGGATGCTTACTACTTAGCTGCCCAAACCTTGGCAGGTGGGACGGGGCTTGAACCCGTGACCAAATGTTTGAGAGTCGACTCCCTTAACCACCAATGAGGCAGACCTCCGCAGACTCTGTTGTTCAGTAACAGACTGTTTGTGATATATATATATATATATATATATATATATATATATATATATATATATATATATATATATATATATATATATATATATATATATATATATATATATATATGATTGTACAGCTTTGGAAAACGATATTGTCGAGAAAGAAAATTTTCTTCATTGGATTATCTCTTTTCTTTAAAGTGATCAGTGTTGAAGTCAGCCAGACTGAAAGACAAAATCAATGTCGAACCTCGCCCACAACTGCATCGGTTCAGCTTGTCACACTTCACAGTAGTATACGAAGAAAATGCAGATCGAAAAAGTGATATCGAAGTAGATGAAGTTGTGTGAGAGAATAAACATTATGAAGATATCGATTATTGCAAATTTTCAAGCTTTAGATGTCAAGGAGTGAATACTTCTGCACCATTGTGACCGATTTTCAGCCATGTCACAAAGAGTCGTCAACCACTGATTTCTTTAATCTTGGGGACCCCAACCAGACAGTCTAAATATGCCCACACTGCTTATACCAACAGTAAGAGATTTCATCGACTGGCACCACTTACCTATCTAGCCATTCTGAACCCTCTTCCAACCTAACCCATCTTCCCCTATCGATGGCGCGTCGAGGTAGACGGTGAGTCGGTATGCGCAATACGTGTCCAAACCATCTTAGTCGACTGAAGTTCACAACTTCATGAATCTACTTACCTTTCTTGCCTAGTACCCTTTGCCTGACCTCAACATTGCTCACACAGGGATTCCACCAAACGGGAGCAATGCTACCAAGACATCTGTGATCGAAACGCTTTAATCGCTTCATGTCTTCTACTTACAGCGACCATGTCTCACAGACGCATAGCAGGACGGAATAGACTGTAGCACAGTACACTCATTGTTTGATAGATAAACGGATTCGGTTAGGATTAACAGAAAACCAATGGTAACCAGAAAAAGGCATGACACCACTCCGTAGACTCTCTGACTACTTGGTTAGGAATAAACTTTTATGTACATTTGTATACTTTGTTTGTTTTAATGCCAATGTGAACTACCTATGTAATTGGTTGATGTTCAGCCAAACTTACTAGGCTTAAGTTCATACCTAGGAAATGTTTATTATTTCCACTTGATAAATACTTCTTATTGTATATAACGTTATATTATTAACTGTTTTAATTCGCCCTTGTCATGAATACCGTTTAAAGGTTGTTCTATCAAGTGATTATGTGACTGCTCCAGGAACAATTATTCGTAAGCTAAATGAAGGAATGCCTAATTTTGAAAACAATAAACTTCGAGGTTCACTTTATATCACAATCGATATACAGTTTCCTGAAAATCTTAAAATTCCTGAAGAACAAAAAGCAATAATTAAACAGCTGTTTGATTCCTCTACTGCTTCATCGTCATCATCATCATCAGAAGGAGAAGGGAATTCAGAACCTGGTAAACCAACTCTGACAACTGCGTATAATGGATTAGATGGAGTGAACAAAAAACTAATATAAAAATCCATAAATAGTTTGTTAAATTCTGTTTTTTGTTTTAAATTTAGAAAAAAACAAACAAAAGAATTCAGCATTCTTGCCTGTATTTATTTTGGATTTGTTTTCATTGTTAAAGTAGGCTAACGAAATTGAGGCAATTCACTTCTCATTACAATATCTATTGTGTACAGACAGTGTTGTCATCTTTTCTTTTTGTATTGTTTTGTATTTTGTTTTTAATGTTGGAATTCGTTTTCGTTCTATGCTTTTATTATTGCCTTCTCATTTCATGGATGCATGCTTATTAGATTGTATCTTTTCTCCTAAGTAATAAATAAGTCTGCTCGCTGAACAGTTTGTTTTTTTATTCTCATGTTTCAATGATGTTACTACTCCAAGATTGTGGAAGTGAAATGGTGTACACAGCATATTCAAGGTCGTGTGTCTTTTATGTTTGTGCATGTGTCTGATTGATTGTTTTCTTGTAAGGCATCATCTTATCAACAACCCACTTTGTCCATCTTCTTATTTCTATACAGACGACTAAGTTATGATGTGAAAAAAATGTCTTTAAATTCTTTGACAACTGTACAAAAAAAACAAATCATTTAAATAAACGTTGTTGAAGAATTTCACTGTTACATTGATTTGTCACTGGAGAGTAATCAATTTCATATTGTTTTGCCTTGAGGATTGGCTGAATTCTGTCTATCATTTTGTAATGTGATCTAAGAAATTGTGTATCAAAGTGTATTTTGATGGATGGTGTTAGTTGGGTTGAAGCATTCAGGAGGATGAGCCTTTGCAACTAATGGGCTATTCGCGCCGCGATCACCTCCATTCAACTAACATTATGAATACTGGTGGTTATTTATAGAGTAGGGCTTATTTGATGTGATGAAGTCAGATGTACCAGAGTTATGTACATTAGTACATTTATGACGAAGTTTAATCGGAACAGTGATAGTGGACATCCCTAGTTGACACCCTTAGTTATTAAATCACATGTAAACTCTCTATAAGCCCTCACTCAACTGCGTGTGCTCAAGTAGAGAGCTTTGATTAGCCTTTTATACTTTCTTGGTACTTCTTTCAAAGTCGGACACTGTCACAACGTCTCACGGTCGACTGAGTCAAATGTTGCCTTCAGGCCAAGAAATATGGCAAGTATCGTCTTCCGGTAGGTATGTCTGTTTTTCAGAACCTGTGGGAGGGTGAAAATCTGATCGGTGCATCCTCGACTGGGTCTGAAACCTGCCTGGTTTTCTCGAGTTTGCTGTTGTCGAGCTGCAGTTAGGCATCGGATAACTGTGGACTCTAGGATCTTGGATACAATATTAGTCAAACTAATTCCTCTATGGCTTTCATAATATTTTTCTCCTTTCATGTAGGCTGGAATGATCGGTGGAGTACACAAGTTTGACGACATTACCTCTGATTCCTATACATCACCTAGTACCTCCGTTGCTTTTATTAGCCGTTTCTTACCTTCATCCTTGAAAACTCCAGGTGGCAAGCTTTGAAGTCCTGGTGTTTTGTATCGTTTCAAGTTCGACACAGTTTTCTTTACTTCGAGATTTGGAGGACCGACATTTGTATCCTATTCAGGTTCAGGTTTCATGTTGGCAACTGAAGCATTGCTGTGGGTCAGTTGAACTGTCCTTCAGAGTGTTCTGACCAACGTTCTAGCCTCCTGTCCTGGTAGGTTATCAGCGTCCGATTGTTTTCGGTGATGGTTTCACTCACTATCGTCTTCTTGTTGTCAGTATCCTTAATAGTTGCCGAGTGTTACCCAACGCTTTCGTCACCCATCACTGTTCGTGATCGATGCGAAGACTCTTAATCAACTTACGTTTGAGTTGCTTCTCAGAGCCAGCTGGAATCAGTCTTTTTGCATCAATCAGACTGGATAACGCTGCGGAAATGCGATGACGTTTGCTAACCTTTGTGTGTAGGTTATCGATTATCTTTACCACTATTCCTACAGCAGACTTAATATCACGCCAGATTTACTCAGGATGAGCGTTGCTGTTATGCTCAGATGAATCCTTAGCTATTTCTTCCACGAGTTGGTACTTGACGTTTTCATCTTCCAATCGAGAACAGACAGGCTATTCTATCACCTGTTTCCTGCCCACTCGTAAGATACAGACATACATGAGCCCGTACCAGCGGGTGATCGGAGCCCAAACGCCTACTCCAGAAAGAGCGGCAATCCTCCGACTATGGCTCATAGCAATGTGATCTCTCTGTATCCATCGTCGATTTTAAGTCAACGGACGCCATGTAAGATAGTGTCTCTCCTTATGCCTAAAGTTAGTGCTGGCCAGAAACAAGTGATTGTCGGGACAAAATTGCAACAGACGATCGCCGTTGTCTCTTCGTTGGCATAGGATTTCGTAAAAACCTTGAAGATGCCTTTCCGATTGGCTAAGCTTCCTTACTTGAGCGTTAAAGTCACTCGCTATTATGACTACAACTGAACGGTTTGCTTTCTATGGCAAAATTGACAGCTTCTCATAGAATTCACCTTTTGCATCATCCGAACTGCAGTCGGTGGCCGCGTAGGCGGAGATTAAGAACAGGCATCGTCTAGTCTCACGATCCTTCCTAGTTCTTACAGATCCCTTCAGTTGAGCAGCACCTATTGACTGATATCCAGTCAATGAGTGCACTTCCTAGTGTAGAATTCAATGTTATGCTTACACTAGCGAGTCCACGAGAGCTACTCATCGGAGCCACCTCTTGTCCAACGGGTATCAATTGTTATATATTGATACTTGTAATTTCCCGTTGCTGGTGTCTTTGTTAAATTCTTCATATCCAATGAAAACTTGTAATTAATTCAGAAGTTCGTCAATATGTGTTCACATTTGATAGAAACTAGCAGTCCATTAGTGAATCCATACTGAAACAGCAGTTTCTTTAACTTCAATGTATTATCCACGTCTTCGTGGTGGACTTAATATGGTTTGGTGCTTGCCTACCTTGGAATTTGTTGGAATTGATAAAAAAGCAACTAGTTTATGATATGATGAAGGATATTTTTTGTTGAATTAACATCTACCGGCAAATCATGACCCTCTGGACACGGGATCTTAAAGGTCAGACAACTCAATGACTTGCAGTGTTATCAAATTTGCCTCAGAATAGTGTTTTAGATCAGTAGTCCCCTTCTATCGTCTGTGATTGGATAGTTAGCTATACAGGAGCAATTAAAGCCAATGGGATGCATTCTATGCTAATACTTCCTTCCTCATTAGTCTGTTATTTTATATCCTTCTCTCCTACTATATTTTACTAATCGTATATCATTTTATTTTGTGGTACATTTCTCAATGTCAGTGCTGTATCACGCTTGGCTTTTTAAGTAAACTCCAATGTTCCCTCGCTTCCAATGGTTCTACAAGTAATATCAATCCATTATGAAATCACTAAATCCCTACAAACCTCCAGATTGAATTATTGTCTAGTGCTCATTAGTGACACACTTCAAGATGAGATTTCTCGAAGTTCTTATGAGAATTCGTGACCGATGGGTGGGGCAAACTGTGTTGGACCTGAGGAAAAGTAATCGCCAATGGCATTGGATGATTGTCTTACTATAATCGCGAATTGACAGAAGTAGGAAACTGTAAAAGATTGTATTCCAACCCAGTAGCTCTGTGGTTGCGTGGTCGCCACGATACCCGAAGGTCCCGGGTTCGGTCCCTGGTGGGGTCTTGGTTGGGTACTGCTGAGTCCCATAATAGGATGAAACAGCTATTTAGTGCTTCCAGGTTTCTAATGACTCTCCAGCTGATGTCGATTCATGATGAATAACAATTTGGAATCATTAAATCCCCACAAACTTCCAAATTGAAACTCTAATGCAGAATATCAACGCCCGATTCACGTTGGTTTCGAAATAGTGATTGGTAATAGTGTGAATGCGAAGGATATTTGAGTGTTTTCAGATGAACCTGAGGCGTAAATACTTAATGTCACATGAAATTTCATTCACTGATTTATTCAACAGATGCATCATTTTGTAGTTTGGCCACTTGACTTTCTTTTCAAAGCTATTTCGGTTACAGCCTTGTTAGACGTTCAGATTTCTAATTAGTTAAAAACCATTCAGGCTGGTGTGTTGACAGTTGAAAAAAACTACTCAGTTGTGAGGAATATCAGCGTCAACTGTAAAATTTGTAAATCACTTGTAAATTAATCAAATTTCTACTCAGTGTCTAGTTTACGAAATTTGAGTGGAGGTTGCTTACGGAAATAACAACAGTAAAAAGGTTTATTTTTACAATATATTTGAGTGTATACTGTGATAATAATTTAGCACACCATGAATAATATGTATGCTTCAGAAACGATGAAAATACACATGTATACCGTTTAGTACATTTTTAGGCGATGCTAATGCTGTAAATCCATCTGTATGTAATAAAATAGTTAAATTTAATATAATAATCATAACTCGTTTAATGAACAGCTGAATTAATTTACTGTTCATCTACTATGCATGTTATAGTTTGCTTTATTCTCTTTTTCTTCTTTACAATAAACTAATCATCCAGTTGACATAATAAAGCTACACCTCGCAGAATCCAATGACTTTCTGGCTTATCTGATGTTAAAAGTATAGACAGGACAAAATTTGTTGAATGTCCAGTTGTTGAAAGTACACCGCGTCGTTCACTTGTCTTATACACTGGTGCTGTATAACTTGGTCTTGGTTGAATATCACTCTTTTTCATCGGTATTAACCAAACCTATGTATTGGTTTAACAGAAGTAAACACAAATTATTATTATTAGTTTTAGGTATAAAAATGTAATATTGTTATGTTAAAATATTAGTTTTCCGTATTCGTTTCTGCTTAGTGATGACTCCGTATCGTTATTGTCAAGTATCTCAGTTATAATTGACTTGATTTTTAGGCTAGCAGTGAAGTTCAGAGTGCATACGGTGTGGAAATACCACTCTCTGGGGTGCATGGACATCCAGCTGACGAATCCTAAATAGGGCGAAACGCGCTTCCTGGACTCCACTGCTAGCCATAACCAAGTCAGTTATAGCAATAAATATTCAAGCAGTATCGAAGCCCATATGTCAACAGAGGTCGAACAGTTCGGTCTAGTAAAACAACAGAGAATCACAAGTATATCAACAAATCGTAATAACTAATACCCGTTGTACGAGAGGTGGGTGTCATACCCCAGTGAAGTAGTGGATGGCGCTTTGGAGTTTGGAGCGATGGGTATGAGGTCCGAGTCTCAGTGGGAACAACATCACTTCTCACTGGGGTGCAGGAACATCCAGCTGGCAAATCACAAAATAAGAAGGAATATGGTCTTAGATCCCACTGTTAAACGCCAAGCAGACTATAGCATAACGAATATCCAGGCATATTCGAGGCATTCGCATAGGAGCCCGTTTGTCAACAGAGGTCAACCAATTCGATCCAGTATAACAACCGAGAATCACAAGTGTCATCGAATAATGATAAGTATCTCAGTTGCTTATACTAAGATGGTTTTTTCTAATGAACCTTCATTTCAACGATTTCAGATTTTTCCCAACAAGATGTGAAGATTGCAATCCAGTAGCATTTGAAGTGATGGGTATTGAACTTAGGCCTCAGTGGTAGCATCAACATACAGGTTCACTCGACTAGCTATGACTCATCGGTTCACACACTTGACTTCTCACTGGTAGGTCAGGGGTTCGAACCCAACTCTACTTAGTGAGACCTGGGCAGCTAAGGTAATATCATTAGCGATCACAAAATACGTTTGGTTCATTGCCTGTTATACGATCGTGTATATGTTTCCTGGGTGTATGTCTATTTCCACTCGGTACTCTGTCAGCTAGCTACAAATGGCAAGAAATACGCCACTAGAATTTTACTGCTAGTCACTAACTTATGTATAACCGGTTTGGCCCTCCCTCCCCCTCCTTGTGGCACAATCTTATGGATAACGTTTTATTCAGTGAAGAGAGGATTCTAAACTTCTGTGGCTTTACCATACAAGGAAGGCACCTCAAGGATGTCACATGGGATTATCAGTAAGTTTTGGTTGGAATGGCAATTAAACCCACACAAGAGCCTATTGACCCAGTTAACCAAAGTAGTTTGATGCAATAAATCGTCTGCAATGGTTGCTACATCAAGTACATAGATCAAGATATTCGACCAGGGTTAATTAGGCTTTCAGAGCAAAAAAGCTTAGCTGAATCAAGATGAGCAAATCTTAATGCGATAAGGAATCTAGAGAAAAGTTTGGCTTAGTTGTACATGCGACTACACGCTATGGGGTGGGACAAAGTGACAGTTCTTAAAACTGACCTAGTCGAGGAGACGGAGGGATTGGTAACTAGATGTCTGTTTGTCAAACCAGAACCAAATAAATGCAGCAGGAATGGCTGAGCACTTGTTATAGATATACGGAAAACCCTACCATCTATTACAGAGAGGGGAGAGAATCGGAGCTTTATAAACCGTACCTCCAAGTTGTAGAGTTATCTTGACACAACTATGGACAATAAATTGTGGCCTAAAAGTAAGCCGGTAGATGATACTGTTTGGCTGCCTGATACATCGATAAACCGAGAAAAATGAAGTTTATGAGCAGGTAGCGAAATGCATCATAAATATCTCAAAGAATGCTATTGCTAAACTTTACTTATCTCACAATAGTCCTTCCGTCTTTTTTCAATTTGGGCTTGATGCTACTTAGTAATAATGAGTAGTAACATAGGGTACAACTCATTTTGTTGTTTTATACACGCCACTAAGTATGAAATGTTTTTACAATCTATTTTATTTAGCGTGGGTATTAGCGTTTTTTATCATTTAGTTGCTGCATTTGACCCCATTTTATTTTCTCCACATGAATCATACTACTCCTTGAACTTTTGTTTTTATCCTTTCTTTATATTCCTGGATTTGACTTGTCCTTCACACTCAGCTGTGGTTTTGGTTTTGATGCAGCCTGAGGGGGTGCAGGTTCATCCAGCTGACGAGTCCCAAATAGGACGAAACGTGCGTCCTGGATTCTTCTGCTAACCACAACCAACCAAATTATCATAATTAACATTCAGGCAATATCAAGGCATCCTCCTAGGAGCCCATATGCCAATGGAGGTTGAATAATTCGATCCAACAAAACAACGGAGAATAACAAGTATGTCAATAAATAGTAATTATTTTGTTATTGTTGCAATTACGATTTGAAGTTTTTTATCTCATTACTGATAATTTTTGTTCCTCAAAATGGTGCTATACTTCAGATATATTCTGTGTTTTGACTGCGGTGTTTTACACGTAATTCATGCGTTTTGATTTCAAGTTATTGAAGCTCTCAGTTGAACGTTCGATCTTGGAATTCCTTGGGAACTCTTTAGATATTTGTATTTTTACGGAGGATTCTGCATTAGATTCGCGAAACAACTTGTAAATCCGTTCACTCAACCTTTTAGTGATTAGTTCTGATGATTGACCATAGTAATTCAACCTACCAAGTTTTTGCTTATTATTATTATTATTATTATTATTATTATTATTATTATTATTATTATTATGATTAGGAAGTTGAGATGCAGCCGATGAGTTACAGCTTACAGGGGTTGTCAGTATCATTAACCGTAACGCAATATATGTAACCCATAGTTTGGGGACATTCACTTGTACGCGCACAATCAAACTATGTAATTCAATTTTGAGGTTCATGGGGATTCATTGATTTCAGGTAGGTATTCATCATGGACATATCAGTTGGCGAAACATTTTAAACCTGGGAGGACTGGACATCTGTTTCGTCATAGTATAGGACTCTTCAACAGTGTGCACCTATTGGATCCCGACCCAGTGGCCCAGTGGTAGCGTGCTGGACGCGGAGCTTGAAGGTCCTGGGTGCTCACTGTTGAGGAATCCCATACTAGGATGGAAGAGCTATCCAGTACTCCCAGGTTTCCAATGTTTCTCCAACTGATGTCAGCCCATGATGAGTACCTACCTGGAAACAGTGAACCCCAAAAAACCTCAAAAACGGAATTAATCTAGTGTTCATTGGTAACTAGCCTCGAAATGTAATTCCCGTGGTTCCAGTAAGAAGTAATGACCAGTAGAGCTAACCAAGTCGAACATGAGGAGAGTTACTCGACGACAGGATTGGATGGAGGTCGCGCTATGCCGTGAACTAACAGAAATAGGAAGTGTGGAATACTGAATCGCGACCTAGTGGCTCATTGGTAACATGCTGGGCGCGGAACCTGCAGGTGAAGGTCTTGGGTTCTACCACTATCTGAGCAGGGTTATAAGTGCACACTGCTGGGGAGTCCAACGCTAGGACCAAATACCTCTATATAGTGCTTCCAGGTTTCCAATAGTCGTCCAGCCGGTATCAGTCCACGATGAAAGCCACCCTGAAAAATACTTAGTGTCTGACTTTACACATAAGATAACACAAGAACTAGGATTTCACACCATCCTAAGAGGGTTAGCAGTGAAGTAATCAATTACTCTAATGGATAGGTATTACAGGCGCGTATGTGTGTGTTAACTGTTAAATATAATGTAGACAAAATAGGTATACGGAACCACTCAAAGGGCGAATTATACTTTATTGAGTTCATGTTATTTGATAATTCTTTATTAGCGCTCAAATGTATAAGTTTTCGATACCATATAAGAATTGAAGATACATTTCATCACCGAAATGGCAACGGTAGGGACAATTAGGGAAAACTGTTCATGAGTATTGAACGAATTTTTTATTCTGCTTTGTCGGTCATCATCAGTATACACTCTTGGTTTTTCGAGAGTCATCTGTGGAAACTGCAATACATATATCCGTATTGGTTTGAATTATTTCAAGGGGGTATTCATCATAGACTGACATTAGGCGGAAAATCCTTTAAGAATCTAAGAGCACTGGACAACTGTCTCGTCCCTGTTATCGGTACTTGAAGGGGAGTTTCAGGTGTTGAAGCGTAGTCGTTTTTTCCTGTCCATTATGTCGATTCCCACAGTTAACATTTCCCTGTACTTTTTAGTGTTATACTTCACGATAGATTTCCAGGATTTCGAATGAGAAGTTGTGACCTGTGGGGTCAAGGAAATCCAGTCGGAGGCCACATACTATCTGAAAGAACTGGTTGTGCTACCTTGCGAATCGACAGAAGTAGGAGAATATGTACCATTTGATTGCTACTTAGTTGTACAATGGCGGCTTGTACGCCGCCACACCTGAGTGTGTTAGGTTCTGTTAATGTTGGGTTGGATGGTGGAAACTCCTAAGTAGTCTAATACTAGGATGAAATAACTGTTCACTGTTCCTGCGTTTTCAGTGGCTCTCTAGTTGATGTCACTCTGTGATAAATATAACCCTGAAACTGATTAATCCCCACAAACCTCCGATCTTAATGTTTATTGATGAATACATTTTCCATAACTTTATCGTGTTTTAGACTTTTTACCTATACGGAGGTAATGTGTAACATAAAGATATCAATTTGACTATCTGAGATGCCCGTGGTTTGGCAGACTTTTATTGATAATGGGTAGGGATTACTGAACTGAAGATCCGCGCCGTGGCACAACTGGAACTAGCGACTGCTGGGCTTCTGGATCGGTGCTTTTCCAACTGAGCTACGAGGCCGAAATGGTGACCAGATTTTTATTTGACTTCAGTCACTGATAATCAATATATGCCCTTCCTCTCCAAGTCAAGTAGATGTGGACTGGGATGAGAAGCCCTGACTAGACAGTCAGTGTAAGTACGAACACACGATAGTAACGCGTCGCGAATTCATTTGACAGTCCGGCCAAACGCTTGATGATTTATATGAAATATAAATCTAATCACCAGTCGGGTCTTGCAAATCAGCTGGTAGAGCACCGGGCTAAAAACCCGGTGGTCGTTGGTTCGAATGCTGCTGCAGCCCAAATTTTTATATCACTCTAAATCATCACCAAGTATTAATATGGAATTCATCTAGAAGATACTGTAAATGCTTACCGGTGGCATAGGATCTTGTAAAACTTTTGGTAAGGCCTCTGCTAATTTCTTATTCTGTCTATCCCATCTAGCACCATCCACAAACAGACCAGTGACATACGCTCCTACAGAAAGATAATAAAATTATTTTATAACAACAAATTGTATAAATGGTATAAGAAGATTGTAATAGACATAAATAGATTTATCACGTTGGTGTTAGATGGTGGGAGTTATGGGAATAACATTTTGGCACTGTGGTACAGTATAATTTTATTGTAGTTCTTTTTTCTATGTGTATCACACAATGAGACAGTATTATTTACTGATGGTACTTCAAGAACAATCCATTGCTGATGATCACACCCGGGTAATCGGACCTATTTTTATAATTCTATTGTTTTGAATTGTTGGATAGTAAAACTTCCGATGTATCTGAGATTGTTGTTGCATCATTTCTATTACATGTGTATAGGTGTCTATTCGATAACCATGTTATTCTTTAGAATTGTCATTCACTTCAATTCTATTGTGTAATAATGTATGACAGCATGTTTGACTCTTTTCTAAATTTATTATCTTATTAGGTTTAGGATGTTCTGCTAGTATAATCGACTCGAGTCGGCTAGTTTGACCTATTTCTTTGGTCTCAAAGTTATTACTCGGACTTTGATAGACCAAACAGCTTTCTTGAATGGGTTCGACAGGATTCTCTAGCCGACAAAGTTAAGTGAGTTTTTGGGTTTAAGGGTTAGAGTATATTATGACTTAAGTGGAAATCCTTGAAGTGTACACGAAACGACAACCTCCCCGTGATCTTCTCAACCCCTTCGACTTTCAAAACACTGAGCCTAACAGAGCTGTAAAAATATCCAATCAGAAGTTGTTTATTACTGTAATGGTAATTTTGTTACGCGAAAGAAGTCATTTTAGGAATTATACTGAGGCAATCAATATACTGAGATAGAGGCTGACTAGTTTATTCTGACTGACCCAAATAAACGACAAACTGTTGAGTAAGATTTCTCTAATCTCAAAGCAACAAGTTAAATTTTTTGAGCGTGAAAACTCTAAAATCCACCTGGCGTCTACCAGCTATTCTTATTTCAAGAATAAAATACCCACCCAACCAAATTAAAGAAGCCTGGCAAGATAACGCTTTGCTACCTGAAGTGATAGGTACTGGACTTGAGTCTCACATGGGTGTAGGGACATCCAGCTGACGACCCCGAATAGGAAGAAACGTGCATCCTGGATTTCACTGTTAGCCACCAAGTAAACTGCAACATAATGAATATTCAGGTAGTAGTGAGGTGTCTGTATAGAAGCGCATCTCCGAACAGAGGTCGAGCGACTCGACCTAGTGTATCAACGAGAAATGAATGACAATTGATAGCCTTCTAACAAGGGATGGCTCTCATGCTTCAGTGGCCCAGTGGATAACGCTCTAGCCTCTGAAGCGATGGTTATTACGTTTGCGTCTCAGTGGGGACAGAATATCACTCACTAGAGTGCAGTTACATCCAGCTGACGAGTCCCAAATAGGATGAAATGCGCGTCCTGGATTTCACTTCTAGGATGACTGGTCCTTAGACTCATACCGACTAACCTAAAAGTTTTTTTTGGTTCTAATCATCTGTTATTAGTTCCTGTGACTATTCACATATTTTTCTCTCGCTAGTTAGAACTTTTATCGACTGGTTGCTTTGGAAATGATGACTATCTTGTCAGAAAAATATCTGTTGCTCAATAAAAAAACATCTTCATATTAAAAGATGCACATTTTGAATTATTTGTGTTTAATTAACACTATTTAAGATAAATTTCATTTGAGGAAAAAAAAATCCTAATCACTGGTCAATAAATGGACAAGAATTACTTACCTTCTGATGGAGGTTCTGTATACTTTTTATCCTCTATTACTTCGAATTCAAAGGATAGCAAATCAATAGGAATTCTATGCTTTCGTGCATAGTTTTGTTGTACACCCGTTAGAAAAGCTTGTGTAAAGAAGAAACCTGAAATCCAAAATACCGGTGGAACTCCTTGTTCATACCATACCTATGTAATATGTGGGAATTGAAGAAATAAATATTAGTTTAACCTTTCTTCCATTCCGGGAATAATGGTATAAAAGACAAAATATTCAGATTGCAGCTTATTTCCCCCCCTCCCCCTCTGTGTAACGTGATTATGTGAGTACTTATGTAAATAACTACAGATTATTGTACATTGAAAATATATATTCACTTTCATATATATATATATATATATATATATATATATATATATATTCACTTATATATAGGTTTGCAATTCGATCAAAATACCAATCAAATGGTGGGGGGTTGATAAACAATAATTATAATGATAGATATCCAGAGAAGATTTTTTAACTAACCATATGAAGGTTAAGACAGGAAGGCCAAAAGTTCCTAAAAAGTAAATCTTCTTGAAGCTGAAAATCAAGAGTAACATTGCTAGTGAGATCATCACACAACGTATAAAAGAGCCTTACAAAAAGCATTCCCAGTCGCTAAATTATGTCTCGTCTTCTACAACCGCTGTATTGTAGACGCAAGAAATAAAGACAAACTGCTTAATTTTGCCACTTCCATGTGCATTTATTAGTTCGACTGCTACTGGGGAACTCTTTACATTAGGCGTACAATGAGGCAGATCCTTCGTTGAATTTCTGAGCCCCCACTTATTATGGTTTGAACAAGGGACAAACTAGAACAATAAAGAGCTCCATACTTGCACACTTAATTGACACTGGACATCAAGTGGATACTAGAAAAGGATTCGAAATTATTCATTATATACCAATTAATTTACCACACGGATTATGCATTCTCTTACTTCACACAGCAGAAGCGATTCCAATCCACCTTCAAAAAACCAATTTTTATTTTCAAAAGAAGTTTGTTCGGCTACTTTCATTATCTTGGCCATCAATATGATATAACTTCTAGTATGACTTTGTATCCCTCTTCCCTCTCTTATTCTGTGAATATTCACTTGCTTTCTTATTCTTACATAATTATTTATTGTTTATAGTTGACCACTCGAAGAAAAGCATCCTATTCACTCTAGGAGTTACTATGCACTTTACATAAGAATAAACTGTTTCAAATTATTATAGTTGCCATTTTCAATCATGTATAGTTACCCTTCTGATTCATTGATTGGTCACTGGTCATACTGTCTAGCCCTAAGTGCTGATCGAATTCTACCGATCATTTTGCAGTGTGGCCACCAGGCCAGGCAGCTCAGCATAGCGATGCACTTTGATAGATGTTAGTTGGGTGCAAATCAGTCATAGAGATCAGTTGCAGCCCGAGTAGCTCAGTGGTAACGTTGTTGACTGCAACACTGATTGACGGAGGTTCAAATTTCAGGCGGGATATCTGTTCCGTTGGGGTTGCAGATACACCTTGGTGACGAGTGCTAACAAGCACGAAACCTAGGTCTGGGGCTTCCTGCCGATTACTTCCATCCATCTAACATCTACTGTGTTGATTATTTGCATCTTAATTTCTCAAACTTATCATCTTCATGACTTACTTAAAATCTATAATTATTGTGTATCAATCCCTACCACTTGATTAGTATTTTGATTGAATTACAAACCTATATATTAGTGTAGCTCCGAAGACGAAGACCTAATTAAAAAGGAGTATATTTCTTCTCTTGTTAAGTGTTTTTCTAAACTATTGATTGCATGGTCTTGTTTAGCATATCTAGTATGATTATTGAAAAAATTATATGCCCACTATGCTTAAGTGTATGTGATTTTCCCCCAAATCATTTATTTTCAGCAAAACTTTGGAACCGGTATTTATGGTTTATTATCGCTATATTCCTGTGCTTATCCGATAGTCATTTCCGTCTAGATAACTGTACACACGAGTATCCAAACAACTCTTGACTATCAGAATCATTTCCCACTCATTCGATAACATTTTCTTCCTAACTTTTTTAAAGGTGAGTTTAGTTAGATTGAGTTTGAGTGTTTCGCCCTGATTTTCTACCCCGTAAATTTTCGTATAGTATAGGCTGTTAGTTACTTCTTCAATGTAAAGGACAGTATGGGATTGCATAATTGTCTAAATTTCTATTGATAGTACCAGGATCGATTTCTTATACCGATGAGTCATAACACATTAGGTAGGATTATTGCAACACTTTAGTCTCAGTGACATGTAGCTGTTCATTTCAGTTAGTAGTATGTGCTGTGAAGGTCATGATGGTCGAAAACCTGAAACCTCATCTCAACCTTCAGTGGTGATGTTTCACAGCCTCATAGTTGAACAGGGCGAAACACAGTGTGGTACACCCGGTCATTAATAGGTAGTCGGATATCACGGTGGTTCTATAAAAATGGTATAAATTGGCGAATGCCAGTCGAGCTTTTTCTATTCATGCTCAGATTTCGTAACCCACCGAAGCTGATCTGACTCTCCAGGTAAGTGAAGTGGTCAACCTACTCAACCATGTCACTCCCTATTGTTAAACAAGGGACCAGTCTTGAGGTAGCAATCTTGCAACAAGTCACCTCAGCGATACTGATGCCAATACAATCTATGTGTCCACCATTGAGTTGAGATCGGTGAAGGCCTTATCAGACAATGTCTATTTGTTGATGTCTGAAGCTCATACTTGTCAGAAATAGTTGATTTTCTGACCATAGTTGTAACAGACAATCACCATGATCTATTCTTTCAACTGAAACTCTGAAAGTGCTACGTAGGTGCTTTTCTGCCTGACTGATTTCTTCATTGAGATCACCTGCTACGACAACCATATCTAAACGTTTATATTATGGTGGAAGGCCAGATATTTTTCGATAGAACTCATTGTTCACTCGATTCAAACCACAGTCATTGAGTGTGGTACAAACAGAGACCACAAAGAGACGACAATAAGCTTTAGTTCACATTGCCCCACTCAGGCGAACAGTACGTGGGCTACTGCCAGCTGGAATCAAGTGAGGGAGTACACTTTCTGCCTTATCATTTAGTGCCTCACTTGCAAGAACTAGCTATCGAATCTTCAGAAAATCGAAGGATGAATTTCGCGGATTCACTATATTGTCTGGGTAAGGTTAAGTGAATAATCACACTTCGGTCCTCTATGCGTGTCTCACAAACGCAGCACATACATGTCCATGACGCGTGATACCAGAATCTTGGTTCGTGAAGCTTATTGGCCGATCTGACAGATCGATAATTTCGATCTTTTAGTAGTTCTAAGTAAAAGAATCCAAGATGTAGTTTTAATGCTTACCTGAAGGAATTTCAAACGTGCCAGAAAATCATTCACATAGGATCCAAGCGGTTTTAAAGATGGATATGATTTAGTCATCCATAATTTTGGAATTTTAGATGCAAGCATTGCAGCAACTACATCTTCTAAATCCGATGACATAACTACTAATCCTTTAATTGCCAAACGAATATTTTTCAAACTTGAACGTATTATACTCAATAGAACATTGAAGCGAACCATCTCTTGTACTAATACTGTATTCATACTTTGTTCATAACGTGTTGGGTACTTTCTCAGCACTAATTCTGTATCAAAATTTGGCGGAAGACGAGCTAGAACATCACTGGCCACCTCATCGATTACTTCGTCAACTGACTTTCCAGATGAAGAGGATCCTTTAGCCTGTAGAATGGTGAAGTAGGTACAGTTGGAATTTACTTAGAACTTCAAATTCGAAAAAAAAATACTAATTAACCTCCAACTACATTACTACATAGCCCTAATTAGTGATATGCTCCAAGATGGATATTCCGAAGCTGTTATGAGAAGCCGTGACCTGTGAGGTTAACCAAGTCGGAAGTGAAGTGGATGCCAACTGACGACAACGGTGGATAGCCGCGCCATTTCGCGACTTGATAGAAGTAGGAAATTGTAGACCATTGAACACCGACCCAGTGGCTGAACAGCTGGAGCGTTCGCGGCGAGACTTGAAGGTTCTAGATTCGACCATTGGCAGGATCTTGGGTTCATAGTGCTGAGAAGTCCCATGCTAGGACGAAACAGCTGTCCAATTCCCCCAGGTTTTCAGTGGTTTTTTAACTGATGCTAGTCCGTGATGAATACTGCTCTGGTATGAATGTGTATCTGCCTGTTTACTCAGGATGAAATAATTATTACGAGGAGTGAATGTAGTAACAAAATAATAAAAATATGAAAGTCTACATAAAGGTTTAAAATGGCCACTGACAATAGTAATAATAAGTAAGGTCATCAAACTACTGATGTTCATCAACGAAACAACGGAGACAAAGCAAAAGGAATGGGATGGGAGGTCAACATATAGTCGACAGGTTCGTGAGGAGTATTCTGACCCTTTTGTGTGCCACAGTAGACAACAAAGTAAATGCACATATTTCTGTTAAACACATAAATCAGGTTTCCTTTTACTGATTCTTTCTACAGACTCTACAATAGATAAGAAACGTACATTTTTTATATTTTCAAGTATCGGTTACTGTAAAAGTATAACCCATTTTATATTCATTTTGGTGACTAGGAATGGGATCCAGGACGCTAGTTTCGTCCTGTTTGGGACCCGTCAGTTGGATGTACCTGCACTCCAGTGAGTGATGTTGGCAGATGAGCTTCCATTCAGATGCCTTGATACGTCATAAATATCCACTAGGCCAATGTGGCACGATAGTCTCGTCTTGAGCAACGAGTATCTGGATTCCACTGCTAGTCGCCAAGATGAATATAACATCATGAATATCCTGCAGTATCGAGGCATCCACATAGGAGCCCATCTGCCAACAGAGGTCAAGCAATCCAGCCCTGGATGGCAACTGGAAATTACAAGTATTAAAACAATAAAAACCTGTTTTCATGTTTTTATAACTGTAAAGCTTAAACAGAAAGACATTGGAAATAATTATTCGCTGAGATTATTCTTATTGTGAAATAATCTGGGAGATGTTGAAATTTTACTCAACCAATAATTATCTAACTTAACTTACTTGAGTTAAAAGTATATTTGTAAATAATAAATTTGTCTCTTGTTGATCCTTTGTAATATCCGCATTTTGATGCATTCCAAAAACATCTGGATCCGGGTTAAGTGGGAGTGTTTTTATGTAATCAATATAACCTTCATACTAATATGATACGATGATGGTGGGCGGAAGTGTATTACAGTGGGGTAGAAATACAAAAAGAGATAGACAACATTGTTTAAGTGAATAATTTAGCACTTTGATTAAATGATGTACTACCTAGTTCTAATACTTTACAAGTTTATTTGCTTTTAGAATGAAAGCTTTATTTTGCATGACCACAGACCACTGAGTATTGTTCTGCTTCTAGTAAAATTGTACTAGATTGGAAGAAAACATTTAAGTGAACGGTATTGTTTTCAATTAGTTCTCACCAGGCTTTACTCTGTATATACATAAGTTTTCTCATATGTAAAACATTAAACCAATCATGATGAATTCCTCTGACTATGGTAACAAGGAAATGAAGCATGCAAATAATAAATATCCACAGGATAAAAAATAATGAGAATAGTATGACACTGCAAATAGTTACATAATTAATGTATGCAAAAGCCCAGAAGTTCCGTAGTACTAAAGAGTAAAGTGTGTAAATAAAGTCTACACAAATAAGACATATATATGGAAGAGGTGAAGAAAAACTCAGTTTATTTTTGAAGTCATTTGTTAGGTTTTCTCTGGCCAAGGCAGAGATTAGGGTTGCACAAAATTCCTTTGCACACCAAGACTAAAAGCAATTTTTCTAGTTCCCATAGCTTCAGCTATATGTAATAGGCGAGTACGAATTTCATTCGAAAAATTTATGGGATTATACAGATGGTTCTGAGCGCTTTAGTCTCATATATTGCTTGACCAATACCGACCGAATCGAACTTCTTATTGACTTCACTTGTCCCTATCCTAGCCATGACGGTAGATGCTCAGCAAGACATTTGTTAAGTTAGTTGGGGCAGCTGAATCGATAAATTGCTTAAATGTCTGCAGTACCATGCTGTTCTCATCATTCTTATCATCACTTGGACAATAATAATAATTACCATTATTATTATGACTATGATTATTATCATCATCTAGATATCTGTTATTTGGATGCTTCATTTCCTTGTTACCACAGTCAGAGGAATTTATCATGATTGGTTTAATGTTTTACAGATAAGAAAACTTATGTATATATAGAATAAAGCCTAATGAGAGCTAATTGAAAACAATATTGTTCACTTAGATGTCTTCTCACCGTGAAAATGGGAGTTTTCAACATTCCTAAATCATATGGGGCTAGAAAGATAGTTTTTTCCCAAAAGTAAAGAAATATAATTGTTCATTTTAGTAGTTGCTAGATTGGTCCTTGAAGTCACTCTCCTTCTCATGTGATAGTAATAAGATACTATCGGACAAACTACAACCCGCCTGAATTCATTCATCACTTAGGCCTAGACTTCATGAAGTTGGTTACTCTCCAGTGACCAATGAATATACGTCATCTTGTCCTGCAGGAGGTCACTGGCGGGGCGAATAGCCCAGTGGTAACGTTTCTGACTACAGCACTCAGTGATTATCTTGAATTCAAATCTCAGGCGGGTCGTCAGTTCCGTCAAGGTTGCGGACACACCTTGCTGACGAGTGTCAAAAGTACTAAACCTAGGTCCAGAGCCTCTTGTTGAACGCCTCCATCTAACTAACAACTGAATAAAGAAGTAAGAGAAGCGTATTACTTCAAATGTATACATTTTTTGACGAAAAGGAAATCCTCAGCAAAGTGGCAATTTTTTAGGTTTAGTGTGAAAGGATGGGTAAAGTGATTAAAACAGGACTTAACTTTTAGGTAAATTACTGTTTATTCGACGAAAGAATTTACACGCACATATATGCATGGGATTTTTGAATGACTTTAAACGTCACTCTAACGACTGTAGAAATCACCAGTTAGGTACATATATTTTGTCTGAGAGGAAGGTTTTTCCTGAAATACAGAAATTCGCTTGGCTATTTTAGTAGTTGCTAAAGGTGACCTTTAAAGTCGCTTTGACTTTCAGGTGTCTAAACTATCAGGTTATTTTGGCACATCGATTCATGGCCAGTTTAGTCTTGTTAGTATGCAAGACGAAAAACAATCAAGGAAAAATATTTATCGAAAAATAGGTAGATTGAACAAAGAAGTGTGTCTTTTTAATTATCTCATCAGTAGATCTGTGCTAATATATACATTAAGATGTTGTGTTCTGTCAGCTGGATAGTTTTATTGTGGAGCTTTCATTCGCATTCTAGATAACATCATCACGACAAACTTTAGAAAGAAGTGAGGGATGAGTTTATTTCCATAATTGGCTTAGTAGCTTGACCCTATGACCTAGGATTGTTTCTGCTAGAATTCTGTCATCGTCATATTTCGATTGACTATCCTACTAACGTGAGCTCTGACCTTCTTGTGCTTCCTGCTGGTTAATACATCGGGTCGATATCAAAATGCTTGTTCAAAGTTGCATGATCTGAAGGTCATGTTTCTAAACATTTTTCGGCATATTTCGTATTTGCTCCGTCGAAGATTGCCATCCTTTCCCAGTCGAATTCATGTCTATAACTGTCTATATGCGCTGATATGATTTAAGATATATCGTGATATTTCAATGTTGGTTGTTCATGCGGGCGAACACGAAGAGGGCCATCACTTTGTCTAATACATTGCTATTGCAGTTTTTACATTTTATGTCATCGATCACACTAGGCTTGTTTTTCGTTGGCACTGTTTTTTTTACACAACATACAGTGGAGACACTTTTAATTTATTCTGAAGCGATGTCGAATTATTATTATTTTTATTATTTGTCCCTTGGGTTCCTAATGGAACATAGGGCTTCAGTAGCACGTCTCTATTCCACTCTCTTCTCTGAAATCTTTTGAACCTAGCTCCACGACAGCCCACAAGCCCTCATTTCATCCTCGCACGATCTCCTCCATGTTATCCTCACCTCGGACGCCCAACTCATCGCTTCGCATCGGGGTTCCACTCGAGTGCCTGGCCTGATGCGTGATGTCCCCAGTCGGCCTTCTCAGTGTATGCCCAATCCATCTCCACTTCCTTCTGCATATTTTTTGAGCGATAGGTTCTTGGTTGGTTCGTTCCCAGAGTTCCTTGTTGCTTATTCTTTTCGGCCATCTGATCTTCAGTAGCGAGCGTAGACAGTTGTTGATGAATGTCTTTAGTTTGTTGGAAATCCCTTTTATGAAGCATCAAGTTTCTGAACCATATAGCAGCATTAACTTGACTGGATTGGTGTTGAAAATCCGGATGTTGTTCCTTGTGATGAGTGCAGAAGATATCCAGGCTAATGAACGCCTGTCTTGCTGTCTTTCCGATCCTGACTTTGACGTCCTCATCTGTACAACCGCCTGCAGTTGAAACAGTGCTGCCTAGATAGGTGAAGGAGGCTACTTCCTTTAAGTGTCTCCCGTTGACGGTGATTGGAGTTTGTTGTTGGTTGGGTATCTTCATCACCTCTGTCTTCTCTATATTCACTCGAAGTCCCATCTTCGCTGCCTCTTCTGTCAACTTGTTAGTTTTTGCCTGTAGATCTTCAAGTTTGCGCGACATTAGACACAAGTCATCGGCGAAATCCAAGTCTTCTGGGTTCTTTCCCGCGGTCCAGCGTATCCCCCTCTTCTCGCTCCCCACTGTTTGTTGCATGATCCAGTCGACCACAATCAGGAATATCATGGGGGATAGTAGGCAACCTAGTTTCACTCCTATCTTTACTTCAAAAGAATCACTGAGCTGAGCTTCCCATTGTGAATTACTTGGCATGTGGCATCTTCATATAGCTGTTGAGTGAGGCTGATAAAGGTTTGCGGTATTCCGTAGCATTGAAGCAGCTTCCAAATTACCTCTAGAATTGCGAGTGTATTTTTCGATTCCTCTCCAATTATAAATTTCATTTCGGCCTTAGCGCCTTATCCAACTAAGCTACCAAATTCAGCTGCCTTCTAGGTTTTAAATTCAATTCAATTACTGGTGTAACTCAAAGGTCACTGATTCGGATCTTGCAGCGACTCAAGTTTTCATCTCACGTGAAAGAATCAGTCAGCATAAATCAGATCAATTTGTTAAACCACGGCTAACTAAGACACTCTCATTGAAAATAAAAATAATGGCGTTACACTGCATTGGTAGCAACACTTAAAAACAATAGACACAACACCTACGATCAACAGATATGTTCACCTAAATTATGATTAATAGTGATCAAAGGATCATCAGTTCGACGCTATATAGCAATGGGAAATTACAAGTATCAAAATAAAGAATGGATACATTTTTTTGTACACTTAACTTCGGTTTCTCCATGCATATGGCAAGAGCTTCTGGAGCACAGAGAAGGTGGAAATGCACCATTTTAGGCAGATTTCCTTTCACCCTGTAGACACTTTTCAACGCCGAATCGGTTGTGATACTGTGACCAGTGTTAACAAGGTGTTCAATTACTGGATATCTGATGGATCCGCTTGCATCTCTTTGCAGCCAGGTTGGGTAATATTCTCTAACCTTTTTGGAAAGAATACACATAGAATGACCTACATACCTCGCTCAACAGCAGCAGTTGGATTGATAAATACACATGAAAGCGGTCAAATGCGCAAACTTGTCTTTCGGGCTTTCAGGAAACAGTTGACGAATGGAGAATACTATCCTCAACGTTGACGCGAAGAAAGCTTTCTTTAGAATTCGTTTTTTCAAGATCTCAACAGCGGGATTACCTTTGAAGTCAAGATCAATGCATAATATCTTCTTTGGAAGTGGAATGAGTATCTCTCTTAGTGGTTTGGGTCCTATGTTTTTGTCCACAAATCGTGTCGGATAACCGTTTTCAACCAGTTACAGATACTACTTGGCTGCCCAAACCTCGTCGGGTGGAACGGGTCTCAGACCTGCAACCCACTGATTGAAAATCCAGTGCCCAGACTAGTAAATCACAATTCTCCAACGAACAATAATTCGCAAAAATGAGATAAATGATTTTTGCACCCAGAAATACAGGGTGACGTGCAGAAATTAACTTTGTCTGACAGGCAGTTTACTTTGGTAACCATAAGTCATGCGGAAATGAATGAGAGATCTACACGAAGCTCTTGAACCGGGGACTTTGTGACAGTGCTAACAAAATAATCTGAAGAATTATACTTGAAGATTTTATATTCATCTCTTCTTCGTTATAAAAAGCAGTTACATCCTGACAAAACTAATCATTCACTGAAGGGATTATAAGTCCTAGTAATGTTGAGTTCCAAGAAAATAAACGTAAACGGATCCCATTGTTTAATGTAAAACAGTTGAGGGTAGTTGGTTTGAAGCTTTACAATTAGGTTCCCTTCATATTCGTGCTTATTAAACGGTACATGCATTTACCAAAGTGAAGGAAATAATCAATTTTCGCTACAAACAAAATTTTCAAAAATTTCTTTTTGACCGAAGTAGATACAAATAAAGTGTTCTCCTCTATACATTGTGTAACTTACCTGTGTATCTTCAGGTGCATAATAGATTCCACTCCCATCAAATTTATATTCTACTTCATTAACTATTGCTGGACAATAGAAACGCATTAATACAGTTTTCAAGGTTCTTCTATCCCATTCATCTGTTACTCGACCACCATAATTACATTCGCCAGTTAAATAACGTAATGCTTCGTATTGAACCTCCTAAAAAGGGTTAAACGGTAAGTAAAATGTAAATAGGTAGTTAAAAGTGAAGTGAAATCCACACCTGGTCAGAAGTTGAGTCTCGTAGCTCAGTTAGTAGAGCGCTGGCCCGCTGGTTCGAGTCCAGACTTCCATATCACGTTCAATCATCACTCTGTACCAATAATACCAGTCTGGCAAACCGCGGCTATCGTAGATAATCTCCTTAATAATCAGATAAGTCACAAAAAGCGTAGGCAGTTCACTGCTGATCATCGGCATTTTTTCGTATTCCATTAATCATCATCACTCGCTGGCTTGCTTTATCGCTCATATGAGGGATACATTCTACGCTTGCATGTCTTCCTGTCTACTTATCCATCTATAGTTAAAATCATATATTAACTTCAGTACATTAAATGTCGTTTACGTGATATTGTGATTTATGTCGTCTGGGTGAATAAACACTATTTTCGAATGACCAAGTTAATATCTGCTCATCGCTTATTTTTACCTCAAGCTCATACGACGACTGTATTTACATCTTAGCTGACCACTTGGTCAACTAAGTGTAACTCACCGGACAACAAATAGTTTACCGCTGGTAACACAAAGGTTACAAAGCAGTCAATTACTCGTGAAACTTGTTATGAATAGTGGCCAGTAGTGGGATTCACAATGCGCACTATAATATCAAATTCTACTCGTCACTCAAGCAGTGGCTATCATAACTCAGTAGCCTACTGAATGACGCTTCCATATTTGAATCCAAGTTCTTGGTTTGATTCTTGGTGAGAATAAAACATCACTCACTCAGAGACATGTACATCCAGCCAAAGAGTCCCAAATAGGACGAAACACGCATGCTGGATTTCACTGCTAGCAACTATCCATTATTATTTGTAAAGCACAGGAGTTCATATGCTAATAGCGGCCGATTAATCTGATTCACTAATAATCTATCCCAATGTCGCATTCTAAGGGAAGCTAGATCAGGTTGGAAGAGTGTTCAGAGTGGTCAGACCTAGAAGTGACATCAGTCAATGAAGTCTGTGACTGCTGATCTAAGTCATCTTAGGCAATGTCAAACCCTTGCTTGGGGTCCTCGAGACAATAGGAATCAGCGGTTGAGCCCTCTCGATGAAATGGCTGAAAATCGGTCACAATAACAGAGGAGTATTCACTCTTTGACGTCTTCTGAAGCCTGAATATTCGCATTAACCATTATCTTTAGTTTGTCTTTTATCTCACACTACTTTATCTACCTTGATATTACTCTTTCTCACCTAACTGTTCTTTGTATACTACCATGAAGTGTGGCGATTTGAACCAGTGCATATGTGTGCTAGGTTCTACGTTGTTTTTGTCTCTCTATCTCTGCTGAACTATCCCACCAAGAAAGAATATTTGTTGAAATATGATTAATGACTGTAAATGGGCATCTAATTCAAACATAGAACTGCTGCAACTTTTGCAGAGTTAGATGCTTTTCCTTCAGCCACCAACACATCAGGGCTGGTATGACTTGCGTAGGCTGATAAGCAACTACATAAAGTTCTATCTCATCTGTACCTGTTCGTTTATCAGCTGTATTTTATCTGACTCTTAAGAATGAAGTGGTTGCCAAAGCATTACTGGGTTGGCGTTTTCATATTTTCAGTGTTAATAGAGGATTTTTTGGCTCTTGGCAATATATCCTATATTTGGTGGTAATGAGGTATCAGAATATCTATGAATAAGCTAGAATTTTCTAGGCATGAATATTGTTTATGCACTTTTTAAATGCAGTGAAATCATCAAGTGAGCAACGTTCAAATTAGACACAGATAGTGGAAAGGCTAATGAAAAAAGTACGGAATTTGATGACAGGACGATGTCATGCACGCTTCATCTTTGCTGACGTCATTGTATGATGCTGCATAGATTGGGCTAAATTTTGAAAAGGGTTAAGTGCTTACCTCATTATTTTTTGCTTTCCCTTGTACATACATTTTTATAAGCATCTATTTTGTTGAAGCTGACTGTTTATCTATCTGTAAAGTGAGTACCTTCATTGAATTTATTCCTAGGGACCACTTGACAGCTGCAGACAACATTCAGTATGATCAGTTAGTTGGAATTCGAAAGTAGTTAACAAATGCTTTCTAGTATGTCCACCAACTTCCTCAAGCTGCATTATGAGATACTTTTTTATGTACCTTAAATGTCCCACTTAGATTATTCCACAGAGCGAGCTCTTTCTGTACTAAGCACTCTACTATATTCTACCATCTGGCAGAGTAGAACTACAAATGTCTGTAAAGGTATCTGTAAATGGATATAGCAAAAAACTCATCTTCTAATTAAACAATGCTGACTAAATATTTTCTTTAACACTGACTAGTCACGAGAAAGTAACCAACATAATGTTATTTGATCCTCAGTGCCATTGCAGCGTACTTTGATTGATATTGAATGATTAGAAGGAATAAGTGGAAAGTTTTGGACTCAAGTTTCATGCTTGCTAGCGCCCACCAACAAAGTGTATCTGCAAACCTAGAATGGATATCCTTGTAGATATCAGAACTCATGCCATGCCTACGATGTTTCTGCCTAACTGTAATTGCTGTGACTAACTCCTTGTACAACTGGATTGGATTCATTGACTAATCGCTAAAGAGTGATCTTCGTTATGTTGGTTGTTTACTGAAAATTATGAATATTTGGAGGCATACAGAGTTAAGACAATATTCATCATAAACTTATGTGAGTTGGAGAACCATTGAATACCTGTAGTCACTGGACAGATGTTTCGTCCTAACACAGGACTCCTCAGCAGTACGCACCCAAATAATGTCAGCCCGTGATGAATAGTACCTCAAAAATAAAATCCCCATAAACCTCACAGTACAGTACTCTATAGTACTCATTAGCGACTTGCTTCGAGATGAAATCCCAGAGTTCTAATGACCTATGTGGTCAACCACTTGGAAGTGAGGCAGATATGACTTATTCTGAATTCACTCTTGTTTGAATAGTTTCTGGTGTTATCATCTTAATCGTCTTAACCACGAGGAAAAACGGAACAAGGAGAAAAAAATATTGGTTTCATTTTAACAGTTTCAGCGCATAGAAACGTGCTATCTTATTCATGACAATTAATATTCGATATAATACAAAACTCAGTTAGTTTGATTATGCAGTATCTACTACTTACAAAACGTTTGATTATCAGATGGATGAATAACTTAAACATGTAATACTACAGTTTGCCGGTTGTGACAGATATACGGTAATATGGTGAGGTAACCGAAACTTTTATTCCTTATTTTGATAGAATTAATTTATTTATATCTTGAAACATACTTCCAGTTCATCTGTAAACTCTACAAAGAGACAAAAGGAACACCATCTGGATCGCCTTTTTCACGACTTATTCCAGAATTAGTAATACCAAGATTGCAAATGTGACATTACCATCAGTCGAGCCAAAATGTTTCCAGATGGCGACAAGGATTTGTAAGATTTCGAAAAGAGTTTATATAGGACAATACCTTGAATACATGAGTTATCACCAACTCAACAAAGATGTGTAAAATTATGTGAAAATTAATTGATCTTATTCATACTAACGGGTTAACTTTGTTAACTAGTACCCTAGTTACTAGTGCCAAGCCCGGATAGAGAGGAACGTTTGGGCACAGGCTAGCAACCCTATCCCGGAAAACAAATTCAATCGCTAAAGAAACTTCATGAATTTTACGCTGCTTTCTGAGCCATAACATAATCCATTTTATCACTCGTGCTTCAAGTGTTATCAAAAGTACATTTATCGTTATCATATCGTTATCATATATTGTCTGATCTTGGAACAATCATCCTTACAAACTAGTAATGTATTCTTTCTCACCCTTGATGTCTCACAACCCCATTGTACTTTTTATAGACGAACTAAAAATTTTTCCCCACCCTACTTTTGTTCCACCTTACACGCACAACGAAAAAACCTCTCTGACCGATTTGCTTATTCACTCACCTGTATCACATCGATCTTTGCTGCATATCACTATGTAATTGGATGATTGTAAAGGTCACCACTTTCTGTACCAAAACTTGAATATTAACCTGAAAACTTAATGTCAGATTCATACTCTTGAAAAGGATCTTCCTAGCAAGATCGAAACTTTGAGGAACAATACAAAATATTTGTTTATTTTGTTATTTGTTCTAATATACTACGCCAGTATTACACAAGTAAAAATACACCTTATACGATGAGGCAGATACTGACTGAAGAACTTGGTAGATATTGGCACTATATCGCGAACTGACAGAAGTAGGAAACTGTGGACCACTGAACTTCGATTGAGTGGCACAATGATTAGTACCTTCACCACAAGACCTGAAGATCATGGATTCGGTCCCTGGGGGCGAAGGCTCTGGGTTCGTACTATTGAGAAGTCCTAAGATAGGGCAAAACAGCTGTCCAATGCTCTTAGGTTCTTAATGGTTCTCCAACTGATGTCAGTCCGTGATGAATACTGCCTTAGCAGTAAAATTCTCATTAAGTAAAAAACAATACAATTTAAGTTTTAAAAATAAGCTATCCAAACACATAATGACAAAATAAATTCGGTTATTTCATTCGAAATGACTTGAGTAACATGATATATGCTGAACTCTTGACAGAAACTGTAGAAATTGACAGCCCAAGACATAAAGAGCGGTCATCAATGCGGCTTTTAATATCATTCGGTAGGAATGCTTTCTGGAGAGTAAACATATATAACGAGGCATCCTCGCAACTACCACCAACCAAATAATATCAGTTAAAGTGCATCGTGATACTGGATTACTTAGCTTGATCGACAGAATTTGATCAGTGTTCATAACTGAACAATATGAAATTGGTTACTCTCTAATCACCAATTAATACACCTATATCGTGTGTGAATGTCAAACTAGGGCCTGTCTAAAGATATGAGATCATGTTATCCTTTCAAAAGAAAGATTACAATTTCAACGCTACATATTTAACAAGTAATTCATTGAAACTAGGACAAAGTAATTAGAAACTTACAGTATATTGTCCAAGAAATATATGCAATTGTTGTACAGATATGCGTAGATCTGTTTCATTGAACTCATAAGGTGTATTCCAACCAAGTGGTCCAAATTTACGCCTTTCTTGTACAATAGCATGAAAGAATACTAAACCAAATAATAATTTTTTCCATGCATGTTGATTTGAACAAGATTGAAAGAATTCTTGATCTGATATAGGATCACTTAAATATGATCGCCAGAGATTAAAACGTAAACCTTTTGGTGGTTCATTTGTCATTTTAACTCCATTTTGTAAAATTGATACAGGAAAATCTTTACTTGGATAACTTGTTAACCATAAACGAAAATCTGGATGTGTTGTATCCGGATTTAGTTCTTCTACTGTCTTTTCTAGGATACCCATCCAACTTGGCGCCAAATGACAGTTTTGCAATAATACCCATGTACCTTCTTTTAAACCACGTTCAATCATTTTTAATGCTATTGGCCCTTGACCTTGACCTAAGGATAATGATTCAAATTTACTACCACCAAATCCCATATCTTCAGCATATTTTAACAATGCTACCATTGGATCAGCACCAGGTGATAGAATAAACAATAATGGTACTGTACACGATGAATCAGCAAATGCACCCGGTAAATCAAATGGTGGCGGTTCAATATATTTTTTGCCTAAATTTTCTAAAACAAAATTTTGTACAGCTGGTACAATTTTATCCGGCCGTAGAACACGTAGTATGCAGAGATATTGTAAGTGAGTTTTAATGTGTACTAAATCAGATGGGAGTTTTTCTTTATGTGGTTCAATACTATCATATATATGCTTCCATGCATTCATATTAGTTGTAAAGTGTTCACGTATACCAGTGAATACAGTGATTTCCTCCAGTCGGCATAATTCATCCCAACTTTTTGGCTGTAACCAATCCGATGGATTACTGTGTGGATTATCTAGACCAACTCCACCAGTTAACAAAAATCGCCATTCTTGCTCATTTAATAAACCATCATGTTTTATCATATTTACCGCCAATAGAAATGAAAATAACAGTTTATCTTTTTCAAACAATGACCGACATACATTACAGTATAATGAATAAGTTAAATAATTACGTAGATTAGTTAAACGTTGTTCAAGATCATCCGATTTCTCAGAGTTATCAATACCCATAATAAATAAGTTGATGAACCAAGTTAATGAGTACTGATACATTGGATCAATATTCGCTAAATCTGCTATTGAAAAGAATAAGATAGCTGTATGCACAGCAATTGGTACGTAGCCTAATCGAGCTATATCAATTTTTTCTTCAGTTTCTTCAAAATAAGCTTGTTTTTCAGCTATTTCATTTGATAATTCTTTCGATGAATTCAATACTTTAATAGCACTTTCATCTTCAAGAATATTCCCTTCAGACGATGATAGTACACCAAGTATTTGATCTTCTAGTTCCTTCAATTTTTTCTTATTTGCAGCACCTTGAAGAATAAGTTTATTCTTCTCTTCTTCTAGTTCTGGTCTTTCACGTGCAACTACAATACCCAACAGTTGGTCTTGTAAACCTTCTTCTGTGATCATAAAGTTCACTAGAGTCACTTTAACCGCTGTCTCCGGTAGATAGTGTGGATTCCTGAGCTAAAAGCGACAAAAAAGATAGGATGTAAACAGACAGCAGCGGACTATAAATATATTCTACTATTTTAATAAAACCTGTAGGGTTAAACAAGTTGGGTTTAGAGATAAATACTGATAGAGCACATTGGATTTTGGTCACACTACATCACAAATTGACAGAAATAGGAAAATGTGAACTATCGGATTCCCACTCAGTGCCCGAGTGGTGAAGTGCTCACAACGGAACTTCATAGAGTCATGTGTGTTCACTGCTGGGGCGTCTCATACTAAGGCGAAACAGCTGTTAAGTCTTCCTACGTTCTTAAATAGTTCTCCAAATTACGTTAATCCACGATGAATACTACTTTGAAATCAATCAAGCTCCATAAACCAGCAGTCAGTTAGTATCAGGATGAGATGCGACTTTACTGCATAACAGCTCAAATTTCCACACCTTAAGTCAGTACATGAAGATATAACGCAGCAAAACAGAAGATGGAACAGTCAAAAGAAATCTATCTCAAGAAGGTATGAGAAGAGATAAAAAGGCTGTTAAGCAAATAGCGATATAAGATCTAAATATTGAAATAATGTGTAAACGCATATACATTGCTGGGGTCGATTTTGAGCCATGTAGCCTAATATTTTCATTCACCGATATCTGTTGCCAAGTGGATCACAGTTAGGAAGTCTTCATTCAATGAATACGGACAAGACCAACAGTTAGAAGCTTCATGAAATGATCTGATGTTTTTATTCTGGTTGGCTAGTCTGATTTCATCTGACATGGGGTATTGGAGTAGACGCTTATTGGGCATGCATAATACATATCCCAGTTAAGTCAGTCGATGAAGGCCCAAAACCTCATCAATTATCTGATCCCTTTAGCATCAGACTCTACTCATGACCTCCATGTTACTATCTTGGGGGTTACAAGACACAAAGGAAACGCTATATGAATGTGTTGGTTGTCGAACATCTGAGACCTCCTTATATCCTAAACGCTTAGTAACCATGTTTCGCAACCATATACTAAAAATAACTGAGTGAACTGTTGTGCAATATCTTTGACCTTTGGTAGATGATCAGTCGCTTTCATCATAGATGGCGTACGTTTGTAATAACCAACTTAGGCTTTCGTATCCGAACTGAAATTTTGCCAACATTTAAATACTTCACTCTTTATTTTCAAACCCAGTATCAAGGTAGAAAAGTCTTGAAACAACTATTTCCATCTAGTGAGGAACATATCCTAAACATTCTTAAAGCATCAGTCGGACTCTCAGCGTCTTCATCCAAGTGGTCTGTGCCATATAAATACTTCATAACTCAGGTCGTTCCCAAGAGCTGCGAAGCTGTAAAAAATTGAAGACGGTGCAGAATTATTGACTGAGAGACGTGAAGGAAGACTAAAGAACAAAGGCGTGGAAGGTGGATAGTGACCCGAGGGAGCTTGAGTGTCGACAGAGTCGTGAGGGCGGCTGATATCTCCTGGCTACCAGCACTATAGAAGATTAGTTCTTATTGAGGTACCTGAAAAAGAAGAATTGGTGCGTGGTCGATGAGCCCAGGAGATATCTTTTTGCTGTTTTTCTGCAAGTTTGAGATTTTGGTTTGTTGCTTTCGAGTCCAACTATGAACCTACGTCGCTGTCATTGGCATACCGCGGGGTATTGAGAATGTGCTATTTTTGAAGCCAACCGTTTCTAACCCCCTTATCTTAAGGAAAGCAGCGTCAGAGTAACATCATAGTGTAGCAATTTTCACCATAATGGTAGCTGCTTTTAGTTTAATTACTACCCAGCAGACCTTTCTGGTATGATAAGACCTCGAGGGGACAAACTTTGGGCTATTGTGATATGCAAGGCTGATCACCATATTAAGATCAGGCTGATGACTTGCCAATGAACTGATGACTTTTCGAAGAACGAAAACACTAAGTAATCTCGTTTTTGAACATGGACGAAAAACGTATCTCAATTCATAGCATGACGGCAAACAAACTGGTATGAATTAGTATCATGTGTTTCAGCAGATAACTGCAAAATATACCACTCCATCACATGGTTCTGGCTTTCTGAAAATTCACTATCGAAATATCCCTGCAACTGCTGAAGCTTTATTATGTCTTGGGTCACCCGCTGAGTTAAACGCAAGACCCATTATTGTTCAGAACCCTTTAACTATCAGTCTGTCATAGATGTAGGAACTTGGACCGTTACAAAGTAATGTCCGGTCCCATGTTGATCTTGGTAATGATTATGATGACGATCAGTCTGTCTTTCATTACGTTACATAGCAGAAGAAAAAACAGCTGTTGACTTCCTACCCTTGTATCATGTGAGATGAACTATACATATATACAACTGAATAATTACACTACCGAAACACATATACTTGGTAAAATGAAATATTTAGTGTGCAAGTATATGGAAATTTATCTATTTAAGGTTAGTATTCATCACGCACTGACATCTTTGGAGAACCATTTAAAGTATGAGAGCACTGGAGAGTTGTTTCGTCCTAGTATAGAACCCCTCGGCAGTACGCAACCGAAACCCTGTCAAGGCTCGAACTCAAGACTTTCAGATCTTACGGAGAGCGCATCAATCATTCAAAACGAAATCAATAATTTCACACACAGATATGATATATTAGGGGTAATACACGATAACTGATTTCACTTAAAATGCAATGGTTTCGTGACTATGAATTGTATGGAATTGGATGGCGAGTCACTAAAAAACCCTTAAACTGAGCTACGCATAAACATTATAAGCCTTAGGTAAAGTGTCTTTTACTATCAGTAAGATAACACCGTCGATAAGACTTATTAGAGATTTTCGTTTTCATTTTTTCGGCCCGTTATTACAGAATGGTTTTTATACTTTGGGCGAATTATACACTTGGTTATGATGGATATCGACTCTTAGCATGAAACCAGTAAAACACGTCTACTTGATTATACTAAGGTAAGATGTGTATGTACACACTTACTCGGTTCACCTTGGTCTCTTGAGCAATGCCTACCAAGAATATCACTGTTATGTGAGGGAATTCGACTAACAATTACCTTACAACATCATAAGCAAAAAACTAAATGTATACTAATCTTTGTGAAACACATGTTGTTTGTATCAATACTCATAAATCATGTTAACTTTGAGAAGTAAAAAAAGGTTGATGAAGAAGAAAACGAACTTTGCGTTTTTCTTACTTTAGTTGTCATGTAGAAACGAAATTCTGATGAATATTCCACAACAGAATCACCTATTTTAATGCATAATGCTCCGCCTTGTTTAAATGTTTGCTTTAGCAGTAATGAATCAAGCATTGGATCTAATTCTTCACCGATATTTTCTAACAATACTGGTGTACCGAATTGTATACAATTTTCTAGTGTACGTACAAAATCAGCATCTGTTAACTTGATAACTTGTAAATTATTCTTCTTCTCCATATTTTTAATCCATTTATTTGCTTGACTAGTTGGATCTATCATTAATGGCCAACGTGTTGCATTACTACAAATGTAATGTAGTATAATAGTGTAAAAGCAATCGAAGAAGGCATCAAAATTCAAAATTTTGTTTTTTGGAGATAAGATGCGTTAAAACAAATCAGTTCAATGTGTCCAAGTTGAAAATTACTACAAATAATCTCAGCTAAATTTTTGTTATATCTTACTTCGTGTTGACTAGCAGTGAGATTCAGAATGCCTGTTTCGTCCTATTTAGGACCCGTCAGCTGGATGTGTCTGCACTGAGAGTCGGACCCAGAACTTTTCGCTTCAAACGCCAGAACGTTATCCTATGGGCTACTAGTGAAACGAGAGATAGCAATTCAGTTTGTACTGGTTCTGCAACATGCACACAGAAGAGTTAAAATGGCCACTGCTTTTGTAGTGGCAGTTAGGTGACTTTAGAAACAGTTGGAACTGACCCAACAAATTTATTTTTTGTGATGATTTTGTTCAGTTCTGTCTCAGTTTTTTGTCTTATTGGTTGGAAGTATAAGTTTCACAGATTAGATGAGGAAGACATAGGTTGGCCACGGAAGAGTAGTCAATGTCATATATTCTGGACGTGAATTTGCGCTGCTCAGAACCAAATAGATCGGAATAAGGATGACATATTTCACAGGGTTTTTTGAGCTCTTAATCGTAAACATCTTATTTATTAGAGTGACTCTAGAGGTTCCCTTAATAATACTGAAACAACCAATCAGGTTTCTCTACTTGATGAAAAAACTGAGAAACCTGTTTGGTTAACTCAGGGGTGGCTAGAGTGACTTTTACAGCTACGACTAGTTTTGGAGGTTCTAGTTGACGAAGATCAGACCAAAATTTACTTGTTTCGAAACATACTACTTATTGTGCATCATATTAAGATTTATTTTAACTTATTGCGAATCGATTGGCACTACTGTCAAATCTGAGAAATAGTTTTTCTAACAGCTTTTTCCTCAGGTTCACTTATATATCCATGTTTTTTAATTTTGCATTAACAACAGTGAGGTTTCTTATAACATTTCACTGTTATTGAAAAGAATATTCTTTGTTCATTCACTTGTCTTCTGAGTTATAATAGGAATTTCCAAAGAGATTAAAATTATACAAGTTCATAGTTTCCCACTTCGATTAGTGAAACATTGAGGTCTAGACTGTTATTCCGTTGATTTTCACCTCAGCAAGCACTGATCACCTCATCCCTTTTACTCGGAATTCACACGTAACAAGAAAAAATTCTCTTAGGTGACTGATGAAGATAAAATTGGAAATTACAGACCGATTACTAGTAGTAAAACCGCAATTATTCTTGTTTCGAGGGGTTTGTGGAGACATATTGATCTCAGAATGGTCATCATGAGCTGAAATCACTTTGAGAACCAGTAGAAACCCTAGAAGCACTGGATGGTGGTTTCTTCCTAGTATGGGACTCATCAGCAATACGCACTCAAAACACCGCCAGTGATCGAACTGCACAACCATCAGGTTTTGCGGTGATCATGCTACCATTGATCCACTGGTTCCATTGGTTCATGTTCTCTTACTTCTATCAATTCATGATATAGCGCAACCACCATCTAATGTCATCCTTCATTATCTGTCCTCACGTCTGACGTGGTTTGCCCCACCAGTCCCAGCTTCTCACTAGAACTTCATATTATGGATTGGATATTAGCAGTGCAAGTGATTTGCTTAAATAACACTCAATTACACGTCAAATAACTTGACTGACGGACGTTTTGAAATCGAACTGGATAATCTTATACAGAAGTGTAATAACGATTTAACAGCGAGAATTCAGTTAAGTACAACTTGAGCTAACGAAACAGTTTATTAAAAATACACTAAGATAAAAATTTTTATTTCTTTTTTCAAAACGAAGTAAATAAGCTAAAATTAAAAACGAATGAATCGAAAGAGAGAATGAAAGAAAACAGTAACGCAACTTACGCAATAATGATTCCATTTTCAACAGAAAAATCATCAGTCGGTAATCCTGCAATATTCCATGCTCTAATATCAACTGGATTACCGAGTGTACTAACTAAACTGAATGTTTCAGAGCATGGGATAGAATGACTAACAACTTCTTTCAACCAAATTTTAACTTGTTCTTGACGGAATATAGATGTGAATGCACCAAGATAAGCAACTAATCCACTAGAGATTAATACATCTCCAGTAAGATTAATATATTGTATGCCAAGATTTTTAGCTGCTTCTGTCCAACGTGTTTTTTCACCGCCTAAACCACCAATTAATTGTTCTGCACGTTCTAATTTCTTTGTGCAAATATCAACTTTATCTTCGAGTTCAATTTTCTTACGTTTATTCATTTCTAAATTATCTGTTAACAGTTTTAAACGATCTTGAACTTCTTTCAATGCAGCACGTTTCACATTCAATGCATTCATAGCTGTTGTATACTCAGACATTGCTTTAGCTAAGGCTTCTTTTTTTGGAGCCACAATTTTAGCCACTACATCATAACGTTCAATCGCTATCACCCATTTACATAAACCTTCACAAGCTGCTGAAGCGACTGCAACACGTTCTGGTTTAAAATCTGGATTCGGAATGTAACGTTCACGTATTGTCTTCATTATTGATGCGGCTACATTGTCTTTATCGAAATTTTTTAAGTTTTCTAAAAATTTCATATCACCAAGTAATTTTTTAGATGGACCCCAAAAATCTTCAACTTTTTTACCTGATCCACCAGGATCATTAATACGATCTGGTTTAATGCCTTTTAGAACACAAACAGCTTCCATAACTAAACGTACACCAGCTGGTGGAGATTTCATAGTTTTCACAATAGTGATATCCTGTAAAGTGGAGCATATTAATGAAAGTGGTAACAAAAAACTACCGAAATTCTACATGTATGAAGTGATAAATACAGGGTAGATAAATTACAAGATTTGCTGACTAATCAGTATACGTGATTCAGTCTTTTCTAGAGTCAGCATTGAAGTGAATAAAAACTAAGATAACATCTTTAATCTCGACACAAAGGGGGCCAAGTTCAAAGCCCTGAGGTTGTAAAGGTTTTTTCTAGGTTGCAGATACGTTCTACTGATAAGTGAAAGCAAGCAGAAAGTGTGACTGAGGCATTTCAAAATAACTGTTATAAATTCGCGGGGTTGCAGCTGTGTTAAGAAGGCGATCCTACTGCTTCAGTCCTTACTCTGACCTCGCTTGTGACTGTTCTCTCATATACTTGCTCAGTTTTGTACATTCAATCCACCTACATGATGAGTCACACATTTCGGTCTTCTTAACTGCTTAGAACAGAACACAAAGTCTGGTGCTTGTTGTCCATGTATCTCAGACAATCGGATTCATCTATACTTGCAACTTAGTTAACTGACCACGAAACGGCATGACTTATAAAAATGGAACAACCAAATGAAGCCACAAAATGAGATAATGGACAATGAAGGATTTCAATAAACATACGACTATCTCTGAACTATAAGTCATAATCTAATGAATAAGGGGTCAATCGAAGCTGTTGAGCCGAGTGAGCTATATACAATAATGTTACTCACTTTTTCCACTTTTGGGCTGATATACTATAAATACCATCACGTTACTCAGCTTCACGGTAACGCTGCATACCTGATCGATAGATTTCAACTAACAATGAAGACTTCACATCTTAACTGGTTATCATTCAATGACTAAATTATAATAACAAATACTCGGACTAGTTTGTTATGGCACCTATTATCAGCCTCTTGTACAAGTGTCTTAGAAAACCCATTTATTAGGCATATTTTCATAGGTTTAAAGCTACAAAGATGATCGACTGGAAAAACTGACTCTCTTTGGGATTACAACCGGTACCCTTAACAGAGTTGTTTAGGAATTAACGAAGAGCTATTGAAAAATAATTTGTTGTGCAAAATTAAATGTAAATTGACTATATGAAAGATAATTTGAGTACATTTTTGTCAAATAAGATTTATTTATATAGTAAGGTCGTCTTGCAGAGGCATATAAGTGTGCAGTGTAATAAATGAGTGAATCACTGACACCGGCTGACAAAATCAACGTAGAACCTTGCACACAAATGCATCAGTTCAAGTTGTCACACTCTGCAGTAGTATAAAAAGAACAAGTGGATAAAGAAAGACTGATACAAAAATAGATAGAGTTGTGTCACCTCAACCACTGATTACTTTCGTCTTGTAGACCCCAGCCAGGCAGTCTACATCTCCCCCACATGGCTCAGACGAACAGTAAGAGGTTTCATCGACTGATGCCACGTCTTGTTCTGGCCACCCTGAACCCCCTTTCAACCCAATCCGACTTCCCCTAGCGTGGTACGTTGAGGTAGATGGTGGCTTGTCATACGCAATACATTTCCAAGCCATCTCAGGCGACTAAGGTTCACAACCTTATCAATCGACTTGCCTGTTTTCTCATGACCTTACCATCACTCACACAGTGATTCGCCAAACGTGAACAATACTGCGAAGATATCTGTGATCGAAACCCTGTATTCACTGCATGTCTTCTATTTTTAACGGCCATGTCTCGCAGCCGTACACAGGAGAGAACGAACTGTTACGCAGTATACTCGTCTTTTGATAGACAGTCAGCCGGTGCCACAGGTGACGCAAGTTGGCAAATGTCAAACGGGTTTTCAGTAGGGGAGCTGAGATTCTGTCACCGACCAACCCGTTAAGGCTGATGCAGCTCCCGAAGTAAGTGAAGTGGTTGACACATTCCACCGCTTCACTCCCTGTCATTAAACTTGGAGTGGCTGCAGATCAATCCTAAAGTATCATCTTTCATTTGTCAGGCGTGAAACACATGCCAAAGGTACTCAGGTTTCTGCTCAGAACGTTCAGAAGACCCTTCATTTTGTCAGCGTCTTCATCTGAATGTACTGGGTTCGATCCGTGGCCGTGTCATGGGTACGCGCTGATAGGGAGTCTCATACTAAAAGGTAACTGCTATCCAGTGTTCTCAGGTTTTCAATGGTTCTCTCTTACTGATGTCAGTCTATGATGAATATCAACCTGAAATCAATAAATAAGTCCCCATAAATCCCCAAGTTGTAATAAATGAATCATTTGTAAATCAACTGTGAATTGAAAATTTCATGTTGACACTTCTCAACGTTGAGCATACTCAGTTACAAAACCATGGTATTAACAGAATTTTCGTTTGGAACCGTTTAATTAAGATCGGTAACACAATACCATCATAAACTAATGAAGCATGCTGCTGAACAATATAAGGGTGTAATTTAAAACTGATCATGGATAATGACTAGCAGTGGAATCCAGGATGTGCGTTTCGTCCCATTAACAGCTCGTCAGCTGGATGAACTTGCATCAGCGGCGGCTGATGTTCCCACTGAGACTTGAACCCAACAGTGATCGCTTTAACTTAGTCACTATTGTACCCAACCATGCCGATCTGAAGCATAAAGCATTCAATAAACAGGTAGACAAATCAGTGTAGAGCGTTGCACGTAAGTGCTTCAGTTGTTTCAAGTCGTCATATTTCTTAATATCACAAATACAGGAAGTACCAGGTAGATGAACACAAAAAAACACCTTGGCGTTTGTCATTAATATGACCGAGAAGTTCATGATCCTTAGAGTTAATTCAAGATGAAGACATCGAAGATTTATCATTATCATTATTTCTATTATAATTATTGTTAATCCATTCCTACAGGAGGTCAATCATGGCTTGAATAGCACAATGATAACAGGTTTGAATCTCAAAGGAGATATCATTTCCGTCGAGGTTGCAGGTACTCCTTACTAACGAGTGTCGACAAGTACAAAAATATGCATCAACCAATACTATCGGAACTAGAAATTCAGAAAGTGAAGTATACTACTGAACAACTTAATAAGTTAGAAACCCTCATGTTGATCTGTAGATTTCCCTACCCAGATCAGAGTGATCAAGAGACACATCTACACCAGATAACACACCCTGGGATCATGGTTGACGGGTGGTTTTCACTAGAAACCTTGTTGACACCACAGTTGGCCAGTTGAAAAACTAATCAGCTGTGAAAAATGTCAAAATGAACCGCGCCACTTGTAAATCACTAGCGAATTGATCATATTCAGTGGAATGCCTAATTCTGTAAGCATCATTATCAGGATATGAGAATTAAGAAACAAGTAAGTTCGACAACGAGTACGTTGTTTATGGAGGAAATACGTTCGTATGGTCCGCGCCTAGTAATAAGGTAGATTTTTACTCTATTGGGGTTTTACGGATATATTTCAATTATGGTAAGTTTCAACTAATCAGTTTCCTGAGAGAAGGTGAGTCTTTTAAATCTAAACGAAGAGAGTGAGAAATTTAGAAGTATACCGGTGGAAATGGTAAAGAAAAACGGGGAGAATGGAGATTTTTGATGAACACCAGAACACTGGCAATTTGAGAATATTTGGAATGCCTTTCTCCTCACCCAAGTTCAAATTAATGCCCCTAGACTGGTTTGCATAGGTGCTGCGTCTAACAATGAGGAATGAAGCGTCTCGGTTTGTTGATCACTTCACTTGTATGGGAGGCTAGAGTAGACCTAGTGTACCAGTAATCAACGAAATCTCAGCAAGGATAAAATGGCTCTCCTGTCCCTTGTCAAATTGTCATTCATGGTGCCACAGTAATATACGAGTGGCTGTTACGGGTCGAGTGTACCGTGCAGCAGTTTGCCCTATTTTACTGCATGGCTATGAAACACTGCCGTTGAAGGCAGAAGGCTTCTGGTGTTCTACCACCATTATCTTCGTGGCATAGGCTTGGTGTGGTGGGACCACGTTAGTAACGTCGAAGTCCGATGTAGAGTTCTAGCGAATAGACGAAAGGTAGTTGATGAGGTTGTGGACCGTCATCGCCTCAAGTGGTTAGGACATATGTTACGCATGCCTAGTCACTGTCTGCCTTATCGCACAGTGTTAGCTAAGGTAGTTCCGGGATGGAAAAGGGCTAAAAGTGGCCAGATAGAAGCATGGCATCAGTCCATGAAGACGCTGGCTGTCGATGTGAGCAGTAAATGGAGATGTAGGCTTTTCGGTTCTGGGTTAGAAAACAACAAAAATTGGTGGCTTGAAACTCTAGGTGCTAACCTAGAGTTCCATATTCCAACCCCTTTTGGTATTCTTTTTATCTACCTTTCATTTGTATGGCTTCTATCTTGATATCGTGATATGAGGTGTGGCAACATGAACCGTTAGTCAATGATGTCGGGTCCCACTTTAATTCTGACTGATCGTTAAGCTCTAAAACGACCGCGGATAACTGAGTAGGGAGCATTTAGCGGGGGTGATGTACTCATCCATTGGAATTTGAACTCTCGATCTACGGTAAAGGTAAATAAATAATGTTGGACGCTGCTGTGTGTATGTTTGTGCTCCAAGAACTAGACGAAGAGTGTAGACATTAACAGTTATAATTTGACCAGAGTTTCAAGACACTATATGTGCTATTTCTGGAACTCGGATCATTAGAATGGGCTGCAGACCTCGTTTTCAGTTGAAAATATTGTAGAATTATTAGCAACGGCGAAAAAAGTGATCAAGAAACAAGTTGATGCAGATGAGTGGGACTTGTGGACCTCTTGAGGTGTGCAGGTAGTAAGCGATTCCCCGCTGCTCACATCATGCAAGGCTACTTCTTTTTCAAGTTGTCTGAAAAATCTATCTTGTTATGAATCGTTTCATCAACCTGAGAATGAGGCAAATACTTGAAACTTTTCACACCGTTGTCTTTCTAACATTTCTCATGTTATTGGTGATATTACTTATGAGTATTTTATATAAACTATGATCAAGATTTGACCGAATAGTATGGCAAATATTGGACGCTGATTAAAAGGCTTATATTTTCTCTGAAGAAGCTCGAACCAGACTTCCGTGAGAAACGTTGGAATTATTTGATTTCAGACACGCTGTGACTCACACAAATACAATCTATATCTAATATTTACTTATGAGTAGCTGGTGTTTAATGTGTGCAGTTGTCTAGGCATTTGCTGTTTTCTGATTGATCGGAGTTATGAGTTGGCATTCAGACATATTGAACTTACCGTCGTCACCGTTTGTTAGCTGTATATACCTTACACGTTGTCCGCTGTTAAATCACCTCGAATTTAAGGGTACAAATTTACGAAATAATTATAACTAAACATAGGACCACTAATTATTTATTGTCAGGAGGAAACCAGATAGTCTTCTGATTTTACACGACTCTCATATGTATTTATTCGGGTGGACCTTACAATCTTAGACATTTCATTTATGTCTATTCTCCTTAGCTCTGTAACTCACATAAACCTTATCACTGGAGACGGAAATTCATAGGGAAATATATGTGTCATTTGTTTTCGGCGGACCATAACCGACCTGGCAATCGAAGGCAGAATTGCTGGAAAGTATGGTTATCTTTGGGAAACACCTCAATGCAACCAGCAATCCTACGTTATCTTCAGATACCGAGCTACTTTGAAACCTTTTGACGATACATGTTTACTGTAGAAGGATTATACAATAAAGTGAAGATAAACCGTTTAATGGCATGAAAATGATTTTCTTTACATCAGCTACAATACAGACTAAAAGGCGGTCTGTTTAAATTTTGGGCTATGAAAAAGCTTCCCATCGACTGTATTCCATCAGATTCTTCCCTTTTAGGTTGTTTTAATCTTTTAAATGTCTTCTGAACGCATCATGTACTCTCGCATGTTTTTAAAATGTTCTCAAATTTTCGTTTCTCAAGCTAAGAACAAAACAAAGGGAAAACGTTCCCCCGGTTGAAAATGGATTCGTAAATGTCTAAAAACACACTACATTACGATTCTTAAGATACCTGTCTGGGACTGTGAATTTTTGTGCTGGCTGTCTGATCTGCCACCATCAAAAGGGCACTCGATTTTGTGTTAATATCTGAATCGAGAACAGATGTTAATGTAACACTAGCTATCCGCTTCACTCTTATGCCTTCAATACTGTTATTAATAACACTATGCAGACGTAACAACTATTTCTTTTAAAAGTTTTGAACGGAAAGCGAATTTGTTGGAATATTCCATGCTGAAAATTTCATACTGTATCAAACATGTTGTTTGCAATAAAGTGATTATTATTACTATTATTATTATCAAATTTGATAACTTATATATATATATATATATATATATATATATATATATATATATATATATTAGTTGGTCTATCTTCACCTGCGATACATTAAAATGCTCCAGAAATGTAACTTACAGCTGGTGTAAGTGTTTCTAAAGCTTTTAAGGCTGATTCTAATATAGGTATAGCTTCAGCTAAATCAGCATCACATTCTTCCTTAATTGCTTCAGCAGCTCTGGCTTGTTCACCGGCTACTGCTTCGTCAACACGTACAGTTTTTTCTTGTTTAGCTGCTTCAGCGCTTTGTTGTTCAACAACAACCATAACTGCGTCAACTTCTTTACTGGCTTGTACAAGTTTTGGTTGAAGTGATTGCAATTCTTTTGACATAACACCAATCTCTTCAGCTGCACTACTCAATTTTTCTAGACCAACTTCATAACGACTTTTTTGGGTTGATACTTCCCTGTTGATTATGTGTTGAATTATGAGAAAAAGAAAGGGAAATTATAAACTTTTGCTGAGTGAACTAGACTTATTCATTTATTCATTTTTTTCCAACAACAACTTTGGATACATTATTGGTGGATAGTGGCTAGCAGTGGGATCTAAGATGCGTGTTTCGTCATGTCTGGGACTCGTCAGCCGGTGATTTGCAAGCAATAACATCAAAGTTGTGCGGTTACAAAGGTTAGTTTTAATCCACTTTCAAGATATCGTACCTGTGCTTGCCTTTAGCATTAACTTGATTTATGACCGGGGTTTATCATTTACTGCTAAGCACTAAGAACTAAGGCACTACATTGATCCCCCACTTTTGACCGATTTGTGTAGTTAACCCAGTCGGACAAGGAGTCATTCATGATTTGGACAGCTTTGAGTGACGCAGATTTGAATCCTCAAGTGGATATCAACTTCTTCATGATTATTGATGAGTGCCACCAGGCACGAAACCTAGATCTATGGTTTCTTACAGATTTTCTCCTTGCATCTAGTACTAATAAGCTGTGAATCAAGCTTGCTTTATGATGGTTAACTGCAAAATCTGGCTACTGGAAACCTAAATTCACTGAACTATTTGGGAGCTCGTGATCCACAGGTGTAAAGTTCACTGTATATACCATGATCTGCACCGCTACACGTTAAATATGAACAAACATTTAGAATAGGCAGTGTTTTTCAGTTTGAAAGAGGATAAAACAACCTTTTTTGGTGTTAGCTAAAAAAAATAACATTTTATGTTAGTTAAATAAAGTCGACTTGATAAATACACTTTGTTTTGTCAATGTGACTATGAGATGGACATGGTATTACTATAACAGGATGGCAAGTGAATATGAAATGAGAATCTGGGTCTTGGCGACTTTCGGATTACCTGTCTACTGTTAATAAGGTCTTAGTTTCGTCTTAATTGCCAGGAGTTTTACCCGGGTATTATATGAATCTATTACAGATGACAGTGAACTTAGGAACTGATCAACAGCTGGTTCTCGTTGGCAGTTGGCAAGGTAACGGAAAATTAACCTGCAGATCGCTGGTTCAAATCCTGCCGCAATCCAGGTCAGCATTCCCCCTTAAAGCATCATTTTGTACTAAAATACATTAAATATCGACAAGAAGGACTTAATGATAGTCCAGACGAATCTCCCAATTTTATTAGAGGTGAAACAAATATTCTGATCAACGAACCAAGTATTATTTCTTGTCGTTTCCCAACTAGATTTAATTCAGTTACTTTTAGGGTAAGAAAAACTGGTTGAAGCAATCTTAATAGGGATGCCTTACACTTGATATAGATCCAACAATTACGATGTCTTTGCATAATTTGATTTTTTATTGCTATTACTTGTGGGCTGCTGTGTGAAGCTTCACATATGAATTCTATGCTTTTTACCCTAGGATCTCAAAATGGAAAAGATGTTACTTCTAAGAAATGGATCTGTTCTACACTTGACATTTGTGTCAATTTCAGCCCTGTTTGGCTGAACCGAAAGTAGAATCTGGTTAGTATTTGGTTTTCATTGTTTAGTTGGTAAACTGAAGTACAGAGGGCTTCTGAAGATATGTATTCAAATCAGGTTATGACCTTACAAGCTTCAATACTATGTATATGTACTGATAACAGTGATGAATGGTGACCAGCAGTGGAATCTAAGACACATGTTTCGTCTAACTTGGGACTCATCAGCTGAGTGCACGTACCTGCCTCCCAGTGAGTAACTTTGTTCCTTCCAAGACTGAAGCCCAGCACTTATTGTTTCAAACACTAGAGGGCTATCCATTAGGCCGCTGAATCATGGTAACCAATTTTTGTCCAATGAGCATAGTTTGCTATCAAACTGAAAATACTGATAATATTGAGGCATCCTAGTGAGGGCCGATATGCCGATAGAGGCCAATCAATTTGGTTCGGTCAGCGGTAGAAAACTACACAGAATAGCACTAAATTTATATATGCCTAAAACAAAAGTGAATTTTCCTAAATGATGTGAAACTTACATTCGTTTTTTCGATAACAATGTCATAAATGTTGTAATTAGTTCAAGATAAGACGTAGGTGTTACATAATTGTGTCGTTCTAATTCCAGAAGAAATCGAGTTGATAGATGACGCGTACTTGTATGAAAGTATTTGCATATATCAATACAACCATTACGAATTTCTTCTGCCATTTCAACTTCATTCAATGAACGTGTAGCCACAGCTGTTAATGCATCTTCTGGCCATGTCTGGAAATTGAAGAAATACGTGTATAATAGATGAAATGGAGAGTAGAGAGGGGTAGGTGAATTTCGAAATTCGATGAAAAATATATCTTAGCCTTTTGTTATATTATCAACTAGGCATTCATGCAGGGTGGGAAAGGCTTTCTATTTGCTATTCCTACGCAACACTCTACATTCCTAATCAAGATCAGAGAAATATCACGTCCAAACAAAAGAAACTACTTTATTTCATGACAAAAATTACATTCTGTAGTCATTTGACCAGGTAAATAGATTGGCTGAATAGTAATACTATGATAGAGATGGTATATCCCATGAATTAGACCAACAGCATAGCTTACCTTCTCATTTAAGATAGTTGATGAAGAAAGAAATCGTTCCGTATATCTTGAAATGGGTGAATGAAGTGCACTCTGCTACCGTATGCACTTTTATGCAACAGACAGTACCTTCCTGGCTACTCAAACCTCGGTAGGTTGGGTGGGGTTCGAACTTAGGACCCACTGGTTGGAAGTTGAATGTCCAAGGCTAACAAGCCATAGCTCCATTTGACATATCCTATCAAGCAGTGGCCAAGTAGGCACATTAACAAGCTATTGTATTCAAGTGTAATTGAACTATTATTACAGATGTTTGAGAGGATGTTTCCAAATCTAATTAGGGAAAGAAAGTCATGGAGCCTAGAAATACGAAGGGCATGTATAAAATTTGAATAATCTGAAGCTAGTATTCTACATCACTACCACTACCAGTAAAAAAAATCACATACCCAAAACTGCTTTCACACAATAATAACGTGCATTGATGGATAGTGACTAGCAGTGGAGTCCAGGACGCACTTTCCGTTCTGTTTTAGGACTCGTCACCTGGATGTACCTGCCTCCCAGTTAGTGACCGGGACACAGAACCGATCTCCTAAAACTATACTATACCCGTCACACACATGCTGGCTATCATGCTTCAGTGGCCTAATGAATAACGCTGTGGTGTTTAAGACAGTTGGTCGTGGGTTCCAGTCTTGGCGGGAATCACACCTACTTACTAGGAGGTAGATATATCCAGCTGAAGAGTCCAAAGTAGGGGAAAACTCGAGTCTTGGATTCAACTGCTAGCCACTATCCAACAATAAAATCAAGCTAAAACTAAAGACACTATCGAGGCATCTGGGCAGAAGCACATGGGTCGATAGAAACCGAGCAATTCAGTCCACTCAACTACAGGGAATTACAAGTAACAACACTAATGACACGTATTCCAAACGGGGTGTGAGAAAGTATTAGAAATCTTAATGCAAAACTCCTGAGGCGCCAAGTTGAGATATTTTTGCTGAAAAAGATAACTAAGGGATTCAGAGAAACATCTAATATTTTGGGGAAATAAAAGACAAGCAGTTTACAAGTTGTAGATGAGACTTCAGGTATAGAAGATAAACTGATCTATGAGGTTGGCAGTAGTGAACTCGGTAGTCGATAAATGCATTTTACTGTTATCCATGTATAGCCACAGGCTATTAATGTATAGGAAGCTGACTGAATTAAGAATCCGCTAAAGGGGCTTTATTGAGGTTCGTTCTAAATATTATCTCAAATCATGCAGAAGCAGATTGCTGGTTCACTAATATAAGCGTATCATCCGCTGTTCTGTAGATGGAAAATGTAAACATTGCATTAGTTCTGTGTTTTTTTAGTTAAATTTCAGTCAGTCATAAATTATTTGGTCAAAAATATGTGGATTTTAAGCTGAATGGTGGTTAAGGCCATCAGCCATTGTAGGCCGCAAGCAACGTCATTCAAATCTAGCGGAAGTTTTGCACAGATCAAATGGCACTAAGTTTTATACTACTGGTAGTCATGCAGATATACATGTAGATAAAAAAAAAATAACGTGTAGCTGTTGTCTTTCTGAAACGAAAATCCAGCCGATTTAGAACAATAAAGGGAAAGAAAGTCCAATAAGAGTTGGTCCGCAGTTTAATCAAACCAAACAGTTTAGCAAAGTGCAACGAAGTTAGGAACTTGTTTAATTACAAAACATCAGAAATGACGGAATTCTACCCTCCTGTTTAAGTTGGCTCTAAACGATAAAAACCAAATACCCACAGGAGGAAGCTTAACTCATATTAAGGGGAAAGGTATTACTCAAGAAAGATCCAGTACGTGTTCAAGATATGTAATAATTAATCCTTCCAATAGGGTCAAGAGTTTAAAAGCACAGTGAATCACTGAAACATCTTCAACATTTATGTTGACGGTAACTTTTTTGCAGGGTAGCAGTCAAAGTGATCAGGTGTATCCATTACTTGACAATTTGAAGAGTAACTAATAACTTGATGACGAATAAATCACTAGGACACATGCATGAAGCTAAATCAACATTTTCAAACTTATGTAGCGAAGATGAAAAACAGTGATTTCTTTTTAGAAGATAAATAAATGCTGGAAATGTTATGACTTGAATATAGGAAAGTGTGCATCTCAGATGAAAAGTATGTTTAACAACTGACTGCAAAGACCAGCTTCAGAGGTAAAGAGAATGATCAATTGGGTTTTCTCGTTTCAGCAGGAAAGATGATTTTTCAGAAAAATGAAGAAACCCAATTGCTTGCTCACTGGCTGTTAGGGTCATATAATATCCATTCCACACAATTGGCCTCATAGGCCTGTTTTGGACCCCCAATGTTTACTACAATGACTGTCTGTTAAAGTTAACTAAAATGCAAAATTCTGTTTCTCTTTGAAAACAAAATCACTTATTTCATTTTTTTTTGTTGAATTGGTACCAATAAAGGTGATGTTTTACGCAATAAATGACTAAACTTTTTTTAAGTGAATGAATCTAAACACCATCTTAGCAACCGTTGGAACAACGGGCAAATTTAAAGGTCACTCTACCAACAACTGAAATGGCCAATCAGGCCTTGATATTTCTCCTGAAAAAGTACTTTTCCATAAAATAAGGGAATGTAATTGGCTGTCACATCAGTTACTAGGGTGGCCTTTAAAATCACCCAAAATAACCAATTATAGTTTCTTCGTTTGATTAAAAACACTACTATTGCAGTCTTAATGTAAAAACTAAATTGGTTATATCAGTGGTTGCGAAGATGAATCATAGAGTCACTCGGCTTAATTGTTCTCGGGATGTGATCGTCAGTATCATCTTTTATTTAACAAATGTTAGCCGACAAAGCCGTATGGCCAGTCAGTATTTTAGAAAAAATATATATGCACACAAACTGAAATCATGTGATGTTAAGCCTGCACCATCTAAGCTTCATGCTTGTAAACACTCATCAGCAAGGCGTAACTGTAACCTTGAGAGAAATGATATCACCTTAGAGATTCAAACCCTCATCATCCTGTGCTACAGTCAGAGACGCTAGCACTGAGCTATTCAAGCAGTGACTGACCTCCTGCAGGATGTGTTACGCATACCTAGAAAACGCCTATGTTGAATAGAAATTTTATCTGGAGTAGGATATTAAAGAGAATGAAATTTCACTACATTCAGTTAACATCGCTGTACAGAGTCAGGGGATACCGATCAGAGATTATAGAGGAACAATAGATTTTTAGGTACGGGTTTACATGATATTAGAATTTGATTACTGTTTATCCTAAATGAAATAATAGGAAATAAATCATGGTGGATAGGTGCAACTAGATTCTGATCCAGGCCTTGAAGACCATCAGAAACAGTTCCGCTTTAAGGGCTCCAAGTCATCTTTTAGGTTGTCCATTAACTTGTTCGCTATTGTTGACATTTTTGTGGTTGGCACTGATATCTTGTGTGTCAGAGAAGTTTAGTTCTCTGTACTCTTCTCCGTGAACACCTTGGTAATCACACAATTCCTCAAGGTATGGCTAGTTTTCATCAACGCTTCCATTGTTCAAAGGTAAATCTCTTTGCATTTCTACTCCATGTTGAAACTCAAACAGTTTTCAACTGTGAAGGAATCCAACTGGAGTAAATCGTGTAAGAGTTTTCTACAGTCCTCTTTTTTGTTATTGTGTAACGTTTTTAATAGTGATTGAAAATACATTGGAACTTCCCAGTACACATTCACGTTAGTCAAATAAGTATGAAAAACAAAATAGTTTATTTTTATACGTTTGTTCAGAATAAAGAGTTCATTGAGCTCATAATCTCATTAACTAACTAACTATCTTGATTTCAAGTTGGTATTCATCATGGACTGACATCAGTTAGAGGGCCACTGGAGAGCTGAGAGTACTGAACAGCTGTTTCGTCCTATTATGAGACTCTTCAGCGGTGTGCACCCAGGACCTTCAGGTTTCACGGATAGCATGTTACCATTGAGCCGCTGGTTGGCATCTATTGGTCTTTATTTTCCTCTTCTGCCAGTTCACGATGTAGCGAAACCTCCATCTAATGCCACCGCTGAGTAACTCTCTTCAGATCTGACTTGGTTGGCCTCACTGATCACGACTTCTCATTAGAACTTCGGGGGTCGGCTCTCAAAGTGAATCACCATTGAACCCAAAATTAATTCGATTTGGGGGTTTGTGGGGATGTTTATCAACTAACTAACCTGCTGTATTGTACGGGATTTTACGTTTTATCTAAAAGTTGTTTGCTTAGTGGTTCCAGCGTGGGATAGAAATATATCGACAGTCTTCATGAGTCATGCTTCACGAACGCAAAAGGCGACAAAGTGAACCTCTGCTAAATACACTTACAGATAGTCGAATATTTTAGTACAAGCTTAGGTTGAAGTATTAAAACAAGTGATATATCATCATTTGTGTGGATCTAAGGAGATACGTCATGGTCTGAGCACCCTCGGCTTGCTTGTAACCTATTTCAACTTCTGCTACCATTGCGTATCGAGGTAAGCGGTGGGTCGACATGCACAGCATATATGCAAACCACTGCAGTCGACGAAGGTTCACAACATCATTCACCGACCTTCCTTCTCTACCTTTCTACTGGCCTCGGCATTGTTAATATGGCGAGTTCACCACATGTGACACGGATGTTCAAGGATCTGTAACTGCTTCATATCTTCTACTTTTGATGACAATGTCTAACAGCTGTATAATAGGATAGAACGGACTGCAACTCAACAGACTCTGGCCTTCATCATCATTTCGAAACGACGAAGAGGTGATTATTTTTGATGCTGTGTTGGCTATGCATGTGACCGTTTCTGGTATACTTACTAAATACTTTATTTAAAACAATTATTTTCATACTGAAAACGTTTAATATTCAATAATCAAAATTAATGTATCCATAAACCACTTACCTGGAACCAATCAATAGTACAACAGTTGACTAAAGAAGGAAATTTTCTCAATCGATTACGAAATGAATCGCCGATAGGACTTAATGCCAATACAATGTGTAATTGTTCTCTAACACGTTGAATAAAATAGTTGAATAATGCAACCGGTGAACCATCGGTTTGTTTAGTTCTATCGCGCACTCTGTCAAGCTGACGCATTTTTTCACAGACTTCCATTTTTTCATCAGTTGGATAAAGATTAGGCACTTCACCAGCATTCAGTAAATTGTTAATATCTTCTAAGAAACTTTCTTGTTTAATTTGTGCATCAGTGAATAAAAAGACAGCATGGTTATCTGTTTCAGTTGATTTACGGAGAATACGTTTTAAATCCTCTTTCCATTCATTAACGCCATAACTTTTCGTGATTTCAACCTGTAATCGTTAAAAAAAGAGAAAAAGGGTCACACATAACTAGTTTATTCATATACATTGGGTTGAGTGAGAAGGCAGTGGGTTGTAGCTCATGAAAATGTAGATGTTGTTCGTGAGCACAACACGGCATTCTTACAGCATGGTTGATTTTCAGAACACATTTCGAGAGTTGGAGAAAAATTTTTCTCCCTCCTTCTCGGCTGTATAGCATAAAATTTGTACAGCCCAGATCGAATCCTAGGTTTTTAAGCCATCTTCAATCATTACCCAGTATCAACCAAACTACAACTATCTCAGATAGTCAAATTGAAAGCCTCAATGTTTTTCGCGTGCTTAACACAGCATTCTTAGACAGTAGTTTTTTTCAAAACACAGTTCGAGAGTTGGAGGAAATTCTTTCCTCTCAACCCCGCGTTGAGAAATTTCGATAGAATGAAGTAAGATGACGATAAATTTTAGGCGTAAACATCATTTCTATCAGAATTTTTTTAATTAGAACTTCGAAACCGCTTAACGTCACACAAAGAAACCTCTTAAAAGGAAAAAATATAATTCGAAATAACAGATTTCGGACAATAATGTAAAGGATGGAATTTAAGATGCTGCTGCCGAATAAGCCATAGAAGAAGAAGATATTTCACAGGACAGAAAAAACAATCCCGTTTAATCGTGGTTATTACTCATGTGAAACAAATCATCATGGAATGGTACTTTTGGTCAATTATCGTTCTTTTTCTACTGGTGAAAACCTAACTCGTCATTAATATCAAATTTGAAAAATACCGGCAGTATCGAGGAGCCCATATGCCAATTACGGCTGATCAATTCGATCCAATCTAAGGTGCACGAACCATAACATCAAACACCATAGTATACCCGTTTTCCAAGAAGTGGTTACGGTGACTCAGTGGCTTAGTGGATAACGCCCTGGTGTTTGGAGCAATCAGTCTTGTGTTTGAATCTCAATGGAACCAATATCACCCTCTGGGAGGCAGATCAATCCAACTGACGAGTCTCAAATAAGACAAAATGTGAGTCCTTGATTCCACTGTTAGCTATCGTGTTGTATTTATATCGTCTTTATTCTGTATAACGTGGGGTTTCTAGAAATCTATAGACTGTATCATACAGGTGGAGGGCTACCTGTAATTAATAGGAACTATTATCTCAGTGTAGTTTGTCAGTTATTTTAGACATCAACAGATAAGATACTTTCCGCATTTCGAACATTTCATCACAGACCTACTTACAAACTTCGAGAAGTGCAGTTATAGGAGAATAAATACAAACTCTTCTTGAGTTATATGCACAAATTTTATTCTTTTACAGAATGAAAAAGAAATGATGTTCTACTTTTATTGTTGAAAATTATTACATATCACATTCAATAATAATAATACAAAATATTTGTTTATTTTGTTATTTGTTCTAATATACTACGCCGGGATTACATAAGTAAAAATACATCCTATACAATGATATCACATTCAAGTTGTAGTTATTCTGGTAGAATCACATAAGTATGATATAAACTGAGTAGGAGGACTCAGATGTCTGAGATTAACTTGATAATGATGACAACAACTACAACACGTTGACACTGCATTAGGTTTGCTTTTTGCAATCAAAAATAAGTATTCGGTAATTTGTGTATAGCCTAGTGATTGTATTTCACCCTGAAGGGCTGTTTATTCGAGTTGTCAGGAACTGGTTTACTTAAACTGACGACTTCTCATGATACGACTCAAAATCTATCTCAATGGGACATATATGCTTTCGAGATTACACAGGTTTTATTATTCTTGCTTTTCTTTTTGTTCCAACCCTTACATCCTTCCCTTTTATTTTAACACTGATCCAAAGCGGCTAAAATGTCACTGGTCGATAACATAGAAATTTTTGAGCTTCAAACTTTAATTTATAATGCCGTCTGGTCAAGATAAATCTTCCAGGACAATATTGTATTTCATGGGGCCAATCAGGATGTTAGTTTTTCTTTGACCTAGAGCATTTTCGACCATTTAATGACTGAATATTCACGTGATACAAGTGATGATGGGATTGGTTCAGGAAATAGGGAAGAAATCATTGAATAAGAAAGAGAGAAGGATTTACTGTTTTAGTGGATAACCCATTGACATTTAAAGCGATTAGTGCTGGGTTCGAGTCTCAGTGGGGACAACATCAATCACTGGGTTGCAATTGCATCCAGCTGACCTGTGCCAAATAAGCCAAAACGTGCATCCTGGATACTTTTGTTAGCCACCATCCATCGTTATTATCCAGAAAGAATCAATCTCGAGTGGTGACATAAGGGTCAAGTGCTATCAAATAAGTGTAAAATGTGAAGCAAAATTAACTAACTAAACTGAGTCCTTAAAGCCGAGGTAGAGAAAGGAGTTTGACAAAACGCTTTCGGATGTATAGTTTTGGTTTGTGATCTTGTATACCTAGTGTTCCAGCTGTGCGTAAGTAGTGGAAACGTAGAGCTTTGTAGTAATTCAACGCAGGCTTTGTAAATTACCTTAAAAGATAAACTTTAAAGAGGTGAATGACTTAAATCCATTAGATGGTCACATATGGGTGGAGTTACTGTTCGTCTCTCGCCTTTGGTTAGGTAAAACGGATAGTGTTCTGCAACGCGTTTCCGGAGGGTCCGCTTACAAAGTTCAGTTCCACAGAAGTATTTGAAGTCGTAGATACACAGATGTGGACATAAGTGGCAACCTTTCTTTCATCCGTCGTCGAATCAAACGGAAACTCAAGAATATCAACCACAGGATGGCAAAATAGACATTATTAATTCATTTCAAGACACGGCCGTCCAATAGTTCAGCTGTGACATCCTCTATGGATTCCAAACTCATGAGTAAAATATTCTTTGGAACCTTAATAGTGTGAGGGATAATTTGTTTCTTGAAGTTTTTTACTACTAAATCTTCTGATGTGACCATTATTCAATTACGCTGTTCTTAGGCGTTCAATTTCAACGTTCTTTGTGTTTTCCGAGCAGATTTCATGAATTCTGGAACACAGAGAGGTAGCCAACTACTAAGGTTGATGAACTGTCCGGTAAACTGACCTTTGAAGTGGACCTTTATCTCAACTCATAAACTTCACGTCTAGAAAGTGAAACGCTGAATTTAGTCCTTTTTCTACAACGAACTTCATAAATGAGTGACAATCATTGAATTGTTTAAGCAGTTCATCAACTGAATAGGTTTCTTCCATATGAACCAATCACCCCATCACCACCGCCAATTTTATTATGTGTGTATTGACTGAGCAACCTTTTGGTGCACTTATCTGACATTTTACCTGTTTTAAATACAACTGTACAGGTTGATAATAAAGTCGTTGAAAAGAAATAATTCTTTGTTGGTGGAAATCGTATTCTTCTTATTCACGAGAAAATGGGAATATTTCATCAGAAGTACTTTTGTCGAATAGAGTCGTCTTCGAAGTAAGTGGTTAGTTTTTGTTTTTCGAGATTCTTGTGATTCAGTGGACGGTTGTTATCATATGACTGTCAGCGTTATTATTACTTCAGAGTTTTATTTCACTCTGTCAGTTCAACAATCTTCCTGGATATTTCCATTTTTGTATTATTTTTTACGTCGAATTACGAAAGCTTAGCAGCCTTTATGCAAGATTCTACGTTGATCGGCATATTAGGTTTAGTGCTAGGGAAGTACACTAATGTCACAGTACTAATGTTTTCGGAATTCGCTTGCCTTGCTTAAAAATTACAATATACTTAGGTGAGTAGTACTTTTCAAAGGTTCCTCAGTCTCTCAATCCTTTTCAACACAATATCAGAAACTTTCCAGATTATTTTCATATACGGTATTAATTTTTTAAAATAGATGATGGCAAGTTGAAAACAGACACGGAAACAACACATTGCTGAGATGTCTCACTGAGCATTTTCAGTTAACTGATATTAGTAAGCACAGTCAGCTCCTACAGGCCACTGGCTCGAATTCTGTCGCCGTGCAGATTTTCATTTCACCTAGTATCAATATAGCCAATCTAACAAACGATGACTATCTCAGATGGTCTCATTAGGAATTAATAGAAAACTTTATAAAGTGTTACTGTTAAGAAAAGATCACCTCAATTAAACAATCAAATGTTGCATAATATAATAAACCTACTTGGAACAAATCAAAATCTGACATATGAGCGGCCAGTCGAGTAAGTGATTGACGTCCTGAACCACCAATACCAACAAGTAGTGCATGTGATCTTGGTTGTTTCAGTATACGTGCAATACGACATACGTGTTCGATAGCAAAACGAAAGAGAACTAAATTCATTGGTTTCTTACTTAATTGATTATACTCTTCAAGATATCCTTCAGTGACTTTTCGTAGTTGTTCCACATCATGTACTTCTTCATAATTACGCTTTCCTTTAGGATTAGCAAAATCACAGAACATAAGAGATCGAAGATGGTCTTCGGTCACCTTGTTTGTTGAAAAGTAAATAAATAGAAAAAGAAGGTTTAATCTCTTATGAGGAATTCTGCAAAATTAAAAGCTTGTTTGATGATGAAAAGATTCCATCGTTGTGCGACCTGGATTTACAATCATTAGTTAAATTTGATTCCAGAGTAAGTATCACGATGAAAAGTCTTTTATCGATAGTAGAGGATTGAATTGCAAATTTCGTAAATTATATAACCTTATGTTGTGAGTGGATAAAAAGTGTCGGTATAACGTCAAGCGAATATACTACTGAGCAACTTGAGTGGTTAGAAACAACTCAGGCTGGTCTGTAGACTTTGCCAAGCAGATTAATGTAAACCCAGTCAGCTCATCAACGATGTATCCAGACAAATGAAGCTCCCACAGCCGAATTACTTCAGATCACCTAAATGTGGCTAGCTGACTTACATGGACCCGTATACCTAAAATAGGATGATCAATTTGTAAACGATCTACGAATTACACGGTGCACGTTGACATTCTTCCCAGTTAAGTAGTTGGGCATTTGGTAGAAGTATCAACTCAGCAGTGCTATTGGTTGGATGTAAGATTTCACTCAAAAGAGACATATCAGTTGGTAACAACAAGTATGTATCCTACTTCCGTGAGAAAGTTATGCCATACATCTATTTAGTGAATGCGAAATGTGAGAAGAATCGGTATCATATTATGAAGTTATTAACTTTTAATCGTAACTCCGAGAGAAACTGTGACCAGTGGTTAGAACCAAGTTGCATATGAGGACAGGTACCCAATGACTACATTGGATGAAGGTAGTGGTGTACTTCGAACTGATAGAAGTCATTGAGCAGCCCGCTTAAACTTGGGGTTACGGAAAATTTACCACCGAATTTAATTCATCAACTTCATCCCTTTCAATTTGTTATCATCATTTAAGTACGTATTTTAAACGCTTCATCTACTCTTATGCACTTTTAAAATGGTTTCAAGCTAACGGCAAAACATAAAATAAACGGTTCGCCGATAGAAGATGGGCTTATAAATGCAAAGAAAGAAGGTATTTCACTATTCCTTGGATAACTGTGTGGAATTTCAGATTTCGATACTTTCTGAACAAACTACTACCACTAAAACTGCACTCAATATTCTATTCCTTCACCAGTCGAAACCAAACGCTAATGTGATACTAGATAAGTGTTTCACATTCTGGATTTTAACACTTACTATTAGAATTATTTAAATGCAATGGTTATTTCGGTTAAGGATATTGTAAAGGAAACGAATTTGTTAAACTATTACATGCTGAGAATTTCATACTGTACCACAAGTTTTGTTTGGAACAAAGAGATTATTATTATTGCCATTATTATCAACATTATCACTAAAGTAAACCAGTGGATTCCGACGTAGAGGGGCAATGGTAACATTCTTCACTGCGAGACCTGAAGGTTCTGGGTTTAATCCCTGGGGAAGTCATAGGTGTACGCTGCTAAGGAGTTCAATACCAGGACAAAAAGTTGTCTAGTTCTCCCAGGTTTTTAATGGTTCTCCAACAGATGTCATTCCTTGATGAATACCAACTTGGAATTAATAGAATCCCATTAAACCTATAAACTGAAGAAACCGTAGTGTTGAGTTAAAGTGTTTCATAAGCAATGACATTCAATGACTAGGGGATACATTAGATCGTTTAATCAAAAATCAATTGCAACAGTAAAATTTGTTCAATTTTCACTGATTTTCATCTAATTTTGAGAATCTTAATAACAAAGACAGATCTTTATAGTTTGATATCATTTATCCATTTTATTATTTTGCATATGTTTGAGTGTATTGTTCTCAAATGTGGTAAGTTTAAAACCAGTGTACTACCTTACTGTATTATATACTGCATCAGACAAACACTGGAAATTTTATATCAACACCATTTCATTAGTCGTTCACTTTTTTATTGACTTGGATTGATTGGGCAACTAAAGATGAATACAACGGCAAGACACTAACATTTACAGCTTGATCAGTGCACCGAATCCAGCGATCCAAAAGGTTAATCGTAGCCCGAACAGCTCAGTGGTAACGTCTCTGACTGTAGCACTGAAAGATATAGGTTCACATCTCTTAGGGGACATCAGTTTATTCGAGGTAACAGATAAACTGTGCTGACAAGTGTCAACAAAGACGAAATCTAGATAGAGCAAGGCTCCCTGCCAACTGCCTTCCACCATTTAACCATCTAAAGATATGAATGAAATCTGGTATATTATGTTTACTGTAGTAAAAAAATAAGAACTCTTTATGTGATTGTGTAAAAGACAAGGGACGATTAGTGTAATTAAGACAGAAGTTTACGTATGCAGTTTCTTTGTGAGTAAGAAGAAAAGAGAGCTACCGTAGTCGACAGACTATTCTTACATCAATCAACAAACAAGTGAAATAATAAATTCAGCTCACCTCTGATTCACCGGCAGCTAAATGCTGAAATAGTGAATTGAAATCTGCTTCCATTTGTGTCTTTGAACATTGTTGTATAAAAGTGAAAAACCAGTTACGGTCAGTATCATCAACTAGACGATCATAATAAACACGAAACACTTCATGCACCCATAAACGTTTCATAGAACCTAATGTTTCAGTTGATTCTGGGACAGACAGTAAAACACCTTGAATAACACGACTGAAATCACGTAAATTAAATAGGTAATGCGATTTTGCTGGTGTAGGCAAGAGATTTTGTAATGCACCTTTGTATATTTCAAGTGTAGCATTCACTATTTGTTCTGGCATTTTCTTAAAATCTGGACTAAAACCTCTGCAGAAAAACAATAAACAGAATAGAGTTTTTAAGTAGTTTCTTAACTTGAGGAGAAATAATTGACAATGTGTTGATAACATTTATTTGAAACAATAATAAGAATTTAGATGTTATAGTTTATAATTACCTGTCATTGACTGAATTGCAATGATTAGCCTCTATTAGTATGTGGGCTACTGTGTGGATACTCGGATATTGCCGATATTTTCAGTTTAACATAATTGATGGACACAAGCTAGCAGTTGAACTCAGGAGGCACGTTTTTTCCTTTTGGAGACTCTTCAGTTGGACATGTCTGAGTCATGGCGTTCTTGCTAGGACTGGGACACAGAACCGGTTGATTCAAATACCAAAGCATCATTCTCTAGGCTACTGGGTTATGATAGTCAGTCCTTGTGCAATGGACAGAGCATGGTTTTGATGCTACAGCTTGTAATTCCCCGTCATTAGCCATCATGACTCGGAGGAAGAAATTGACGATGTGCTGATGAAATTTATTTCAAGTAATTGTATGAAATGGTGGTTAAGTTGACCCATCCTTATAGGCAAATATATTCTTTGCTACTTTCAAGGCCTATTTAAGTATACCTATCAAATGAGAACAAGGTTCTGTATGCCCGAAGTACTTAGATTCATTGATTAAGGTTATTCGCAAAATGCGGTAGTGTAAGCGTAAGTTTTAGACGAACACATCTAACAAGAAAAATGACATAGTTACGTAGAACTTTAAATCGACTTCCATTCAAGTTCATCCTGACAATTGATTAAAGCTAAGTGTCTATAGTCTATAGCTTATACGAAAATTCATGAAATAAAGTTTTCAAAACACATCTCCATATTTGGTCTGTCTGGAGTTGATCTCCGATCTAATGAACTCATATTCCACATCGGTAAAGCATATTTCAACACAGATTTTTATGAACAAACTGTATGCTTGACGTGCATTTTGCACCGAGCAAAAATGTAATTTTTTTATTTGGAAGTTTATGGGCATTTGACCGATTTCAGGGTGAAATTTATCACAGACTAGCACCAGTTAAAGAACTATTGAAAACCTGAGAGCACTGAACAGTTGTTTTTCATAGTATGACAGGGTCATGAGTGCGCACTGCCGACGAGTCCTATGCTAGGACGAAACAGCTATCCAGTACTACCAGGTTTGCGATTTTTCAAATGACGTCGGTCCATAATGAGTACCAAGTAGTAATTTTTTACTTTAGTACTGGTGTGCATTGATGCCTGATTTAAGTATATCAAAATGAGTTCAGCAACTGCATGCACGCACGTGCAAAAGGCAATGAACCACACGTACTGTATGAGGGCTACTAACACTAACTGGCTGCTTATACGTTAGCATAAACAGCTGGTTTTCAATCCGTGACCTATCAGTTAAAAGTCAAGTGCACAGACCGGTGAACGACAGCCTCTTTTTAAGTTGCTTAGCGCAAATGTGTGCACTCTGTAACATGCTTAGTAATATCCATACACTTTCAGTGTTCACCGTACATCTTTTCTTTAATGCCACTTTGTTTAATTTAACATCATACTACTAGTTTTATATTCTTATAGCTACTATTTGATGTAACCAAAGTTTCATATATGAGTGCAGATAAGTGAAGAATAACTTTCAGATTCCACCCCTTGCTGATCTTCAGTTTCTTGATAATAGAAAAGGTGGTAAGATTACGAAGGTGTATTGGAACATCAAAAGTATGTACAAAATACAATGGTTTATGTATATTTACAATAGCTTTCTAGATTTAAATACTCTAATGTTTTTTGTCCCTTCAACCAACCTGATATTTACAAATTGGTTCACACGTTTTTCCCGAGACTTCGAGACAAAAGAATCAATTGAAAAAGGCTTCAGGGGTTTACGGCTTCTTATGAAGATTTTGGTAATCTTACGGCACACTGTAACAAAGGGTGACTCTAACTACTACAGTGACGACCAAATAGAGTTCCATATTTTAAGAAAATCTATATTCCCACTTGGAATAAAAATGTTTATTTGGCTGTTTCAGTCGTTTCTTAGATGGAGTTTAGAGTCATTTTCATATTATTCATGTTCATTAGAATAATATCGGCTGTTGTAAAGTGCACAACTTTGTGTGAAGCTATACGCTGATGAATCTGTCAGACAGATATACACATAGACAGACAAACAAAGTCAATGTAAGATCTCACACATAAGTGCATCGGTTCAAGTTGCCACATTACACTGTGGTACACAAGGAACAGGTAGATAGAAAAGACTGGTATCAAGGTAGACAGAGTTGTGTGACAGAATCACCAATCCGAAGATAACGGTTAGTGAGAATATTCAAGCTTCACAAGATATTAAAGGGTGAATAGATATGCATCATTGTGACCGACTTTTAGTCATTTCACCAAGAGTCCTCAACCACTGATTCCTGTCGTCTCGGGGACCATAGCCAATTAGTTTACATCGCCCCACACAGCTCAAACCAACAGTGGGGGACTTCATTGACTGGTGCTACGTCTTGGTCTGGTCATCCTGAACCCTTTTTTTAACCTAATCCAACTGCCGTAGTAACTCGAGGAAGGCGGTGGGTCAGCATGAAAATGAAACAACCAATTTCATACATAGAAAATACGAGTGACTCGAAAGCCCAACCTATTTTGACTAGAAAAGCGGCTCTATGATAAAATAGGGAAGCCTAGTTGGTTATTTGTGTCATTTCTAGAGCGTCTCTTAGAGTAACTGAGGAAATGGAGTGGCTCTAAAAGCCACTCTAGCAACTGCTGAAATAAACTACCAGGGTTCGGTATTTCTGCTGGGAAGGTAGATTTTCACAAGGTAGGTCAACTTAACCGGTTATCTCGCTAGTTGTTAGGGTGACGTTTGAAGTTACTCCAGAAAATGTAATAATATACATTGACGAATTGCATTCCGCATGCAATTATCTCATAGCGATAGGTTTTAAAGAAGTTGGTAAGGAATCAGTGTAAAGCTCTTCAGCCAGGTTATAATAATAATTTGCATAAAATAAGTTTTAAATACATTGTCTTTTAACCTAATTAAAAAACACCAGTGGTCATGTTTATCTGAGATTCATATTTTCCATTCATCAACCGGTTATGCATTGCAGTGTGTCAAGAGGAGCAGTACACAGAGTGTTGTATCAGAAAGCGAAAGTTCAACTATTGTCTGCTAATTTTTTTTACTGTCTACGGAATAATACAACGAAGGCAACCATTAGGAATGCCTTTGAAAAACTCAACGAAAATACCAAACAGGCTTGATGCTCTATTTTTCTGACGATTGTGCATTTTCAGCTGTACAGAAAAAACAACATGAATTGACATGAGAGTAATAGTTATGTCTGATTATTAGTTGCCTATTGGACGCTTAGATTGGTAGTAACTTATCCTTTCCCTTTGACTTAAGGTTACAAGTATTTTGAAAAACTCGCGTATTACGTAAATGATATTTATTATTTCGGCATATGTGTTATTCAATAAGTAAAATATAAAACACGATTGTTTTAGTTGGTGTTTCACTACACAACGCTGATAACTTTATCAAAGTTAATTAACTATGAAAACACGTACAAAAAGATTAACTTACCTTACAGTAATATGCCACTCCATAATTCGAGTAAATATTGTCTTCATAGTATCATCATCGAATTCATTTATAGTTACAATATTCAAATGACGTAAAAATCTCGGAGTAATAACATTTCGTCCACCACCTGGTGGACCCATCGAACCAATGAAAAGGAGATCAACTAAACGAATCGATTCATTAGTTTTCAGATCATACCTTCATCAAATAAAATCCAAATTAATAGATAGAATGGTTCTAAAACAATTACCTTAAAACTACTCGATTCAACAGAAAATAATTATCAGTTTTATTGTCTGAGATCACTGTGGTTTGGTAGACTTTTATTATTAATACTAAGTGATGATTGGAAGCGAGATGAAAGTATGGGTCGTGGCAAGATATGTAGAGCACTAGGCCGGTAATCCGGAAGCCAGTGGTTGGAATTGTGAGTCGACTCAGGTCACTATTTTACTTTCAATCATCACCCAGTATCAAAAATTAACTACTTGTTAGATGCTTTTTTTCACAAGAAGAGATGATGTACATTATTTCTTGGATGCCATCCATCGAGAACTAACAAAACTGAAATGATTGTGAAATATAATGAAGTTCAGAAAATCATCTGTCCATGGTTCATAGATGATCAATAGACTTCGGTAAACAATAAAGACTGGAAAAATGAAATTGATTACTTTCAAGTGATGAATCCAGTAATACAGCAGATGAATCATAGTCTGAGTAGCCCACTTGTAACGTCTCTAAGTGCAGCACTGGGTGATGTAAGTTACAATCTCTCAGGGGACGTCAGATTACACGCCTTGCTGATTAGTACCAGTAAGCACGAAACTTTGACCAAGTATGCCTTTCAACTGACTGCCTTTGACCAAGTGACATAGTTCATGACTCTCTGAAGAGGTGGCTACTCTCTTCTGCACTAAAGACATAACCTAAGTTCATCATATCCCATGGAAATAAACTAGTCTTATCGAAGTAGGCAAACGTTCAAGTCCTTCTAATAACAAAACAGATCTCTGATATTTATCCAGAAGGAATCATATAGTAGGTTCATATGAAATGAAATAATTATTTAATAAGAGAGAAGTTAGTTGTTCTTTAATAGCTGACAGTTAATTGATAAAACTGTAAAGCTACAGAACTTCGTCATCCTGAAGCAATTAGTAAATGACCTTCAAGTGCCCAATCAAATTAAACGTGAGTGTTCAGTTTTTATGGAAGGCTTCGATTTATTGAAATATCGTTGATTATAGATTGCTGCATGCAGAATTCCGATAAAAATATGTTCAATGGACTAGAAGAAATTATTTCTTACTACTTACTAGTTCTATAAGGTTTTGTATGTCCCTGGACTTCCTCGAAAAACCTAGAAAGCTCACAATGCATTGCACCTTACTTTTAAGTTGCATAACGTGTAACTGAATGTCAAAATTTATTATAGCTCACTAAACCCTGTTATTGACTTCCAAGTGAGTATGATGTTCCTGACAAAGAATAAAGTAGAAAAAAAGTAGTAGGTAGGATCTCTGCTCAGTACCGTAGCTGAGATCAGGACCCACTGGCTATTTTTAGCTGCTATATGACTTAATTTTCACATCGTGTACTTTAAAATTCATGAGTTTATTTCTAACATCATGAAACATGAAATTAATGCCTTAGTTTTCATTCATAAACTCTCATTCGCAAATCTTTCTGGACGGCGTTCATTCAAATAATATAGGGACAGTGCGTAGTCATTTGAAGGCCTATCTACGTCCATATTGGAGTTTACTAGCCTTAATACCGTGGAGTCACATACGCATTAAGAACCACTCGACAGCCTAGGGAAATTTTTAAGCCCCCTTAAACAAATATATCCGCCATAATTTTTCTTCACTTCTTATTAGAAAACTGTACACGAATAACTGGCTTCCTATTGGTGAGTCTAATGTCATTTGAGAATCACTCAAGGACAGCTAGATTCTATAGTTCCACCAAAAAACCATTAAGTTCATTTTCGTTCAATATCACCAAGAGTTTCCAGAAGAATATTTGCTTCACAGATTTACAGGGAAATTATCCTGCCTGTATACACACTAAGTGATTGCAGTTTAGGGATCCGTAAAGTATTATAAAAAGTCCCGGAGGGTTATACTTTTAACTAATGCAATCCCTTAGAGTTTAAATCCACTGAGAAACAAATTAGAAAACATCACCCTCCCAATAAATTATCATCAAATTTTTACTTATGAACGGTGTAACATAACCCTACAATTGCAGTTCACTTCAAGTCAGCAGGAGTCAACATGCAGTTATCATAATACTCTAGGTTAAAAACGGTATTTTGAACTGTATGAACACTACTATATATCTGCCTAAGAATTTTTACACGCTGACAAAATGAATAAAGCGTAGTTAGAAACCACTCAGGCTGGTCTGTAGGTATCACCAGTCAGATCAGTGATTTAAACCCTGGTCAGCCATTTCATTTCTTCAGGATTGAGCTCATCGGTGGTGTAAACGGACAAATCCAGCTCACAGAGATGAATTAGTTGAAATCAACTGAATCTGGCCCTATGAACTGAATTTTTTCCGGTACACCGATGATGAACTAACTCGGTTCTAAATGACCGAGATGACCGTTCAATGTATACATCACTACGAACTGGTTGCAGAAACCTACAGATCAGCCTGGGTGGTTTCCAACTACTCAAGTTTTTCAGTAATAGTATCTTTCGTCGGTTTATGACACTTTTGTGTCAGAGACCACACGTAGTTGTCTTGGATTTCGGGCGGTTCCTACCAGAAACCCTGTTGACACCACAGTTGGAAAACTACTCAGCTTTGAGAACGTTCATCATGGACTGTGCAATTCGCAAATCATTTGCAAACTGACCATTCTGTAATAGGTTGATGATTTGAGCTAGATGTCCAAACCTCGGTATACGGTGTAAAGCGGCGCTTGAACGCATAACCCTCTACCTGAAAGTTCAGTACCTATAGAGATGTGCTACATCTTTGTGCTGTTGGGAAGCAGATAATACATGACTTTTATTTTCTTAATCTTCTTTAGCTACAATGAGATCATATCTCAATTGTTGGATTCAATAAGTATGCCGTTTGAAGTACCTGATGTGAAAAGTAGCTGCAGATGAAAGACAGATAGGTATCATAAGAACAAACCTACCACATGTATGCATCAAAATACTGTCTATTATAAGGTGTAAATTTTGGCTCAGTCGCTTATGCTCATGATATTGCATAAATAAGTCATGGATTGAAATAGCTTTCTGTTAACTGCTTTTTAGGGGAAACGATTTGAACTGTAATATTCGCCTTCATGTAACTCACGTAGCCTAAAGGTTGATAAACGAATCGATGCATGATCTTACGGTTGTTTCTGTACTGTCAAATCAATTGCTAGTATCCATCACAGTGGTAAGAGGAATTGATTACCTTTCAGACAGGTTAACAGACAGATCAACATGAAACTTTGCACAAAAGTGCCTAAATTCAAGTCGCTACACTCCATAGTCACATGCGGTTTGTAGATAAAGTTGACCAGAAAATGAACGATATAAAATATGATTAAAGCGTATGACAGAAGAGAGGATAATTAAGTATAGGATAACGAAAATATTCAAAACTTCGAAGAAAATGACGAGTGTATACACCTGCGCCTTTGTGACCGATTTTTCGACATGAGGCAATGATTCTTCAACAGTTGATTTCTGACATTTCAAGGGCTCTGGTCAGACAGCTTACACCTGACCTTATAGTTTAGAAGAATGACCAATGATTTCATTTCATTTCATAGAGCAGTACCACGTCTTGATTTAGCTACTCTTAGCTTTTCAACCGCTCAAAATCCCACTTCAGTTAACATCGCACTTCAAGGTACGTAACTGCTTGATATGCACAATATATGATCGAACGAAATTATCTGCAATGAGAATTAAAAATACTGATGGTTTCTAGGTGATGAAAAATATCTGACTGTAGTTATTCATCGTTTGTAAAGATCCTTGTGCACGGCATGTTTACTAGCGATAAATTTACCGCCCCACAATAAGTAACTTAGCACAAATTATTAAAATTCTGTGAAATAAAAAAAAAATTATCTTACATACCAATTCCAGTGATCTAACCATTGACGTAACAACTCAATAGGCGGTTGAGCACCATAGACTTCTCTTACAGGCATATTCAAATCGTCTACAAAGACAACAATCTTTTTACCCATTGGTGGTCCAAATACACCTTTACGTCTTCTATCCAACTTTGACAGAATAATATTTTGTGTTTGATTTGCACTGGTCTGTGCAGAGAAATTCAATGTGTGCGGTTTATATATATCTTTCTCTATCTTATTCATAAGGAAATCCTAAGCAGAAGAAAAGAAACCAGTTAAAATGAGAAAGCGAAAAGATAAATAGTTGATGTAGTGATCAGGAAATGGTTTTGTCACAAGATATATGGGAAAACAAATGACTGCGTTTAACCTTGGCTACGTTTGGAATTCAGCTGTACGCCAAATACGTTTTATATCAGGCATATCTTTTTAACTGTTGCTCTAAGATTCAGTATTCGTTATTTACTGGGTTAAATTGATTTCTGATATTACTTACTGATAATAGTAATTTCCCTTTGTTATTCTGGATCAAATTCTTGGACCTCCGTCAATATATGTGGATCTGTGCAGATGCCTTCATATTGACTGATTGCTTCTTAGGTTGTAATTTATTTGGTGGTGCCTACCAGTTCAATCCAGCACCCCCGTTTCGTCCTGTTTCTAAATCGTCAGATGGAGGTACCTGCACCTTACTGAGTGATATTGTTTCCACCACTAGTCAAATTAAAAAATGATGAATATTCAGGTAATACCAAGGCATTTGCTCAAGAGCCGATATGCCAAAAGAGGTTGACCAATTCGGTTTAGAACACCAACAGGGAACTACAAGTATCAACACGTAATAGTAATAATAATAATAACAATAACTGAATCCCATTGCACAACAGGTTGCTCACCTGTCTCAGTGGCCTGGATTCCACCGCCAGCCAACATTACTATCCCACTGCAATTACTGGCAGTATCGACGTATCCGCACAGGAGTCAACATTCCGACAGTGAACGATCAGTTCAGTGCAATCAAAGATGTTATTGTGACTCAGTCGCCTAGTGTATAACGCTCTGGCGTTTGAAGTGACTAGTCTCGGGTTCTAGCCTCAGTGGGGATACCACCACTCAGTCAGTTGCAAGTAATCCACCTGACAAGTTGCAAATAGGATGAAACGAGCATATTGGATTTTACTACTGGCTACCACCAAGTAATTTAAGTTTGAAGTCAGTTGATCTAATTGTAAGCCATATTTGCGCGTTTTTAGTAAATCTAATTTGTCAATAAGATGCTTTCATGAGTGGAAGAACCGTGGAGACAAGACAGTATTCAAATATTTGTTTCTTTCCGCTTTAAGAAATAATATTGCCTTATTCAGCAAAAAGAAAAACATTTAAAAAATCATTTTCATGACTGTTGAGATAAACTGGGGAAAAGGGTTCATTCTGTGATAAAAGGATTCTGATGTATTTGTTGCTTCGAAAATACATTTACAAAAAACGAAATCAAAACAGAAGTCAGCTAACTTTCTGACATGTTAACAACTATACTTCAAGGTGATACCCATCACAGACTGATATCATTTGCAGAATCATCAAAAATCTGAGAGCACTGAACAGCTGTTTCGTCGTAGTATGAGACTTTTCAGCAGGGTGCACCTATGACCCCACTGACTATAGAACCCAATACGTTCAGATCTCGCGGTGGATACGCTACAGTTAAGCTGTGGTGTTGAAATCCAATAGTCTACGGTTTCCTGATTCCGTCAGCTCGGAATATAGTACAGCAATCATCCAATGGAATCAGTGAGTAGTTGTCCTCACCTATACTCCAAGTTCAAAAATCTTATTAAGTCTTAATATCTCAATCCTTGGGTTGAGTTTTCATTGGTAACAATATGGTAAATAAATCACCGCAAAGAAGATAACAGTCAACTGTTTTATAATTACTTGTAGATGCTGTATCTCATATATGTAATTTAGCGCTAATTAACCAAATCAACTGATGAAGTCAACGAGATGTATAACTGCCTGCCATATGAAGAGAATACTGTGCAACAACCTAATATACTCCAATCCACAGCTTTGATATATGGCTGTTGAAGACGAATAAAATGGTGAAGGTAGAAGGTTTCGATGGTGGGTGTTTTCGAAGCATTGCTCAGATTTAGTGAGTCCGTAGAGTGAGCAATACTAAAATTAGGCTTATAATGCTAGGGAATCTAAGCCAGGTGATAAGGATAGGAACCTACACTTACACTGAGGTGGCTGTAAATTGTATAATGCTTATGAAACCCTTTGTGAAAAGAAGCGCCATGTCACCTGAAACATAATTAGACCTGTTAGAAAGCCAAGGGCGGATAAATGATGTCATCTACAGTTGGTTCCAACCAAGTAGAAAATAACAACCATCCTGGTTTGAGTAAACAAAAAAAATAAAACATCATATCTTAATAAACAGAGATTTCAAGCTATGACAAAGTCTATCATCAATGATTGCTTAGAAAATAAACGTTGATTTCCCACTAAAGAATGGAAATGGATCAGTTATTTCTTTAATAGCATACTACTGTAGAAGCATAGGATCTTGCCGTCCTTGACTGTCTACGCAATATTCTTGAACACATCAATAGGAAAAAGGCCGTTTCTTTTTAGTTCTTACTAAAGAAATGAAATGAAATTTACGGTGTATGCGGCTTCTTAACAATGTTTATCAACTTATCTATGTTTTCGACTGCTTTTCTATCTGCCTGAAGTAAAAGTATGCAAGGTAAAAATATCCATTCATGTGACTACAAAATAGTGAACCTATTGAACGGTGATCTGGACGAAAATAAACCTTTAAATGGTCCTCTATCACCTCTAAATTATTTGTACAACCCAATGTAAAACTATTTCGTAATTACAGTTTCAAAATTTCAAAAAAAAAATCAGATCCAAGACATTGAATACTAGATAGAGACATATAGATTTAAAAGCATAAAGCTTGGAGATTAATTCATGATGCAGTAAAGAAACGCCGATTAGAACCTCTTTTCAGCTTCCAGGTCCCTATGGCTTAGTGAGTACTACAAAGTTACTCGGTTTATCATATGATCTAGGGAGTTAAAATGAGTGTTGTATTTAGGTTTTAACGTGTGCCACCTAACACTACAGCATAGTTCAGTAGGAACATGTGGTCTATAGATTTCTCCTTCATATGAAATGTAACCATATGAATATTCCCTCAGAATTAGAAAATAGTTTGAGACAATAATATGAGACAAACATTCCTTTCAATAATCAGTGAAATCCTTTCAATAATTCAAAGCCTCACAGAACAACCGTACACTCATCGCCATCTTGATTGGTTACTTCAAGGTCCTTCGGTAGTCGCTCAAGGACGGCAAGACTCAAACAGGTCCGGTTATTGCATTTGGTTTAGTCCCTAAAATCTTTTTCAAAAAGATTAAGGTTTTGTTTTATGCTTAACATCAATGAACTCACTTGCGCACGAATCAAATAAATTCACAAGGTGAACATAAACATTATCAGGATAGTCAGACAAAGTGTCGCATACGTCAATTCACAAAAACATTGACAAGGTGATGAATAAAATTCTACTCACCATTATATAACATGATTTCCCAGTACCAGTTGGACCAATAAATAATGATGGTTTACCGTTTAAAATAAACAAATTCAGTAGATGATTACATCGTACAGTTTCTACTGTCGGCACAATAATTTCATTGAAAGTAGCATCTTTCGGTATCGGTGGTGCTACACGTACAGTTTCAGTCCATAACTCCCATCTTACTGGAATCTGTATAATAATGGCATTTTAAACTGATATGACACTTAATATTTAACTTTGAAGTGAATAAAGAATTACACAGTAATTTAACATTCCTTTAGAAAGACTAAAGTTAATCAGACTGTCTCGAATAACCTTGGAAACGATGACTGAACTCGAGAAAATAAGTAATTTACAATCAGATTCATTTAAGCTACCTCCGGATCGACAACCTTAGGCTTTAGCATCTAAATTGTAAGTCCTAGGAAATAATGAAAAAATTGGACACATTGGACATTATAACCATTTAGGTCATAGTTGTTACAAATGTTTTGAAAGAAGTTGAGCACCGAGTCAGGTTTCATCATTATATAAGTAGGTTTTAACATAATCTCAGTGTATAGTTCCTTGTTTTGTACCGTCGTTGATTGGGCCAAAATGACTGGTCTCGATTGGCATATAGGTTCCTGTGAGGATGTCTCGATATTGCCTGTGTTTTAATTATGTATAGTAATGATGGATAGTGGCTAGCAGTGGAATCCAGAATGCACATTTCGTCTTATTTGGGACTCACTCATCAGCTGGATGCACCTGCCTCCCAGTGAGTGATGTTGTTCCCACTAGTCATTGTGCAGTCTGTCTCATTTATCATCAGAAACAATTCAATTATCAAATCGTCCTCTGTATGTGTGTATATGCTGTGAGAAAGGCTTGTGTCATTCATTTTTTATTGTATGAAAATATGAAAAAAATGTTTACTCGTGAACAATAATTGATCCATACTGCTTGTTTGCTTCTTAAAACTCCGATTTGCGATGGTGACCTTTTCAATGTTTTGGCCGAATTAGTCTGCCAGATAGGTGACAAATCTATTCCTTCCTTTCTGTGTAAAGCATTTGTTGACGTTAAAATAAGTAGGAGTTCTAAGGCTAATCTTTCTTTATGTGAATGAAAATCTTTCCCTGGTATATCTACATTGTCAAAGTCAATTGTGTCCATTTTCAACAGCATGCATTGCTATTGCCGATCTCTTTTACAAACTTTTCAGTTTCACTTCATTCATAAATCGGTGTGTGCTACATAACCTATGTTCATTCACTCTAATTTTCAACTGTTTATAAACTTTCCCAAAGTATAATTGGTCTCACAATCCGTAAATTTTATCTTATACACACAGCTGTTTGGTATCATTTTTGGAATTATAGTTGTGCATTAGAGAATGTTACAAGTGTGATTTATTTCGGTGCGTGTTTTTCTTCGGACCTTTCCTGGTTCTCTCATATCCCAATAATTTCCAAGAGAATTCTCCACCTAGCTTTCTATTTTAAGAAGCTGATAGTATCTGGTGTGTTTTATAAACTCCTGCATCTTACCTGTTCTCCTCTATTCTTTCCATTTATTCTTGCCCGGGTTGCTGAGACTGTCAGCAGAACTAGTTGTGTACCTGTAAACATTCTTATTAAAACAGTTGTGGACAAACATCTTAACTCATATAAGCATCTGGGAGAAGTTATTTTATCATATGACCAACATCATCTTCACTCAAATCTCTCTGCATGTCGGTCATCAGGCAAGACTAAGAACAAATATAAAAGAATTTGTACAAATACTACATAAATATAAAATCTCTACAATGCCATATTTAGCTGGTATCCTGTACGAGGAAGAAAGTATTATGAATGAGATAACTAATCTGATTCGCTTTTTGAGAGCAACCCAAATGATGAGTACATAGCTTATTGTTATTTATGTATTATGAACCCGATTGGGGACTTCAAGTAAATATAGAGAAGACAGAGGTGATGAAGATACTCAACCAACAACAACAACAAGCTCCAATCACGATTAACGGGAGAAACTTAAAGGAAGTAACCTCCCTCACCTATCTTGGCAGCATTGTTTCAACTACAGGCGGCACTGACGAAGACGTCAAAGTCAACCAGGTTCGGAAAAGCAAGGCAGGCGTTCATTAGCCTGAAACCAGTGTGGAGATCTTCTACACTCAGCATGCGGAACAACATCCAGATTTTCAGCACCAACGTCAAGTCAGTGCTCCAATATGGTTCAGAGACTTGGCGCGCTACGAAAAGGATTTCCAATAAACTACAGATATTCATCAACAACTGCCACCTACGCTCGCTACTGAAGATCAGATGGCCAAAAAGAATAAGGAACAAGGAACTCTGGCAACGAACCAACCAAGAACCCATCGCTCAACAAATATGCAGAAAGAAATGGAGATGGATTGGGCACACACTGAGAAGGCCGACTGGGGACATCACGCGTCAGGCCAGACACTCGAGTGGAACCCCGATGGGAAGCAACGAGTTGGGAGTCCGAGGTGAGGATGACATGGAGGAGATCGTGCGAGGAGGAAATGAGAGCTTGTGGGCATTGGTGGAGCCAGGTTCAAAAGATTTCAGAGAACAGAGTTCACTGGAGACGTGCTACTGAAGGTGTATGTTCTATTAAGAACCCAAGGGACAAATAATAACAGTAATAATAATAATAATGAGTCCAATTGTGAATGTGATTATTTACTTAACTCTGCATTTTCAAGAAAGTTGTAGATGGAGTAAATATTCTCATCTTTTATGCGTAATTTATACTTATTTGATTTTGCTGTGCATACATATACACTGTTTCTGTCCAGTTGATGCTGTATGACATGCTGAAAATTCTGTACAGTATTCCCAAAATATCTTTCAGAATAAAGCCATTATTCTTTAAAAATAAAATTTATATTTTTCACTTTGACTACAACTTTTTCCAAAGAATTTGAAGACTTAAAATAGACTCTAATATCATACCTAGCAAAAATTCTTTGGATTTGTTCTAAAGGTCTTTTTCTACATAGAATTGTCACTGTTGATGTTAGTGATTTCTTTTCGTTCTTACTTGTCTTATCTGTTCGCTTCCTGAAATTGCTATATGTACCGTTTAACAGTGTATATTTTGACGTTAGATAAAAATTTAAACATTCGGCTAAAGAAGCTATGGTACTCATGAAAAAAATGTCCAGAAAACTTTTTTCAATTTTCTAAACACGCTAGTGTTATGCTAAAACCTACTTACATAAAGTGGATATTATTTGGACGTATCTGAAAACCAGCAGTTTAAATCTAAAGTGGTGTAGTGTTTCTTCGAACGCCATAGATCGTTTGCTGTACATATAAATGTAAGGATATGGCTGAGAATCGATGTCAGTAGCTCAGATACATCCGTATATTATCTTTATTTTAATCGTCATTCCGCTTTTCAATATTGTTTCACTCCTTCTTGTCCTTCTTTCACATCTTTTCACCACTTCTGATTAATTTCTTGCTTATATTTCACCTTGGTGCTTTCTTGTTTGATGCGATGGTATGAGGTGTGGCAAAGTGGACCGTTACGTAGTACAATGCTGACTGACCCTACCAACGGAGTTAGTGCTTAAGTAATATAAAGCCACAAATAGACAGATAGATACAGAGATGATTGTAGAGTCGATTGTAAAAGTACAACTGTTCAAACTGCTACATTTTAAAATAGTACAGTAAGCGGAAATGCAAATAAACCAGGTTGAGTTATAGTAGACTGGTAGAATATAAGAGGTGAGAGAATGTATGTGTCTATGAATGGATTTTTCTCGAACAAATGACCGTTATCTGCATAAGACAGTAATGCTACACTTTTTCTCGTATCAAATTATCAGTTATATGGTCTCCAGTTTGGTGACAAACAAGGAAATCCTGTTATCTGGATGACTTGATAAGTTCGATAAGTTAAGTGAGAAGTTATTCTGTATGTATAGAATTATTCATTTGCAATCCTATGGTTTGCCTAATAATGTTATTGTTGAGTTTATACTGATCTGATGGATTACAAATGATACAGAGGGGTCCGTACAAACAGCACATATGCCAACGAAGACTGATTAATCGAGTCCTATCAGTCAGTAAGAGGAAAGATCAAAGCTTACAATGAAAAACTGATGCACAGTCGAAAAGTAGAGGTTATCTAAATCCACTAGCATTATGAATAACACTAATGTCCAAGACAATGGGTGCTTGGTTTGAGTTTCAATAGGAACATCAACACGGATGCAATTACATCCAAATCTCATATAGGATTACCTAAAGATGCTTACTGATAGCCTCCACCTTAATATGACTAAATGAGTTATGCTGGTAGGAACAATTGTTTTTCTAGGTTCCACTCCGCCATACGGGTCCGCTGTACAATGATAAACAAAATTCAGTTAACTTCGCCGCTTATATAGCTGAGGCTGTGATGGGCATAGGAGGAGAAAACTGTTCTGTTAGTTGTACTGGCTAGTACATAGAGGTAAGCTGTTTTCAGCAGGTGACTGACAGTCTATGATAATGCTGCTTTCCCTACCAAGAAGAGGTATTGAAAAAAATAGGATCTTCCTGTCTTGTATACTTTCGGTACCCACAGACCAAGTTTTTTTCAAAGCCTAGATTCAACACAGTTAAATATAAATCTGAAACTTCCAAAAACGTTGTGTGCAACCAGCCTCAAAAAGATATCATCAAGACTCTATGGTCATGTATTACTATTACTACCCCAGTTTCTTTTTGAGGTATCTTCAGAAGAACTGACATGGAACGGCATAAGCAGGTGGGAAGTATCAACCACCCTCACACTTCTGTCAGCATTCAGGTCCCTTCACATCACCATCAATTTTTTATATGTTTGCCATCTTATTTTTCTTCTCATCCATCTGTTAGTAATCTTACATGATCTTAGATTTCTCTGAGCTCTGCAGAAGTTCTTTCTGTTCCGCTATATGGCAGTGGCAGAGACGCAAAGTACAAAAAATCTAGGAACCTGTAAAGTTGTATTTGAATGGGTTATTTCTCATCTATTAATGAAGCTATATGAGGACAGTGATTTGATACGATTACTTTAAAACTGTTTCACTATCTGCCTTTCGATCCATAAATAACCCTTCTACGCTTTATAGTTGAGCGTAAAAGGTCATCAAACAGTTTAGCATTTTGTTTATTTCCAGTGAAAATGGTTGTGCTGTTTTTATAAAAAGTATATGTTATGAATCGCCATTAACACGTAGATAACTGAGTTGCAGTCACCTGATACAATTTAGGTTATATTTGTAGTTATAACAGCTCTTACCAGTCAGTCTATCAGTTAATCAGTCAGTCAGAATAAATGTAGTACCTAGTGTAACTGCGTAACGATCCATGTTGCCATACCTCATATTAGCTTACAAAGTGCGAGGGTACTAGGATGAAAGATGAAGAAATAAAAGCAAAAGTGGTAAAATCAGTGAAACTTTGTGAAAACAGAACAAGAAACAATGAAATGATCATCAAATTCGGTCTAAAGATTAAGATAAGGATTATATGTGGATACATCTGAGTCATTCAGACTCACTCCTAACCCTATTACCTAGGCTCTCCAAACACCAACTTCTGTTATGATAATGTATTTAGTTGTGGCTAGCAGAGGTACCCAGGACTCGTGTTTCATCCTACTTGGGACTCGTCAGCTGGAGGTGCCTGCACCTCATTGTGGAGTGACTTTGTTCCTACTGAGACTCGAACATCGTACCCATCGCTTCAGACGAGTCCGAAATTGGACGAAACATGCATCCTGGATTCCTCTGTTAGCCAAAATCAAGTGAATTATCATAATAAATACTCAGGCAATATCGAGGCATCCGCTTAAGAGACCATATGTCAATAAAGGTTTGACAATTCGATCTAGTGAAACAACGGAGAACTGTAAGCATATCAACAAACAGTAATAACCAATTTCCGTTGTTGCATAGACTCCAACCTGGAGGTCTGCATTTTCCTACACGACATGAATCAGCAATCAAAAACTTCATGAATTGGTAAGATGTTTTAGTCTGGCCATTTTTAACCTCTTTCCATGCTGAACCTACTTCAGCTAACATTGTGTAACGAAACGGACGGTATGTTACGGCTTTTTGATGGTTTTTTAATTGATGTCAGTTCGTGATGAACACTACCTTCATGTAAATAAAATGGTATCATTTTATTCTATGAATCTAGTCCTTTTTGCTTTGTCCAAATGGTGTTAAAATTCCAGCATATTCACCTAATTCTGATTTCATAAATGTGAATATCCGTCGTTGGTTGGACCGTATTGGTCGACCACTATTGGCATATAAGCTCTTGCGCGGATGCTTAGACATTGCCAGTATTTTCAATTTTGATATAATAATAGATAGTGGAGATTCACAGGATGTTACATCAAAACTATGCCGTATGCGTCGTACAAACAGTAACTATCATGACTCAGTGGGTAACTCTCTGACGTTTAAAGCGAATGGTCCTGGGTTCGAGTCTCAGTGGGAATAAAATCATTCGCTGGGGTTCAGATACATTCAGTTGATGAGTCTCAAAACGTGCGTTCTGAATTTCACTGCTAGTCACTATCCATTATTCATATCAAATCATAATCACTTAAGCTACTGAAAAAATGTTTTAATTAGACATTACAAAGAAAGAAATTGTGGGATATAAATGAAATTGACTTGATTGGAAATTGTTTAATTCGTAATTGAACAACATACCTCATCTTCTCCACTCTCATGATTTTCATTAGCCTAACAAAAATAAGGATACTGGTAAAGATTGATATTGCTTATAGTTAGAATATTAATACTGAATTGAATACAATTTGATAAATAATGTCTTATTATTGGAATGTAATTCTTAAGGAATTCTAATGCATACAATTCTTTGTACAACTAGATTATCTACAGTGATCTGAATTACACAAGTACAACTAATTCTGCCATAGTGTAGATTTGGTGACTCAGCCTACTCAGTAAACCTTTATCTCAAGGTGGTATTTACCAGGAACTGTGATCAGTTGAAGAACCACTGGAAAGCTGTTTCGGCCTAGTTTGTGAGTCTTCAGCAGTACGTGCCAACGACTCCATCAGTTCATGTTGAAAACCACCTTGAAACTAATCAATCAATCAATCAATACCCGCAAACGTTCAGATTTAAGACTGTGTCTGATTACTGAGTTGCAGTTGGTTGGTATGCCTACTGAAGAATAGCACAATTATAAGATAACAAAATCACAACTGGAGCCGATTTGATAACGTCCTTCGGTGCACAAATTTAGTATTTCCATGCTTGAAGTTAACTTTTGATACAAATTTCCATTGGGATATTGGTATTGACAGATAACCATCTTCATCCATTGTAAAAAACATACTATTGATGATTAAGGTTATAGAATTGATATTAAAATAATCTTTACAATTCTGCACAGGAACTGTAAGAGGCATACACTTAGATTTGATGACCCTTTTGGGTATGAGATCAGAAACAGTTAAGCTTTACGATAAACCTATCCTAATAATGTTTAGCTTGTTGTACTACAAAGACTGATTTCAAAACTTATTGCTTCAGCTTTATTAGGTTTTTCCTTCTTGTATTTTTATTAGTCAGTGTACGATTTCTTGACAAGTAAATGTGTAATCAGATTATTTGAAACATGGCGCAAATACATCACATATTTGAGATAAACAACATCTAATTATTTTACTCAAATTATTTTAAAATTTTGAACTCTTCTTTTGCTACTTAGATATCCATATAAAGAATACAGGAGGTCTTAATAATTTTCCCTTTTATCTCCTAAGAGAAACTTACTCTTAGATGGGATCAAAAGGAAAGCCTTACATTTTTATTGGCAGAAATTTATTATCTGCCTGCTAACCATCACAATCCCCTTGATTACTATTCGCTACTTGAAGGTCAGATAATATAACTAGTTTAACTTGGTCATACTTGCATATAATTGATTTTCTTGATTCAAGAATGTACGTATTCTTGAATTTCGATATTTTTGTTAGAAGATATGTACTTACTTAGTCAGTAAGTTTACAGTTTGCCGTTTTGGGTTCATTCCTTAGGATTCGAGATATTGGACATCGTTTGCTCACAGTATATCAATCGTAGAAAAGTAGTCAGCTAAAGTACCAAACTGATCAACCAGTTTGGTGCAGAGTGACTATACACACCACTGCATTACGGCAAGTCCACTCACATACTTGTCAAAACACCTATAGGTGAGCACTGTTTAATCTTAATGTCTTGAAAATGCGCTATGAGTGTCATCATTTCGGTATTTAAAATTTCTAAATAACTACTGAATATCAAAGACCCCATAGTTATGTTACAAAAATTTAATTCTGTTCACAATTTTAATAAATTTTGACTAGAAACTGCGGAAAAAGGCCTAGTAACATTAAGTGAATTCGTGCATTAAGCTATGAATTTATCCTTAAGGTGAAGATGAGTCCTGAGACATTGCCAACTAAACTACAACTTTGGAATGAGGTATAAACCCAACTCACATCAAGGTATGATTTGAATGTAAATAATAAAATCGGCTAGAAACGTCATCTGCTATACTGTGTTTTATCTGAATCGGACAGACAAATCCAATATAGAACCACATTCTAACACAGTGCTGAAATTCAATACTTGCATTAATGGTAATGGGTGATGATTGGGAGTGAAATGAAAATCTCGGTCATGTCAGGATTTTAACCAGTGAACTCTGGGTTACTGACCCAGTGCTCTACTAATTGAGCTACGAGACCTAACTGCTGACTAGACTTTAATTTCACTCCAGTCATACATTGAAGTTTACAAAGATTAATAAAAGGAATAAAATAATAAGAGTTGTAATGAATTACCGTTGCACGAGGCTTGTTTATCTGTAATTAAGACATAGAAACAAATCAATAAACAAATAAATTGGTCAAATAGGTTTAATTATGCACATTATATTTTCCACATAATAATAGCGCTTATATTGTTTACTATTCATCTAGGTGTTGAAGATATTAAAAGTAACTCCCGAGGCACTTTGAATTAGGTTTCTTTTCGCTAGTGTCCAACAGCACGTCACTTTGTAGATTCAATTACTTTCCACTTCTTATTAATCACTTTCTTCGTGAATAGCAAACTGAAGTTGAAATGGGAAGCTGTGACCTGTGCGGTGAGCTAAGCTGCGTGGATAATCAGGCCATTTCTCAAATCAGTAAAAGTAGGAATATGTGACCTCAATGGCTAGGTGTTAATATGTTCACCGCGAGACCTATAGGTCTCAGGTTCGACCCCTGACCAAACTAGCACGAAACAGCTATAGCTCTTCAGTTGATAACATTTTGTTATGTCCATACTTTTTCACACTTTTGGACTTAACAATAAACCTCTATCGTTTCTTCTTGTTTTATTCAGAACTAAATGACCTTTGAGAATAAAATCTGAAGGTTATTGTTTAAGGACTCACATCCATATAAAGTAAACACGTTCCACCAGCAATGTTGCATTTGTTCCTCATAAATTAACTCGGAAGCTAATAGCAAAAGCTAACCTAATATGATATAGGTGAAAATATCAGTACCAATCAACTATATCTCTCAAATCGTAATTTACAAACCAGTCTACCAAATCAACCTATGTTGACTGAAGTCAAATAGATATCTCCTTGTAAATAGGGTTTAAAATCTAGCGCATCATGTGTTACTGAGTCAAATTATCTAATGAGTACACAAGTCACGTGGCAAAGAATTATCCTCCCGTTAGAGTTACTCTAAAGGCAATCTTGACAACAAGTGGTTTAACTAATTAAACTTCTTTATTTTATGAAAAACTGCTTTCTTAACCGAAATTCCTAAACCTGAATGATTATTTTAGTAGTAGCTATGATAGCCTTTAAAGTCACTGTAAATTGCTCATCGGATGCATGTTAGAGTTCACAATCAATAAAGGACAGGCACAACGATTATATGGATTGAATGGCCTCAGCTGTCATCAGATGAACCAACAGAGTTAAAGGTAGCGTCAGTGTTCATCCGTAACGTCTGAAACAGCCAATAAGGATTTTCTATTTCAGCTGGAAAAGCAGTTATTTGTAAGAAATACGGAAAAGTAATTGGTTATTTCAGTAGTAGTCTTTGTGACACTTTAAATACTGGTTAACGTACCAAACCTGATACACGCACACGCACATTGTTCTCTTTACTGTTTTTGCTGTTCAGCATGGAATAGTCTCTGAAAGCTTCATGATACTCCACATTATTATCATATTTCGAATAAGTATTCGAACAGAATCTTGTTATAGCCACATTAAAATGGGAATCGCTTACATAGTCTACATCAGAGGCTTTATGGACAATATAACATGCATGAAAATCAACCAGTAAGTTGCAACAAGTATAAACAGGCTTTTGTCAAACACAGCGAAGACAAACAACTATTGCATTGTTTTCTCAGAACACATCCACAAGTGGCTCTAGTGTGTTGCACCATGAAATTTCCAGTTCTTAGTCTAGTAGCTCACTTGTTGAGTTTCTTCACTGAAAAATACGTCAAACTAAACATTTGTGACAAAAACCTTAAAAGAATCTAAGGATGCATATTATCAGTATTATTTGTCTCTTGGGTTCCTAGTGGAACATACGGCTTCAGTAGCATGTCTCCATTTCACTCTCTTCTCTCCACTCTCTTCAACCTGGCTCCACCACTGCCCACAACCTTTCATTTCTTCCTCACATCATCTCCTACACGTCACCCTCACCTCGGACGCCCGACTCGTCGTTTCCCCTTTCGGTTCCACTCGAGGGACTAGCCTGGTGTGTGATGTCTCCAAATGGTTTTCTCAGTCTATGTCCAATCCATCTCCACTTTCGTCTTCTGCATATCTGTTGGGTGATCGCCTCTTGGTTGGTTCCTCGTCACCCAGCCAGCCAGAGTTCCTTGTTGCTCAGTAATACTATTCTGGCCATCTCATCTCCATCTTCACTATCCAGTGAGCGTAGGCACCAGCTGTTGATGAATGTCTGTAGTTCGTTGGAAATGCTTTTCGTGATGCGACAAGTCTCTCAACCATCACATGGAAGCACTGACTTACTTGACTCAATTAGTGTTGAAAATCCGGATGTTGTTCACGCTTTATACTGAGTGCAGTGCAGTGCAGTGCAGTGCAGTAGATCTCCACACTGATTTCAGGTTAATGAAGGCCTGTTTAGCTGTCATTGCGTTCCTGGCTGCTTTGACATCCTCACCTATGCCTGCGCCACCTGTAGTTGAAACGATGCTGTCTTGGTAGGTAGGTGAAAGGGACAGCTTCGTCTAGATTTCTCCCGTTGATGGTGATTGGCGCTTGTTGTTTTTGTCGGTCGGGTGTCTTAATCACCTCTATCTTCTCTACGTTCACCTGAAGTCTCATCTTTAATGCCTTGCCTCACCTCTTCTGACAACTTGTTGGTTTACGCATGTAGATCTTCGAGATCTTCACGCTTGCTACTGAAAACCAGATGACCAGAAAGAATAAGGAACAAGGAACTCTGGCAACGAACCAACCAAGAACCCATCGCTCAACAAATATGCAGAAGGAAGTGGAGATGGATTTGGCACACACTGAGAAGGCCGACTGGGGACATCACGCGTCAGGCCAGGCACTCGAGTGGAACCTCGATGGGAAGCGACGAGTTGGGAGTCCGAGGTGAGGATGACATGGAGGAGATCGTGCGAGGAGGAAATGAGAGCTTGTGGGCATTGGTGGAGCCAGGTTGAAAAGATTTCAGAGAACAGAGTTCACTGGAGACGTGCTACTGAAGGTGTATGTTCTATTAAGAACCCAAGGGACTAATAATAATAATAATAATAAATAGAGTTATGATCAATGGTGAGATACATTTTATATGAAATTGAACTATGTGTTCACCATGAATCATAAAATGCAAAATAAATTCTATATATATTAAAACTTTTTATCAAGATAAAATCCAAATGTGCTATCTGGTATTTCGGAACGTTTTTGAATCATCTGTATTGGGATTTAAAGAGGTATACATTTACGCTAAGTAGCTTCTTCTGTGAAACATGGATTATCCACAGGAATAAATATCAGTAATAAATATTCAACCAACCTCTATTACTAATTTATAATCGTAGACTGTTTTTTTGATAGGAAATGGACGTCCATAATCTTGCATTGGAGGTGGTACTAATTCAACCAGTGCTAAACGTTGTCTTGTCTCCTCCATCATTCCACCATTTATTAATTCACGTGTTAATTTATCAAATCTTAGTCGGCCATCTTTATCTGTAGTTGCACCAATTGACCAAACATAAGCAAAGAAGAAAATACACTAGATGGGAAGGGACAGGTGAAGAAAGAATAAATGTATATCACATCATACTGCAGAATGCTCTATAGTAAACAAGATGCAAGTAAATTCATTTCATTAGTTCCAAGTAGGTTGAAGAATGCCTTATCAAACCAACTGCCAGCCAGTACCCAGTTTATAACCAAAAAATGATTACAGGCTCTATCAAGGTATCGTTTCTGTAAACGTATGTACCGACAGAGATTGACCAATTTCGTTCTGCGCGTCAGCAGTAGGAAAGATTAGGAAGTCCACTTGATGGTGGCTAGCAGTGGAATGTAGAACGGGTATTTTGTCCCATTCGAGAAGCATAAGCTACATCTCAGTGAGTGACTGTGTTCCCATTGAAACTCAAACGTTTCAAACATCACAGCGCCATCCACTACGCTACTAAGCCACAAGAGCCACCATTTCGTATAACAAAGGTAAATTGCAACTATCAATAGATGTGCAAGTGTTTTGAATAGTATCTCCTCACTACTATTTATTCACTATAAATCCATATATAAGTAGGTAATTACTTTCCTTATAAAAGGAGGTACCCTGGAACATAAATATAGCCTCACTACATAAGAAAAATATCCGCGAAAGTTCATTAGTCGGAAGCATATATCTTTAATCAGTGTGCAGTGGAAACATAGTGTAAGCTTGTCACCATTTGTCCGTATGTGAAAATAGAAGGCATGATAGCTAATCTTTTGACAATGGTGTCAATGTCTTTCGTGGTTTATTTATCATTTATGACTGATGGAAACTTCGGGAAGTAAAGCCATGAATCATTATAAGAACTGGTTACCGGGACATATGTAACGTTGACGTGATCACGTGACTGTAACTTTGTGCACGCCTTAGTATCTGAATGTCGCTTCATTTATCTAAGCTTTACTACAATAATGAGTCACTTACTGAACTGGATGCAAGATAAGGTAATAGGGATACTTTAATTCTTCCACTGTATGATGGATAGACGGACGGACAGACAAAGTCAACCTACAAACTCGCACACAACTGTTTAGGTTCGATTTGTCACACTTCGCAGTTGCATACACAACAGGTGGACAGAAAAAGAGTGACACCAAAGTAGACAAAGTTGTCTTTGAGACTAGTCAGTCCGTAAACAGCGGTTAGCATAAATATTCAAGCTTCATAAGATGCCAAGGAGTGAATACATCTGCGCCATTATGATAGATTTTCAGCCATCTTACCAGGAGACCTCAACTACTAACCATTGGTTAGTATGATTTTAGAGACTCCAGCCAAGTAGTTTTCACCTTCCCATACGACTCAGAGCAACAGTTAGAGACTTCATCTACTGATGCCACGTTTGGTCTGGTCACCTCGAACCCTCTTTCAACCTAACCCAACCTACCCTAGCATGGCACATTGAGGTAGGTGGTGGCTCGGCATGTGGAATATATGTCAAAGCCTTCGCAGTCAACTAAGGCTCACAAACGCATCAATCGACTTGCCTATCTTGCCTAGTACTCTTCTCCTGACCTTAACATTCCTCACACAGTGATTCCACCAAACATGAGCAATGCTAGCGTATAGTAGAAGAAGAAGAAGAATAGTGCTTTTGCTACCAAATATTATAACCACAAAGTGGAATGACCGATTTCATACTCAGATATGTAGGAATAATGCACAGTAATTGATTTCACGTAACGCATAATTATTTCGCAACCATGAATGCTACTAGAATGAGTGAGGAGTCAATATAAAAAGCTCTTCAGCTGAACTACTATTAATTCAGTACTCAGTATAATTGTACACTGATTGGTCGCTGCAGGGGAACCAATCGTTCTACCTAATCCTGTCCTACAGGAGGTCAGCTGCAGTACAAATAGCTTAGTGATAACATCACTGATTGCAGCACAGGGTGACCTGGGTTCAAATCCGAGGCAGGATATCGATTCCATCGAGGTCTCAGACACGCTTTGCTGAAGAGCGCCAAAAAGCACGAAAATTTGTTTAAGCAGGAATTCCTGCCGATTACCTCCAATCAAGCAACATCCAAGTGGAATGTCTTTGAAAATAAGTGAAATAGTCCTAATAATAACACTTTTCTCAAATTACTGTTTTATTTCTTCAATCAGTTATAGCAAGGTATGGTTTCTTTCCGAGCATATGAACAGGTGATGAAAAACTCATAATACTCATTTTCTTATCTAGCCATCATTCTAGCCGTCAGTTGTGTGCTGTAAAGAGACATTCACGATAGTCTATGGCCTAAGAAAAAACATGTCAAATAGTATTTTCATCAATAGGAAAACAAAGAAAGCTAAACAATGGACTCACTTCGACAACTGCACTCGACACACGATCTTCAAATTGTGTTAAAGCATTTTCTGCCTTCAATTCTGATAATTGACAATCGATTAAATTCATTAATGATTTAACTAAGTTAATATCACCCGTTGGGTTTAATTCCTGCATGTATGGATTGTTTTAAAGGGAAGGAATCAGAAAAATATGTTACACTTTGTATATGAGTATGTTACAAAGCTTTCAGTTCATATCATAATAAGTGATAATGTATGTAGACTGAGTAAGAAGATGACTAAGGAAGTTCCTAGTTGTTAAAATCTTTTGGCAGGTTACTAACCTTCTTAGTACTCATGGTTAACTATTGGTTATGTGAAGTACCGTCTAGAGTTGTGAGTAGTTAGAAACCATTTACGCTGATCTATAGATTTCACTAGCCAGATCAGAGTAATCTATACAACAGACAGCCGTTCGGCTCATTTAAAGCCGGGTTCATCAGAGGTAGTACCAGACAACTTTATCTGACGCAACCGAACCGTTCAGACCGAGGGACTTTGGGTGACTAACTTGGATCGTCCTGTATACTTTAAATAGGATGATCAATTTTCAAATGATTCGGAAACTGTACGGCCTACATCAACCTTGATTGACGGCTGATTGTCGGATATATGGTCTAAAGTTAAATGAGCTCATCCAGATCCTTTGCGTATTTCACCCTGTAATATTATTGAATAGTATGTAAAAAATGCGATAATGCACACTAATTGACATCATTCTACATGCAGTTATTTCAGAACAGGTCCTACAAAAATGGGCAAGGGATCAGTGAGAAACCGTTGAGTCAAATTATACAATCACTCCGCAAAATAATGTCTTTTAAGCCGACCAAAACAGTACCACTGGTCATGCTTATCTATGATTTGTATTGGTAGAGGACTAACAGAACTCTGACTTCCTGGAGCGGGCCTTAAATAGACAATCAGGAACGAGTGGGCTATTAGCCTACTCTTTTACCGTTGCGGAGCTTTAAAACATTTCGTAACTTATACAACAAGTATAATAATATACAATTCCCTCGACTTTTAAAATTCAAGGCGGTTAGAATTGTTTATCCTTTTACTAGCTGAAGAGATACCGTCACAAATAATCGTGTTGGTTTACGGATTAAAGTTTGGTAATTTAACTAAACCTCCAGGTTGAGGGGTTCGGTATGAAATACTATTGTTTGGCTTTTATGGAGTAGGAGTTTAAAGTTCACTTATAAAATAAAAATCTCTGCTTGCATTTTGGTAGGGAATGCCATCTTCTTTCATTGAAATGTAGGGACTTCATTTTTCAGCGTCATATAACAATGTGCATATTCATGCTAAATCTCAGCTGTTCATTCCTGATTTCTTCGACTCCGGTACAACACATACACTTGAAGAAACATATCGAATTGGTAAATACTGCAAAATGTTCATGTAAAGTGCGGTTTTTGTCAATTTTACCTTAAATATTACCTACAAACCTATTGACTCTAAAATATGATTAACGATGCCAGGTCACTGAGCGAGTTCCTTAAGGGTGGTTGGTTTCTTTTTTTCCAGCAGCTTCTCGGTCACTTAACTTCCAAGTTTCATCATTTGTAATATTATTCCATCACCATTAGTGTTCTTACTCATCTACTTAGAACCGTCGACAAACGTGTTTCTTTCCCTCAACCACGATTCGGGTTCAAACCTTAGTTTTCCTTCATTATGTGATGAAATGAAGGGTGAAGATTGGCAGAGGGATGCTATCCTTAAAGGTCATCAAAGACTTCTTTGTATTTTTGTGTCAACTCATGAAGTCTCTCCTTTACATATAACCTGAGACAGATGAAACTATCAAGTCCAACAGAAATTTGACGTTGAATATGTGAGCGACGTACTTTTCATTTAATCATGAGTACGGTTACTATGACGAATTGGTACACGCCTGTAGGCGTAACAGAAGGTTACTGATTACATTTTAAGTCTGTTACCCAATCAGTATCAAGCATTTCTGTTGCGAGTGTCTCTAAAGGCCTCTTTAGCCACAAGTGAAATAACCAATTGGAACCCTATATTTTATGAAAATCTGCCTTCCCAGCTGAAATAGAAAAATCTAATTGGTTAGTTCATTTACTTCTAAGGTGGCCTCTAAAGTCATTCTTTTATTGGTTATTTTTTCACATGTAACATTTGCCGGTATTATTCTCTATAAGTCCATGATTTCATACTCTTGTGTATGACCTTCGTTGACTGTCAATGGGAAAACAGGGTAACAAGCATGACTTCCGTTTTTTTCAGCTACTTTAAAGATCACCACAATGACTGTTGAGATATCCAATTACGTTTCTCTATTTTATGAAAAACTATCTTTCTAGCTGGAATGCCAAATCCTGTTTAGTTACAAACAAATGAAATACTCAGTAAGACTTTGTAAGATCTACCTTCCAACAGAAATAAAGAAACTTAATTGGCTATCACAGCCATTGGTAGGGGGTGACCTTTAGAGTCATTCCTTTAAAGTCGGTCCTTATTTTTCTTTCGTGAAGATATTGTTTAAGAGCTCTAGTTAAGCCCTGAGTAACTCTAAGGGCCGCACTAGTGACCAGTAAAATGGTCGACCAGGTCTGTTTATTTTATAAAAAACTTTGTGACCAAAATCAAGAAGCCAAACAAGTTATTTTAGTAATTGCTGAGGTGACCTTCAGAATTATTTCAATTCCCTGCATGGGAATGCGAGGCCACAGTTTCGTCTTTTAAAAAATAGATCAGTTACGATCTTGACCACCATGTATTCAAAGATAATGAGGTAATGTCTCGGAATATAGAACTGACTGACGGCGTATTGAATTTATAACGATATATCAGTTACCTCAAGGCTGTAGTCACACTATCCTGACGACGGTCAACCAGTCTGAAACCTAGGTCAAGTAGAGATTCCCACCAATCGCCTCCATCTAGCTAATGAGGTGGTATTGGCGCTTTTCTGTGCATCACACTATAGAAGTTAGACCAGCTAACTGGCTTTAACAAGATCAGTCAGTATACAACAATAGTATGGTGATAAGACATTTTTTTTTCAGTTGAATATGACTTTGGCGTACTTGATCTTATCAAAGTTAATCATTAGTCAAGCCTTAGGAAACTGTAAGTCATCCCACTTACTTTTATACCACCTTTCCTCACCAAAGCAATACCGGCGTCAACAAACCTATCGAACATATCTATCCAAACATCTTTGTGTAGTTGTTTAACACAAGAAGGCAATTTATTCATCCAGCTATTTAGCAATGGTCTCCAACCTAAACTTGCAGGTTCCAAGTATATCATACCACAGCGTGATACAGTAGCCGGTGAAGCAGCCTCTAAATCCATTGGTTCAAAGATTAGATTAGTTGTTGGTGCTAGTTGAATAATTTCACCAGACATAAGGCATAACTTTTTATTATCATCCAGTACGGTATTCATATTCTCTATCCAAACAGCATCAACTGGTCCATCGAAGATTAACCATTTCCGATCTGTTGTTGTTGATGTAGCAAAGGCTCTGTAGGACACAGCTAGTATACCATCAGACCATTCATGTGACACCGGATCGAATTGACCATACAATTGTCCCATTGTAATTGCTTTTGGATTGATAACTGTATATTGTACTTTATTCTCTTCCAGAAGACCCTGTTCATTGAAAAGAAAGATATAGTATTGAGGATAAATAATATGAAACATGCAGGCAGAAGCAAAAAATGGATTCTACATGACAATTTCTCTGATAAATCTAAAGGCGAACCTTGAAACTTTTGAAATCAATTAGAAAAATACTGTCTTACCAGTTGAAGAAAAGAAACTTTACCGCTTATTTGGTGGATCCATTCAGCTTCTCCAATAGAAAATTGCATAACATGGTTTATAGGTTCTCAGAGAGTATACAAAAGTAAGTATATACCATTCTTAAAAATGAATGTGGGAAGTCCTAAGCACTAGTTGTAGAGCAAACTATGCTATGTTTTCTAGTCTCATGGGCTGACTGAATTTTATCAATCAAATTTGCAATGTGGACATCAAGTGAGAATACTCAGTATCACGGTGCACTTTGATTGATGGTTAGGTGATTAATGGTGGTCGGAAGGAAGTCGTAAACAAAATAGATTTAAAACTCATATAGATTGATTCATTTCAAGACTGGGTTTTCATTGTAAAACTGGGGTTGCTGGTTAGCTGTTTCGTCCCAGCGAAGAATTCCTCAGCAGCGTCCAACCACAGCTTTACCACAAATCAAGGATAAGGCAGTCAAGATTCACAGTGCGCATATTACTATCCAGCCGCTGAGTTGAAAACCAACTGTTCACATTTTTCTACTTCCAGTGATTCACCATATAGTACGATCATCACTCGATGCCATCGACGTGTATTTGCCTTCAAATCTGACTTGATTGATCTCATTGAAATCGAAGTGCACTCAGCAACCTTGTACATATTCATGCAGTAGGCGATGATACACCCCTATTTTGTGAGGGCTAATGACACTATGTGGCTACACAAACTTCGATAAGTAAAGCGGTGTTAGAAAGTCATCTCCTCAAACCAGTACAACCCAGTGACTACTAGGATTTCGAAAAATCCATCCCGAAGCATGTCACTGGTTAAAAGTGGACAATAATTCAGTCTGGAGGTTTGTTAGAGTTGGTTAGTTTCAAGGTGGTATTCATCACAGACTGAGATTATAATATAACGTTAATCTTGAAGTCAGAAATGTAAACCAACATTATTGCTGATATCACTGAAGAGTTTGTGCACTGTGAAATGAATCAGTTCGAATTGAATACATAAACATAACAACATTATTGTTGTTGCTGGTATTATCCCTTTGCAGAGTGTACCGAATTGACCAGTCTCACTCAGCAACGGGATAGTACAAGGAACAACATTAAAACTATACCCGTCTCACAAGAAGTGGCGATCTTGACTCAATAGCCTAGTGTGTAACACTATCGTTTGGAGCAATCGGTCTCGAGTTGGAGTTTTAATGGGGACAACGTCGCTCACTAGGAGGCAGATACATCCAGGTGATGAGTCCCAAATAGGATGAAAAGCACGTACTGGATTCCACTACTAACCGCTATCCATCATTAGTGCAACATTAATTTCACAGACTTCAGAATTAAAATTTGACCTGATGGAGTTGAATATTGGGCAAATCGATTATAAATGAAATAAATTTTTAAAATCCTAGTGACGTAGAAAAATAGTTTCCAGATGTTTTGCGTGATCGTAGAAGTCACAATCTCAGAGATTCAAACCTTCACATATTTAAATAGAAAAAATGGAGACAAATTAGATGATGTTGCTCACACATGATGACCATGATAAGGGAATAAGTGGCATTGTAATCAGTAATTAGTCCATCGGTAAGTTAAAAGGTAAGGATGTGAAGAGAAATGGGTATGAAGGTGAGAGAAAAATATTATAGATGAGAAACTCAGTTTGCATGTATATGTGTGTACTTTAGTTATAATTAGTATTATTATTATTTGCCTCCTGGGTTCCTAGTGGAACATACGGCTTCAGTAGCATGTCTCCATTTCACTTTCTTCTCTCCACTCTCTTCAACCTGGCTCCACCACTGTCCACAACCTTTCATTTCTTCCTCACATCATCTCCTACACGTCACCCTCACCTCGGACGCCCGACTCGTCGTTTCCCCTTTCGGTTCCACTCGAGGGCCCAGCCTGATATGTGATGTCTCCAAATGGTTTTCTCAGTCTATGTTCAATCCAATCCAATCCATCTCCACTTTCATCTTCTGCATATCTGTTGGGTGATCGCCTCTTGGTTGGTTCCTCGTCACCCAGCCAGCCAGCCAGCCAGCCAGCCAGCCAGCCAGCCAGCCAGCCAGCCAGCCAGCCAGCCAGCCAGCCAGCCAGCCAGCCAGCCAGCCAGCCAGCCAGCCAGCCAGCCAGCCAGCCAGCCAGCCAGCCAGCCAGCCAGCCAGCCAGCCAGCCAGCCAGCCAGCCAGCCAGCCAGCCAGCCAGCCAGCCAGCCAGCCAGCCAGCCAGCCAGCCAGCCAGCCAGCCAGCCAGCCAGCCAGCCAGCCAGCCAGCCAGCCAGCCAGCCAGCCAGCCAGCCAGCCAGCCAGCCAGCCAGCCAGCCAGCCAGCCAGCCAGCCAGCCAGCCTGCCTGCCTGCCTGCCTGCCTGCCTGCCAGAGTTCCTTGTTGCTTTATAATACTATTCTGGCCATCTCATCTCCATCTTCACTATCCGGTGAGCGTAGGCACCAGCTGTTGATGAATGTCTGTAGTTCGTTGAAAATGCCTTTCATGATGCGACAAGTCTGTCAACCATCACATGGGAGCATTGACTTACTTGACTCAATTAGTGTTGAAAATCCGGATGTTGTTCACGCTTTATACTGAGTGCAGTGCAGTGCAGTGCAGTGCAGTAGATCTCCACACTGATTTCAGGTTAATGAATGCCTGTCTTGCTGTGCCTCCGATCCTGGCTTTGACATCCTCACCTATGCCTGTGCCGCCTGTAGTTGAAACGATGCTGTCTAGGTAGGTGTGGGCTGGTAGGTAGGTGGAAGAGACAACTTCGTCTAGATTTCTCCCGTTCTTGGTGATTGGTGTTTGTTGTTGATGCTGTTGTTATTTGTTGGGTATCATAAACACCTCTATCTTCTCTACGTTCACCTGAAGTCCCGTCTTCGCTGTCCTGCCTCACCTCTTCTAACAACTTGTCGCTTTTCGCCTGTAGATCTTCGAGTTTGTGCCACAAGACATTAGACATAAAACATAGTCGTTGGTGAAATCCAAATCTTCTTCTGGCGTCTTTTCATCGGTCCAGCCAGTGTATATCCATCCCCTCTCTCGCTCCTCACTGTTGTCTCCTCCATGATTCAGTCCAGTCCAGTCCAGTCCAGTCCAGTCTAGTCGACCACAATCAGGAAGGTCATCGGTGATAGTAGGTTGCAGCCTTGTCTCACCTGTCAGCCTGTCTTCACTTCAAAGGCATCACTGACCTTTCCATTGTGAATCACTTGGCACATAGTATCCTGCATGTAGCATATAGCTGCTGTTGAAGGAGGTTGATGACGGTTTGTGGCACTGACACCGTAGTGTTGAAGGAGTTGCCAAATTACTTCTTGGTTGATGTTGTCGAAGGCCTTTTCAAAGTTGATGAAGTTGAGGTAGAGAGTTGTTTGCCATTCTGTACTCTGTTCTATGATAATACGTAGCATAGCCTTGCAATTTGATCCGCATATGATTTGTTTTGCCTGAAACCTGCTTCTCGGATCTCAACAGTTTTACGGCGTTCAGAGCTTTTGCTTTTTTCGGAAGGATTGTGTTCCCTGGTAATTCTGTGGCTGGGCTGCAGTTGGTATTTCCAGACGAGTTGCAGGTGGTGCTCGATTCAAGAGTTTTTTGAAGTGGTCGGCCCATTTTTTTTCTTTATTTCTCTTCTTTGGTAACTAGCTTTTATTCAGTATCTTTCATTGGTTTCGTCTGCGTTGATCTCTTCCCGGATAGTAACTTGGTTATTTGATTTAGTGTTATTTCGGACATATTGTCCAAGTTAGTTGATCTTCCTTTGACTTGAGTGCGTTGGGACGCAACATAATGTGAAATATCTCAGTTATCCGTCCTTCCTCGTAGTTTGAAAAACCTTTTTGAATATTTGCAATATATACAATATCAATTTTTTGACTATGATAGGTAGCATAAACAGCATTCGCCGATTTGATTTGTTAACTCTCTACTTATACTCTATGATTTGGCGGTCGTTTTGTGCAACTTGCATGTTTTTTTAGCGCGAATGAGGATCTCTTGAGATGATTCCCCAATATTATCAGCATCGCAATCGATATGGCCTAATCTGCATACACAATTTTGTCTATCTATCTTCTCAGTGAACTAGAACATTCTTGAGAGTTTTGATTGTCTTGTAGAGAGCTGTAATTTGGTATTTTCTTAAAATTCTTTGTAGCTATTCACTTGTTCTTTTTGGGAATGGTAGAACTTCTGTACTAACATAGGACACATTATTTAATCTTCCTCATAGATTCCTCTGCTCATGCTCAGGGTAATTAATGAAATGTAAAACATCTATCATGTTTCTTACTTCCGTGTGTCTATCATCTTCATTCGTGATGAGCTTTGTGGCCGTCCTGACTAAGTTTTAAGAAAGTGAAAGTTTGGCACTGAATGCATGTGCTGGGTTGAAACTAAGGTATCGGTCTGGTTAAAATTAACGTTCATTGCAAACTTACTGATAAAAAAATGAATGCTGCTATTTTCAAATAAGTTTTCTTGATGTGAATGAGCGCATACGGTGATTTTTTTGATTTATATATTATTAGGTAGCAGTTTCCATAGTTGAGGAAAGTTAAATTTTTTTCAAATGACGATAATAATAATACTACTGTTAAAAGCATTGGAAACCGACATTATAAGAAGGAAGGAAAACAGGTCAAAGACATAAAGAAACTGAAATTGACTTGTTACTGGAGTCATTTTGTAATTCGAAAGCTGACGGGCCCACTCCCTATCTATGTGCTACCGCATGTTCATGTAAACTGACAAACGCGATTGAATTTGTACCCATCGTTCAAATGCTTCAAGGGTTATACTTTCTACTTGGTGTCTACCTTTGCTTAATAATATGTTCTCTGGATGGTGGT